ATATTTTTTTTTAATTTTCATAGTTCATTAATATATAGAAATATAAAAAAAAAGTCATATCAAAAGTATTATAAATTACATAGCACCTAAAAATGTGTCACTGGGTATGCCTAGTTAGCACTTTTCCCCAAAAACTTGAAAATAAGTTTTGGAATAGAAATTAGAATAAAAACACAATGGCTAAGTATCCAGGTCATTTTTGTTGTTTAATATGAAAAATATTTTATTGAAATATATGTACAACACTGATATATATATATATATATATATATATATATATATATATATATATATTAATATATAGTTTTAAGGTGTGCTATATTTATGAGGTAAAAAGTGCTCAATATCAGAGATAAAGCGTATGTAAATATAAATATAAAAGTGAACATTGAAGTCAACACTTTTTACAGTCTCTAAGTGTTGACATTTAAAAACAAATGAAAAAGCCTTTGAGTGTTGACTTCTAAGTTCACTTTTGTATTTACACACACTCTATCTCTGATATTGAGCACTTTATCCCATAAATATAACACACCTTAAAACTATATTTCTTTTTACGTCAGGCTGTATATCAGTTCCGTATAGGATACAGGTTCAATTCCTGTCAGAGGACGCATATTTTCTATGAAAATTTCTCAGACATTCAGGTCGGTAAATGTCATTAATACTGTTTATTATAAGCAGAGCATTTACTTAAATATTTGTATCTATAAAAAGAATGTATAAACATAAAAAATGTCATATATATATATATAATGGATAAATATAAGTAAATGTATGAGCAAGTGTTCATATGCAAATATATATATATGTAAACGCTTGCTCATACATTTATGTATATGTGTGTATATATATATATATATATATATATATATATATGTTGTAAGAAAAAACAGTGCTCAATGTTAAGTAACAAAGGTATTTAATATATTAAAAGATATACATAATACCCTACATTGATCACACAATTTGGAGTTTCATACTGCCTGCAATCGTCAGGTGTGAATTTTTGGTTTACACTGTTTAATATTTCTGATTATCATGAAATATTTTATTGTTAGGGTGGATTATTATTGTTGCTAAGCATTTAAATGAATTGCAGTTTAATTTTTGATTTGAATTTAGGCACAGATTAACATTTAAGATTGAAAATAGGATTTATAAAAAAATGGATGCTGTTGACATTAAAAAAATGTTTGGAAATCAAGTTGGGTAACAGGCATCCCTTGATTAATGCATTTTTGATTAGTGTGCTAAAAGTTTTACATACCAAAATTCAATTGATATATACATAATACTTGATTAGTGTGGTAAAACATTCTTTAGTTTAACTAACCATAGTAATTAAAAATTGAATTTTTGTTATAGTTACCAATGCACGCATTAGCCACACTAATTGATGGGTTCCTGTACATATCGAGCAATATGTAAGATGTTGTGTGTGGCTAAAGCATCAATGTATGTACAGCATTGAGATTTTAATGGAGAATATGGTACAACTTTTCAAAAAGAATTTTATTTTGGAATGTCTGTACTATAAGGTGATATTATGCTGAAGGATGTAATTTATTCCCTGTTTTTAGTTTCAGAAACATGGTATCATTATAATTATGTTGTATTATACACAAGAAAATACATCATGCATAAATTATAGTGAAGTCATGGGTAGACTCCCCTGTGGAGCATAAACCCACAGACTCATCATGCAAGGTGTTGCTTAGCAAGTAGGCTTTTTATGAGTTGGTGTTGCTAGCCCTATGCTTGAATTTGAATTCAGTCTTGTCCTTCTCTTAGATTAGTTGCCAACAAAAGCTAAAGATCCCAATCTACCCTGCTGGGAAGGAGAAGAAATGGATTCCTACATTTTTGTGTGAAAGTGAATGCAACTGCTTTAGTTGGAATTTGAACTTTAAATTCTAATCCCATTTTTGCACACTGTTAACCACTGTGCCACATGCACATCCAAAAATCTATGAGTGGGTGCACTTCAGTTATGATCTTTTTATATAATTGATTTAACCTGGTATCTTTACGTCAATTGCTTTTTCACTGACATGACATAGTTTCCTTTTCTTTTCTACAAATATCTTAATGGTAATTGTTCTGAGCTTTTCTCCTTGGTGCCTTGACTGTATGAATTTAAGTCTACTACTAGATTGGCAACTAGGTCTCACCATTTTACCACTGAACTGGCTAGAGGCAACTGTATGTTCTATTCTAATAGTTACTTTTCATGCACTTCTTGCCAGTTGAACTCCTTTCCTATTTCTTTTTCCCTGCCACCTACAATCTTCAAAAATTTAAATGCAATGTAAATAGCCATCTTCTGTCTACCTGAATCATGTTCCTTTATTGTTCTTTCTCCTCATTAAAGTATTCTCATTCTCTTCCACTCTCTGCAATAACCTCTACCCTTGTGGCATTATTGCCTTGCTTGGGGTGAAATGATTTCAAAAGAGAAAAAAAAAAAGCATTTTGTTGTACATGTGTGTCAACTCCTGTTAGCTGTTCAGTCTTTTTAGATAAGTTTACAATATTTACAATTTGTGCAGTATTAAAAAAATAAAAATCTAATTTAAACTATTTTGTAATAAGTAATACTGTTATTTTCATTAAAAAAAAATTTACAAACTGTTGTCTTTAGACACTTAGGTATGTGTAAAAATTCTCAATGTTCTTTTTTGTAAATTAGTCACACATAAAAACCGGTTATTCCACTAGAAACATCTGTATTCCCCTTATACCTAAAATGGAGTAGTTACAAGATCATCATCAGTCAAATCAAAAATTGTATTTATAGCCATTTGTTTCAACAGACATTAAAGGAATTTTTTTAAAAATCTCCTAGTAAAAGAGAAATGAAAATATGTATGGTGTTTAACATATTTCCTGCCACACAACAGGTGTGTGTTGTGGTGTATTGTATTTATCAGCTGCATAACATGTATATCACTATGGAAGAAAAAATGATCTGGTTATGTGGACTATTCTTGAGTTTAACCAATTTTAATTGTACAGATGCAAAAGAGATTCAGATCACATGTGGACATGTTTGTCAACATCAGTTACATCTGGGTTTTCCCTGTTAGCAGCAGGACAGCTTGGCATGTCTAGATACAAGCCTCTCTGCAACTGGTCAAGATCCGGGTCTTTGCAAGATGCCTCATACCAATAAAAACAACAGGGAAACCAGTAGTCAGCAGGACATTGTGTCTTGTAGACATTTTGTTCCTAAAGTTCCTTTGTTTTCCAAGGCAGTGTTATTTTTATTCCCTCTCATCTTTTTCCCCTCTCTGCCTATTACCCATGTAGTTGGTGGGAGAGCAATTAGTTAGGTGTTTCTCCCCAACCTCAATATGTTGTACATTGCAGTATTTTATTTATCAAAAAAAATAAAAAAATAAAGTTACCAGGGGGTGAAAGCTCACTAGAACAAATCCAAAGGAAGACCCCATCCCCTGTTTGACCATCTCTTCAAAGTTGTAACCATACTCACTATATTTGGATAATTGAATGTTGGTGAAGCTATTTAACCCATAGTTGGAGGTTTTGAATTCAGATTTGTCTTCATACACCCATTGCCACCCAAAACTATATAGTACCTAGTCTGTCTATTCATCCATAACTGAAGAGAGAAGAGATGGACACATACGTTTCCAAAGGATATTTGCATGTAAGTGAATATAATGGGATTAACTGGAATTTGGTTCTCCAATTCATCAATCTGAGCCACTGTCCATTACTCCATTATGCCTCCAATATTTATTTACTAAGATAAAGCATAAATTTTCTTGCATAACAGTTTCTTAGACTGACTGTAACAGAAACACAGAGGCTATTATATAGGGGGGCTAACTGTAAAATAAAATTAGTCTGTCTTTGTCTCTGTGTAAGTCTTTGTCTCTGTCTAAGTCTCTGTGTAAGTCTTTGTCTCTAAGTAAGTCTCTAAGTCTTTGTCTCTGTCTAAGTCTCTAAGTCTTTGTCTAAGTCTCTGTCTAAGTCTCTGTCTAAGTCTCTGTCGTAGTCTTTGTCTCTGTCTTTGTCTCTGTCTCTGTCTTTGTCTCTGTCTTTGTCTCTGTCTAAGTCTCTGTCTAAGTCTCTGTCTAAGTCTCTGTCTAAGTCTCTGTCTAAGTCTCTGTCTAAGTCTCTGTCTCTGTCTTTGTCTTTGTCTCTGTCTAAGTCTCTGTCTTTGTCTAAGTCTAAGTCTCTGTCTCTGTCTCTGTCTCTGTCTAAGTCTCTGTCTCTGTCTCTGTCTCTGTCTAAGTCTCTGTCTCTGTCTGTCTCTGTCTCTGTCTCTGTCTAAGTCTCTGTCTAAGTCTCTGTCTCTGTCTTTGTCTCTGTCTAAGTCCCTGTCTAAGTCTCTGTCTTTGTCTCTGTCTCTGTCTAAGTCTCTGTCTCTGTCTTTGTCTAAGTCTGTCTCTGTCTAAGTCCCTGTCTTTGTCTCTGTCTCTGTCTAAGTCTCTGTCTAAGTCTTTGTCTAAGTCTGTCTCTGTCTAAGTCCCTGTCTAAGTCTCTGTCTAAGTCTTTGTCTCTGTCTAAGTCTTTGTCTCTGTCTAAGTCTTTGTCTCTGTCTCTGTCTTTGTCTCTGTCTAAGTCTTTGTCTCTGTCTAAGTCTTTGTCTCTGTCTAAGTCTCTGTCTAAGTCTTTGTCTATCCTACCAAAAAGCTTTCAGAGACTCAGGTCTAAATTGTTACTATTTTAGATGTTGGGTTTCTTAGTGTTTTGCTCTGTTTTTCTTCTTTTTTTTTCTAATTTCTTTAGGTACATACTGATAGTCTAAGATATTTGGATAAACATTAGCCTCTCAGGTTTGTTTGTTTCTTTTTGTAGTGTGTGGAAATTGTATTTTATATCCTATTAAATATGTTGTGTTAATATAGAAAGAAGATTTTCTTGTGACACTTCTGGAAAGATATGGAGGATTTGTCTACTTTGACTATAAACCTTTTTTTCTTTTTTTGTTATTTTCATTTCTTGAAATATACTATCTTTCTTTACAGTCTCCGAAGTGGTTCCAGAGAAACATTTCTGGCCAGAGATCTTGTTCCTGGAGATGTTGTGTATCTTTCCATTGGAGACCGAGTTCCTGCTGATATTCGACTATGTGAGGTAAGTCTGTTTATTATTTTCCATCAGGTCTTCATGGCTGAATCATTCACGCCCAAACTTGCATTGCCAAAGAAATTTAGAGAGATCAAAAAGCAGTTATTCTGATTGTTTCTCCATAACGATTTTTGCATTGATGCCCGGAAACAGAAATTTTCTCAAATATTTTAATTGTATCCATAATGTACATCCAGATTGTTTAGGCAACAAAGATAACTGGGTTTTTGAATTAAAACCTTTCAATAAATTTAAAAAAAAAAAAACAAATATTTTTGCAGCACATACCAATGACATGTCTAATATGGTGCAATGGATATCAGCTTGGAATGATAAATCAGAGAGCCGAGTTCAAATTCTAGTCAGGTTAGTTACATCCATGTGCAAACATTCTTGGGAAAGGTATGAATCCTCTTTTCTCCTCCCAGATATGGGTTGAATAACAGGACAGACTGAGTCCTATAGACTTGGTTGGCAATCAGTCTACCACAGAAATAAATGGAAACCTACTGTGGGGGAAAAACCGTCTGCCTAGTCAGTCATGAATTTTAAGAGGCATGGTCTCCCAATCGTGCATCATGTATGTCACTTAACTGACTTATTTATTTGAAATATTTTGAGAAATGGACATGTGAATGATATTAAAAAAAAAAAAAAAAATTGAAGTACACCTGCTGAAACTTGGCAATATGGTGTACTATAAAAGAAATGATACTGTCAGGTTAAGTTTGACACACACCCTAGGGAGTTTCCCCAACAAGAATACATAGAGAATAAGGTGTGAGGGAAATATGAAACACAGGTCTCCGCAGAGAAACATTTATTGAATATAACCAACAAAACATTAGAAGTAAACAATATATACAAAGCAAAACAAGTACTTACCATTATAATGCTGCTTTATTAATTCCTTCCTCATTACTCTAAAGCTAAAATTGTATCTAACTATATATTATAATTTAGAGCTGTGCTTTATGGTGTAATGGATAATGACTCAGAATGTGAAATCAGAGAGCTGAGTTCTAATTCCAGTTGAATTCATTGCATTCACTTATGCACAAATACCCTTGGGAAAAGTATGAATCCCTCTTTTCTCTCCCTTGCTATGGATTGACTATCAGGACAGACTGGGCCCTATAGCCTTGACTGGCAACCAGTCTATCACAGAAAGAAAGGGCAAATATTCTGACTAGTCAGTCATGAATTGAGAGAGACATGATCACCCAAGCATGTATCACATATGGCACTTGACTGACTGATGCTCATCTTGAAGGTAGAAATACATCTCATCTCCTGTCTATGGATTAAATAGCAAGACAGACTGGGTTCTATAGCCTTGGTTGGCAACCAGTCTGTCACAGAAAAAAATGGCAACCTACTGTGGGAAAATCTTCTGCCTAGTCAGTCATGAATCAAAAGAGATGTGATCACCCAAGCATATATTACGAATGGCACTTAACCAACATATTGAGGTTTGGATAGTGCAATGTTTACTGTCTTAGAAAGTGAAAGTGATATGCAGTTTCCAGTCAATTCTGTTTCATTCACTTTGTCTTGGAAAAGGCATGAATTCATCTTCCCCCAAGTATGGGTTAAATAGCAGGATAGAAAACTTCTGATGATGTGCTACTTTGAGGGACATAATCCTATGTGGATGTTTCCAGAACACTACAGGCTTACAGCCATATCATGTTGAAATACCAGCTTTTGTACAATCTCTGAAGTTAAGCAACATTGAGTTTGGTCAGTGTCTAAATTGGTGACTGTTTGGGAATACCTTATTAAGTTGTTTAATAACTCAAATGTATATTTACTACCTAGAACAAATACTGAATTGATAGCCTTCAGCTGATGCGTTCTGCCCATTGAGTTCTATATAAACATGGTTTTTCCACTGGGGATATATGAAACCTATTTGCCTGGTGAAGTGATATCAGATTAGATCAACATTAGATCTGTAAGCTTTGATGTGCAGGTGGATTAATGGATAATGGCTTGGAACCATTAATTGGAGAGCCAAGTTCTAATTCCAATTAGATTTGTTATATTTACTTACACACAAATACCCTCATGAAAAGTATGAATCTGCCACTTCTCCTCTTGGCTATGGGTTAATTAGTAAAACTTGTATCAATAAAATCATTATCTTGAAAAAAAATTTTTTTACAATCTAAAAATATATTCTGGCTTTATAAAACCTGCAAAGGGTTGATAAATCATAGAAAATAAGTGAATCAATCAAACCAGAACACTACAATATTAACTTCAAGTCTATAGTCAATTGTTATCTATCCTCCTTATCCTCACTTCCTACTGACTCCTCTTACATTCATATCACACACCTTAGCTTTCAGTAACTTTCTATCATGAAATGCTGGACTTGTTGACGTTCCTTGCCTATCGGACGCTGGACTTGTTGACGTTCATTACCTTTATATTAAGTTTAATGTAATTCATTTTTGTGTTAATTGGAATGCTTTCATTATTGGTGCTAGGTTGTTTTTTTATGTGTATGTATGTGTGTATGATAGGTAATTCTAACCTTACCCTGCTGGGATGGCTTTGTGACACATTTTGGCTATAAGAATAGTTTTTCCTGGTGGAAGCGGGAGATGTGGGCGTGATAAATGTCAAAGGCAGTTTTTCTTTAATGGGGCTCCCCAATTTGGTCCAGTGGTTGTTCATTTCAGTGCTTGATAAAATAAAGAACAGAGATGGTGGTTCAGTCACTTGTGTGCACTGGAGGTAGCATTTATAATAATAGGAATAATATATATATTTCAAATCAACATTATGCATGAATTTAGGTGCCTCATAGAAAAACAAGTCTATAATTATGTTGGAAGCACCCCCAGCTACCCATCAGGATGACTGACTCTACATCACTCTGACCATAGCTCCATACAGATACATTTAAATCAGCATGGAATTGTACCAACTTATATAGGTAACATACTCATAAATTAAGAGAGTATAGACATGAACTAAACAACAAAGTTTTAGAGAAAATGAAAGAACACTTATACTTAACATCAGAAAGTTAAAATTTCTAGGGTACATAATGAGGAATGAGGGTATAGAAAATTTAACACTCACATGACATATAGAACAACAAAGGAAAACTGCATAATGTACCTAATGAACTTAGGTAAATGATTGGCAGAACAGGTTTTAAGAGAAATGGCAAAAAGACAAGATTTACTAAGAGCTACAAAGAGAAGAGCAGAAAATTGTGGAGAGCTATGAAAGCCACGTCCTGAAGGGACATGGCACATAGAAGAAAATTCATTTTGATAAAATTGTTAAAATGTGATCTTTGCTTTTCTTTCATTCCCTGTGACATTAATGGATTTTTATTTTCTTCTAGGCAGTTGACTTAGCCATAGATGAGTCAAGTTTTACTGGAGAGACACAGCCCATCCCCAAAACGATTGCTGCTCTTGAAGGCAGTGGAGTGACCAGCCAGAAATGTGTAGCTTTCATGGGAACACTAGTGCGTTGTGGTAATGGTAAGGTAAGGCAAATCATTTTGTATTTTTTGTTTTTTCTTCTCTTCCCAATTTTTTTTTTTTTGCTCCTCTTCATTCTTAGTTGTAAAATTGTTGAACTCATTGTCTCTTTTTATTGTTAATTGTAATTATATAAATGTTACAATCAAGATGATGTAAAAGAAAAATCCACAAATACCTTTTTAAGGTTCATTTTATGTATGAATTATACTTTGGATAAATATTTTAATTGTGTGCAAAAATTTCCAGTTTATTTTTTTATTTAATTAAAAAATTAAAAATTAATTTTAATATTTTTGATATTATTTGATAAATTTTAAAAAATTTTTTAGCTTCAGTTTTTCTCTTTTTGTTCCTTATGATAGAATTTCTGTTAAGATTAGCATGTATTGTGTAAGCTAAGGATGGTTTTCTCTCAGTCAGGCAAACTTTACAGTATCAGAAAACAAATTATTTTACAAAAAATAAGTTAAAAAACAAAATCAAAAACCTGGAAATATTTTTCATTAAGGTTCTTTTCCCAGTGATATTAAATTCATTCTTAATATTATTTTAATTTTTTTTTTTTTTTTTTTAAGTTAATGTTATTACATTCCAATTCCCAGTTTTCCCTGTTTTGAGATTACAACATTTTATCAGAAGCACTTTTATTTTTGTTTTAATCTGGACAAAATTATTAGAAAGCACTTGGGATTCACATAACTCCCCGAGATTGATTTATAAGGCAGGCACTGCTGTCATTAGTGGTCTCTTAGTTTTTATGAGATGTTTAACACTTTCACTGCTCTATTGTTATAGCATTGTGACCTGGCTGTGCTGGCCCATTTGTTGGGAGGGGAATTAGAAAACAGACATTTATTGGAAATAAATGACTATAAAGATTGTGAGTGTAATGTGTTATCATTTTGATTATATATTAATATTGAACTCATGACTATTAGATGATATCAACACATTTATAACCAACTCCTATATCCACTATATTACTCTCCCAAAGGACATTGAGTTCAATCCTTGGGTCAGGTAGTGAGGCATCAATACAACAGGAAAAAACAAACAACTGATGTCACAGGGACAAAATATCACCATCAACAGATATCCCATATCAGCCAATTAAAGGACACCTGACAATGATGTTACTTGGTCGAAACATTGTCTATATTAACATCTGTATAAACTGAGATGGGAACAATAGTTCAGAATGTTACAAGAATATTGAAATGTGCCACCAAAAACAGAGATATTTGATTTGTTGCATGTCCTCAATAGACAATACCTTCATTTCTTGACTTTATCTTTCTCTCTAAAACCTTTTCAGTCTTTGGTAGATTCTACAGGTGATCTCATGTCCTTCATGGATTTACCTGCTTAATAAATTCTAATGTTTATTTTCTTTTTAAGGGTGTGGTTTTTGGTACTGGGGAAAATTCTGAATTTGGAAATATTTTCAAAATGATGCAAGAAGAAGAAGTAAGTAAAATTATTTTTTTAATTTTTAATTATATAAAAAATTCCTGCTTTATGAACCAATGACAAAACAATACTCAGTTTAGATTTGATATAATGGAATATGCATACACCTGTGTTCCCCCTCACTGGAGTGTGATTGGCGGGTGTCCGTCATAAATATCGATGGACGTGTAGGAGAGTCAGAAGAGTCAAGAGCCTTAGTCCGAGAGCTAAGTCTATAACAACACCCATTGGACTATGCCATTGATCTACACTCCTTACCTGTGACTACGATGCATACCAGTCGATTACTGCTACTGTATTCTACTTGGTTATAGTAGACAAAACCACTTAGCTACTTCGTTCAAATATATCCCTTTTCGGGACATATTAAGATTAAAATTTATTTTTTTATTACTAACAGGTTATGGCAGAAATACCTTCCACATAATGGTGTCTTCATCTAGCTAATGTCTTACCATTATTCAGAAGGTATTTCTATGAGGTATAGGTTGGAGGCATTTCCACTGACCTGCATAAACACTATTTTTAATGGGTACACATTTTTGATTTGCTATTCCTGTTTTGTTTTTTTTTAATTCTTAAACAGTGAGATTAAGAACAATTATTAAATAGAGATGTGCATTCCTTAAATAGGTAATTCAAACTTTGCTCTATCATGATGGTCTACATCAGGGGTTGGCTACTCATTCGACCCTGCTGGCTGGATCGTGTTGTAATGACGGGTCACGGGCTGGACGAAGGCCATTAATGAAAAATTAAGGAAAATTACATATGCAGACCCCTGTCAACCTAAATATTTCAAACCATAATGAAAATAAACATTGAGAAATCAGAAAAACAAAAGAAAATCTAAAATTAAAAAACACCTAACAAAAATTACTTTTCCTCAAGGAACGTCGTACTTCAAAGTGAAAAAATCAACCGAAGTGAAATGGATGAAATTATGACGTGTAGGTTTGAAACTGTTATTGAAAATTGTTCCACAAACGAACCACACACATACACATCAAACAAAAACAAAGCACATATACCCATACATATGAGTACAAATAGTTGCAAACATATACACTTATGTACTTATGTACACATGCAGTATCATCCACACATTCATGAGGCATGTATATATAATGCGCATATGTTTAACTGTCTTTAGATTTCTGCTACCTCGCATGTCAGTCCCTCCCTGGCCTCTTTCACTTTATCGTTCCTTTCGATTCTGTTATCTTTTAATGTAGCCAAGGGTCATAACAAATATGTATCCATTATTTGACATTAAACGTAGGCAACGCAACTTGGTAAAATAAGTCTCATGAAAGATAACTGGCAGATAGTCTAATTCGAAAGCCTCATCTCTCATGTTAAAAATAGTCATTGGTAATCAGTCTCGCGGGCCAGTCAAAATGCCTTCGTGGGCCGGATCTGCGGGCCATAGGTTGCCGACCCTTGGTCTACATTTTGGCAATAGGTACTGTGTGATTGATGGAAATAGGGATACAGGTTCAATTCCTGTCAGAGGCACAATCTTTCTCAATCTAGGTTGGTTGTTATTAATTTAACTAAGAAAATAAAAAAAACAAGGATAGCAACTCAAACACAAGTACCCATTAAAAATAACGTTCATATATAATATCAGATAAAATAATCTATTAAAAAATCCAAATTTATATAAAACAATTAAAACTGATAACTTTGAGTGTTCATTGTATTTCTTTTACTAAACTTATGATGGTAGAAAAAAGAATTTTCTTTAAAGTTTCTTTCGCATTCCCTAGAAACAAAACTTTTTTTCTTTTAAATCATGCTTCAAGCAATAGATGTAATGAGTATAAAACTTTTTTTTCTTAATCTTTATGTTCCCAGGGTGTGAAATGTGGTTATGTGAAGAAAGATAAAAAGATAGATTGAAAGGATAAACTATTAACAAAACTTTTTAATTAATTAATTGAAATACAATTCAGATGGTGAGTGGAGCTGCAGATGCATAATGATATGGGCCTTGGAGATTTGTCTTGCTCACCTTGGTGTCATGGCCGAACTACTTGTACTCAGAATGCCCTGTCCTCAAACAGGAGAAGTGACAAAAACCCATATTTTTCATCTCTCTGGTCTAAATATTTTCTTAAATATTTTCGTTAAGGTCAACTGTGCTCATTCCACTTGAAGCAAAGTCTATTGTCATGGGATCTCTAGACAGTTCTGTCTTGGGCCATTTTCATCAACTGGCTCTTAGGATGTTTCTGATTTCTGGCATCCATCCTCACTTTCTTTTACTATGGCTATTTCAGGGCTTGTCAGCTGTTGTTTTTTTGTAAAGCATGTGTTCTTGCCTGAACTTCTGGGATGAAGAGTTATCTATTTACATGCGGACTATTTTCCTTATCTTTGCTGTTATTTTTGTAGCATTTCAGCCACTGTATCCTACAAGCTTTAACATGTGCTTGTTGATCTGGGTAACCTACATGGAACTTTGAACTGAACCTTTTATTTGATCTATGGGCTGGGCAGTGTGTATTTGAACTCTCTGAAAACAGGATAAGTAATAACTGAGCAGTACTAAAATTAGAACGAGACAAGATATCTGTAGACATGGGCAGTGGAATAAGAACAATCTACCTCAGTAGATTAAATAAAGGGTTCAGGTTCAAAAATTCCATTAGGTTTCCTCAATCAACATACATCTGATGAAGGCTGGCAGGCAATGGCCAGAAACATTGTGAAAAATTGTTGGTAAAAATAGAAATTAGAATCCAATTCATTTGGTCTTATATAAATTGTGTGGGTATACATTTATAAACAATATACAAGTATACTCTCCTTGTAGTCTTTATATATATATATATATATATATATATATATATAGGAATAAAGTGTGACTGCTGACAATGGGGTTTGAACATAGATCACCAGAGAGCAAACCCGAGTGGTCCCATTTTGAATAAGTAGTTCATGTGATGGTAAAGGAAATTTTTTATATGTAAATTAGCATGGTGTCTAAGTGATCAATATACGGATTACTATTCAGTGGTTACTTTTCAAGCGAGTATTATTGAGCAAGTACTATTAGTGCGAGTGTTATTTGAAGACATCTGACACCAGTATTGTTCAATGGAATTACTATAGATGTATCTGCAATTACAAAGTCTCTACTACAACGAGCATTATGAAAGTGACGAGTATTCATTGACATTACAAAAGTGGTAATGAGTGTTTGTTGACATCACAAAATATATATATATGTGTGTGTGTGTGTGTGTATGAGGTTATTTAATTGACATACATCTAATGATGGCCAGAGGGCACAAAGGCTGAAACATTGTGATAACAACAACAAAGATGAAGACAATAGTCTGCATGTAAATAAGGCAAATAATAATACCTCTTCATCTCAGAAATTCAGTCAGAAAAGAACTACAGTATATTCTTTCTTTTATCTTTTTCTATATGTGACTCCCGGCTTCTTGTATTTGCACAATATAGGACTTCATTGTCATTGCATTTTTATCAGTAAGTGAACCACAGAATTAAGGGCATTACAAGTTTGATCAGCTTCACTTAAAAAGAAATCAGCAAAACAGATTGTGCAAAATCATCTATTTTTTTTTTCCTCCTTCTTTGCTCCAGGGTTGGGTTAAAACAAAGAATATTGGTCATTAAGTAGCACTCCTTCCATGTTAGAGTGCAGAGGTTGGGTAGAATTGTTGCTAAAACAAATTAGAATTAACTTCATTTGGTCTTATATAAATTGTGTAAATATATATTCACAACAAATATACTGTCCTTGTAGTTTTACTAATTGGTTTTTGTACATATACTACAGTTCAAAAGTTTGAGGAACCCCACCACCCCAGATAAGTTACTAAGTTTGCCCAAAAAAGTAGTTTTGTACTTTAAATAAAAGAAAATTATTGTACATGGTTAAAAAAAAAAGCGAGATATTTTTTTTTTTTATTAGAAATTTTAGTTTGACAAAAAGGAAAAAAGCATTTTATGATTAAATTTTGCTCTCATCGAAATATCCTCCTTTAACCTTGATTACTGCAGTACAAATTTTTGGCATTCATTGCAAAGGTTTCTGAAAGTATGTTTGATTACACTCTTTTTTTCAATGACTCTTTTTCTTTTTTTTTTTTTTTTTTTTTTTCTGTCAAGATCATCCCATACTAATTCTGGGGGTGATTTCAAACTTTTGAACTTTTTTTTATCACAATGTTTCAAACAATGTAGCTTTTTTTTTTTTTTTTTTAGTTCCATGTCCTTTTAGGATATAAGTGATCATGACTCTCCACAGGTTCTTTTCTTTATTATCTGCAAATTGCCAAACTATCTTAGAAAGTTAATGGAAGGATTTCCTTTTACCTGGATGTGGGGGTGGTGTAATGGATAGTGGCTCAGAATGAGAAATCAGAGAGCAGACTTTGAATTTCAGTCAGGTTCGTTACATTCACTATGTGCAAATACCCTTGGGAAATGTCCTCCAGTTATGGGTTAAATAGTGGGACTTGTATCTGGAAAAATCATTGATATTCTAAAAAAAATTATTAATTCAATATTCATTTGTAAAAAAAGAATTATTTGTATGATCCAAGATATGTTTCAACTTTAAATGACCCTCAATGGGTTGATAATCCATAATAAACAAATCAATCAATTTCTGTTGCCTTTTCCATGTTTCCTTTCTATTAAAGTTCTCCACCCAAGATTGGAGCGTATAGTCTACCCTACTATTTAACCTGGACGAAGAAGAGACAGATTCACGCCTTTCCCAAGAGCATTTATGCAAATGGAATGGAATTTGAACTTCATTTGCTTTCTATGTCTGTTAAATGTTTTAATGTCTGTTACACCATCCACTCATCCTGTTATTATTACAGTGCCCATATTTACACTAGGCCCACTGATTTGGTTGACTTGAGTATAGCATATTTATTGATTCCAATAATTTATGTATACCCTCAAGGTTTATTTTTTTTTTTTATTATATCTGTTGGCTTTATTATTTCAAAAGAGTTGGTGCTCATTTCTCTCTTTCATTTCAGGCTCCTAAAACTCCTTTGCAACGAAGTATGGACATTCTTGGGAAGCAACTTTCATTTTATTCTTTTTGCATCATTGGAGTGATAATGCTGCTGGGTTACATTCAGGGACGTCGCTTGTTGGACATGTTTACTATTGGAGTCAGGTACTTTCATTTTACAACAGCAATTAATTACACACAATTATTTAATCAGTTTCTATAAATGTAGACACATCCTACTAAGATTAAATGTATTTTCGATATTGGATATTTTCAATCAAAGTCCATTAGCACATTCGGTGCCATAGGACATTTATTGTTTTTCTTATTTTTACTTGTTAAACACCCATATTAATTATGTAACATAACCCACCTTGAAATTTGTGTTGCCTTCATTTTGTTTACTGTGCACTGCTTTCCAGTGATGCTACTTACTCTCTGAAGAATCTATTCTCAGCCTGCATATATTGTATTGGCTTCTTGTGCTGAGGGTCTCTTGGGGCAACAGGAACAATTCCATAAAAACGTTACCTCCTCCTTTCACAGCCGGCAATTGCTACTTGTTTTGGTTCGGAGATAAAAGATCATCAAAGGAAATTTAAACTTAACTATTTTATTCAACGCGCTGATGTTAACATTTCTAAATACTCAGTGGGGTCACGCTTTTACCCCACTGGGGAGCAGATTCAAAATATTGTTTGACATGTAAAACTCAACTCCCCAAAAAAGCTTTCTCTATCTATCATTCCCATGTTAATTCAGCCAATCAAAATTGACTTCCTTTGTTTTGTCCTGCATTTGACCTCAAAGGTCAAACTAAGGAAGTCAGAGTAAAATACACTTCTCTAAAAAAGTAATAGCTAAACTATTATTTAACATGTACACATATGGTAGGTTTTTACCTCTTGGTACAGAAGATGCTAAATTTCAATTCAAGTGTTACACACACACACACACTGAATTGTTTATCTAACAAACTTGAGACCAGAGGTTATCAAGACCAAGGCTTAATAAATAACAAAATGTAAAATAAATAATGAAATATGGAAAATTGAAATTATATTTATCAAATTAATAAATTGTAAAGTACAGTTTGTTTGTTCATTAATTTATCCATTTAAAATTCTTGATGTCATGAAATTAAATAAGGTGGGTTACTTACATAGAAAATTTTTTCCATTAATTCTTTCTACAAAATAAATTTATCAGTTTGGCTGCGTTTATAAAGCAAGGTTTGAATTTCCTATTTAAAGAATGCACATTTCTCATTGAGACTTTTTACAAATTTATATCAGTGAGCTTTATTTGCATACCTACTAAAAATAATGTTTACAATAATAATCATTATTGCATATCATCTCATATAATTAATCTGGCAATGTTTAACCTTCATGCCTGCAAAATAAATGATGTCTCAAAAAGACAGATATTTATTTGACATCGCTATTACTGTATACACTTTTAACTCCCTCAGCAATGTTTGTTGTTTTAAAAGGTGATGATTAGAATCTTAATAAAACCTAAAAATATCAAAGTGGATTTAAACATTTATTTATTCTTGAGAATTGACAACAAAAATTATAAACACCATTTATTGAATAAAAAACTTGATTTCATAGTTATTTACAAAACGGTAAATAATAAATATTGTCTTTTAGTTGGTTTGTATTTTTTCTTTTTTTTAATCAATTCACTCCAAGCAATTATGATTTCATGATCCCTGAAGATTAAAAAAAAAAAACCATAATTGTAATAAGTAGTGTTAGGTGACCTTTTCTATGAACATTACTTCATCTGAAGTGCCTTGGATTAATAAAATGAATGTGTGGAAGTAATACTAGATTTATATTATATAGTGATCCAATTTCTGTTTCTTGAATGTTTTTTTTAATCAGTTCACCTCAAACAATGTCACTAAGCTGCAAGGGATTATTGTACTGTATTGAAAGAGAATGAGGAGACTTTAAAACCTTCCATCCTTCTTAAAATTCCAAACACTGATTAAACCAATCCTACTCTATGGATCAGAAACTTGGATATTATCTGCTTGTCTTGAATGACGACTGGATGGAACATATACAAATCTACTTAGAAAAATGAAGAACATCAGTTGGAGACCCAATGTAACTCTTAACACGATTTATGGAGAACTGAGACTAATCTCTCTTAAGCTCAAACAAAAATGATTACAGTTTGTCAGCCACTGTCACTGAGCGGATGGAGAAATTGTCTCATCCTTACTTCTATGGCATCCTTCTGGAAGTGTCTTCTCACAAAAATTGACTTTCCCAGACACCATAGCTCAAGTTAGACATTGGGGATCTGGGGACAGCAATGCAAGACAAACAGTATGGAAAGGGATTGTCAATGGAATTCTGACCAGCCATAGGGAGGTCAAAGGATGGTGTTGTTGAAGGAGGAGGATGATGATGAAAAGGAATTGGAAGCCTAATCCTGACCAGGAAACAAGAAATAAACCTCTACTTTGTAACTTTTTATAAATTTTTTTGAATAAGATTTATTTATAAATTTATTTCTTTACAAAATGTTAAATGATAAATTTTTATAAAAGGTAAATAATGAATATTGCGTTGTACTTGGTTCACATTTTTTTTATAATCTTTTAAATAAACATTGCCGAGAGAGTTAAGTGTATACAGTAACCGACCTTTTGACACTGTTTTTACATTGCCATTAATCTAATAATTACTGTATTTGTTTGTGGTGCCATATCACATATTATTGCACTTCATCTGATTTGAAGTCAAACACAAATACTTGTGTAACTAAGGGGAGTTTTGGATGTATTGTGGTGAGCAGTTTCCTGTTGCAACACAAAAATCTAGAAACCAATAAGTATATTCCACTGTTGTGAATATTGGCCTTCATAACTATCTTATTTTATGATCTGAAGGTTTAAAAAAAATTTGTAATGAGTACAGTGTTTGGTGACTTTTTCTATGAACAACATTAATACATCTGAAGTGTCTTGGATTGATAAAATGAGTGTGTGGAAGTAATACTAGATTTATATTGTCGCATACCTACAGACGATAATGGGTATGCCTCTATTCACATAAATACAATAGTAAATACTGTATGTTGGTCTGCAGTTGGAGATTCATTGTGGAATTCACTTAACTCACTTTTAGCAGTTGACTACTTCTCTACATGCCACTGGCAAATCTTATATGTGTTGTTCTTGTCCTAAGTATTATCGTTCATTACCAACTGTTGTTTGATTATTCTATCCAGTAACCTTCCCTAGGTTACAACATATATAGATATCGAATTTTTGTGTTCTTGCGTTTCTTTTTGTTTTTTTTATTATCAGTGTTACTGGGAGTGAAAGAGAATGAGAAGACTAGAAGGAACTGAAAACTCAAACCTAAACAAGGAAAAAACCTATTCAAAAGACTAGCATTGAAACACAGTTTCTTGTATGTTCATCGAAGTTAAGCATCATCGAGTCTGGTCAGTACCTAGATGGGTGACCATTTGGAAATAACAGGTGCTGTAAGTTTGGATGTGTGGGTGACATAATGGATAATGGCTCAGAATTGTTAATTGTGGAGCTGAGTTCCAATTCCAGTTGGAGTCATCATATTTACTTGCATGCAAAAACCTTTGGGAAAGGTATGAATTCACCTGTTCTCTCCACAGCTATGGGTTAATTAAAGACTTGTATCACTAAATCATTATTGCCTAAAAAAAAAATTCTTGCAATCTAAAACTATTTAGCTTTAAATAACCTGCAAAAGGTTGATAAGCCATAGAAAATGAATGAATGAATCAATCAAAACATCAGGGAGGAGTGTGAACTGGATGATAGGAAAACCTATCTACTCCTATTGCGGAAAAAAATTAAAATAAATAAAATTACAAAGTTTGTTACCATAAAATAAAAAGTAAGGAAAGTTGGCTCTCTGTCATGGCAGGAAATTTTTTCTCATCAGAATTCATTTTGCACATTCATTCATGCATTGAATATTGCTGCCATATCTGGTCTGGTGCTCCTGCTATTCATCTTGAGGTTCTTAACAAAATCCAAAGAAGAGTCTGTTATGTAAGCAATTCAGACTTGGTATCTCGACTTCAGTCACATTTTCACCAACACACATGTGGCTTCCCATTGTCTTTTCTACAAATATTTTCATGGCAATTGTTCTGATGCGTTTTTTTTTTTTTTCCTGGTGCCCTGACTACAGGAATTTAAGCATGTTACTACATTAGTATCTAGGTCCAACCTATTTACTGTTGAACTAGCTAGATGCAACTGCCGCTTCTACCCCAACACTTTCTTTTCTCGCACTCCCTGCCTGTGGAACTCCTTTCTGTTTACTTGCTTCCCTGATAACTACAATCTTCAAAGATTTAAATGCAATGTCAATCACCATCTGTCTTCTTGAATCTTGTTCTTTTTTGTTCTTTCCTCAATCCTCCCTATACTCACACTTTTCTCTAACTTTCACTACCCCCTGCATACTAGTGGCATTTCTGTCTTGCTTGGGATGAAATGATTTAAAAAAAAAAAAGAAAAAAAAAAGGTATACCATAGATTAATTTTTTGTTAAAAAAATATTGTTCAAATGTTCAAGATTAAAATAATTTCCAGTCTACTTGAGCCATTGGTTTCTGAATAATTCTTAATTTAGTATAAAATGGTAATAAAAAAAAGTTTGTTTTAGTACTACTAACTGCTAATTATAGTCTTCTTATTTTTCCTTTCTTGACCAGACTGCTTTTGGTTTCATCAGTCATAGTGACAGTACTGTGATAATAATAATTAGCCTTTTGCAAACGATTATAAATTCTATAAATAAGAAATAACTTGACATTAAGTGGTTGCTGCCTAAGTATGTATTTAAGTGAGCTATTACTTAAATGGGTCCCTTAGGATTGACTAGAATTTGTTCATTGATGTCGGAGAAACAGAATTATTACTATGTCCTTTGATTTTATTGTAGAACAAGTCATTCATAATTTTGGGGGATTGCTGTAACATATCTAAACACCCAATTACTCATAATTTAAAGTATTCAGTGTTGATTTGTACAACCCTATGAATGAGGAATGAAAGGACCTGACATTTAAAAAAAAAAGAAAAAAAAGAAATACTGAATTCTGTTAATTGAAAACTATTTTATTAAGGAACTCTTGAAATAACTAAATTTTTATCAAATTTCTGTTTAGGCACACATAAAATTCATACCTTGTGGAAGTTTGATGGAAGAATATTTTGATTGCAACTATTAATATTGTCTCTATAAATACAAGGAGAACAGAAAGATAATGACACAAACATTTTATTTTCAAAGTAATTAAATTGATTACAATATATTTAGAAATAAATTATTTTTTGAGGACCTGCTAATGAGAAGCTGTAAACTCTTGGAAAAACTGAGCAGAGTATTTTACTTAGAAAGCAAAGATTTTTCAGGTATCTTTAAAATACACAAATACGCACACTTGATTTTTATATAACAAATTGTAATCATTGACTTTTCTCTTGCATTTCAGTTTGGCTGTAGCTGCTATTCCAGAAGGTCTACCCATTGTTGTCACAGTTACACTGGCCCTTGGAGTAATGAGAATGGCTAAGCGAAAAGCCATTGTCAAAAAATTACCCATTGTTGAAACTTTAGGTAACTTGTATTTTTCTTTCTAACTTAAGAAAGGAAAGCAGAGAATAGTAGTTTAATAGTTCGACAGAAATGTACCTTTCCAAGAAAAAAATCTAAGATTTTTTTTTTTTACCAAGATTTTTTTTTTTTTTTTTTTTTCCAAGATTTTTTTTTTTTTTTTTACAAGATTTTTTTTTTTTTTTTTCCAAGATTTTTTTTTTTTTTTTTTCAAGATTTTTTTTTTTTTTTTTTCAAGATTTTTTTTTTTTTTTTTTTCAAGATTTTTTTTTTTTTTTTTTTTCAATATTTTTTTTTTTTTTTTTTTCATTTTTTTTTTTTTTTTTTTCAAGATTTTTTTTTTTTTTTTTTTTTTCAAGATTTTTTTTTTTTTTTTCCAAGATTTTTTTTTTTTTTTTTCCAAGATTTTTTCTTTTTTTTTTTTTCCAAGATTTTTTCTTTTTTTTTTCCAAGATTTTTTCTTTTTTTTTTCCAAGATTTTTTCTTTTTTTTTTCCAAGATTTTTTCTTTTTTTTTTCCAAGATTTTTTTTTTTTTTTTTTTCCAAGATTTTTTTTTTTTTTTTTACAAGATTTTTTTTTTTTTTCAAGATTTTTTTTTTTTTTTTTTTTTTTTTTTTTTTTTTTTTTTTTTTCCCAAGATTTTTTTTTTTTTTTTTTTTTTTTTTTTTTTTTTTTTTTTTTTTTTTTTTTTTCCAAGATTTTTTTTTTTTTTTTTTTCCAAGATTTTTTTTTTTTTTTTTTCCAAAGATTTTTTTTTTTTTTTTTTTTTCCAAGATTTTTTTTTTTTTTTTTTTTTTCCAAGATTTTTTTTTTTTTTTTTCCAAGATTTTTTTTTTTTTTTTTTTTTTTCCAAGATTTTTTTTTTTTTTTTTCCAAATTTTTTTTTTTTTTTTTTTCCAAGATTTTTTTTTTTTCCAAGATTTTTTTTTTTTTTTTTTTTTTTTTTTTTTTTTTTTTTTTTTTTTTTTTTTTTCCAAGATTTTTTTTTTTTTTTTTTTCCAAGATTTTTTTTTTTTTTTTTTTTTTCCAATTTTTTTTTTTTTTTTTTTTTTTTCCAAGATTTTTTTTTTTTTTTTTTTTCCAAGATTTTTTTTTTTTTTTTTTTCCAAGATTTTTTTTTTTTTTTTTTTTTTTTTCCAATTTTTTTTTTTTTTTTTTTCCAAGATTTTTTTTTCTTTTTTTTTTTTTCCAAGATTTTTTTTTCTTTTTTTTTTTTTTCCAAGATTTTTTTTTTTTTTTTTTTTTCCAAGATTTTTTTTTTTTTTTTTTTTTAAAGATTTTTTTTTTTTTTTTTTTTCCAAGATTTTTTTTTTTTTTTTTTTTTTTTCCAAATTTTTTTTTTTTTTTTTTTTCCAAGATTTTTTTTTTTTTTTTTTTTTTTTTCCAAGATTTTTTTTTTTTTTTTTTTTCCAAGATTTTTTTTTTTTTTTTTTTTCCAAGATTTTTTTTTTTTTTTTTTTTTTCCAAGATTTTTTTTTTTTTTTTTTTTTCCAAGATTTTTTTTTTTTTTTTTTTTTTCCAAGATTTTTTTTTTTTTTTTTTTTCCAATTTTTTTTTTTTTTTTTTTTTCCAAGATTTTTTTTTTTTTTTTTTTTTCCAAGATTTTTTTTTTTTTTTTTTTTTTTTTTTTCCAAGATTTTTTTTCTTTTTTTTCTAAGATTTTTTTTTTTTTTTTTTTCCCAAGATATGTTCTCCAGATCACAAATATGTTTAAAAAAAAAAAAAAAATTTTTGGTAAGGGAGGGGTCAGTTTGTTGTGCAAATTCATAGTGAATAGAGCCACCTATACAAGCCAAAGAAAAAAAATAAAGGTAATAGAAGTAATTGATAATGATAAAGGGAAAGGTAAGTAAACATATACTTTAAATTCCTATTTCATTGTGGTTTTGGGCACTTTCATGTGGTACAATGGTTAGTAAGTTTGTTGTGCTAGATCACTTATGACTAAGTAGTGAGTTTGATCAACACTGGGTGCTCCACACTTTCAGCCTTGTGCCACATCTAAGCTATGATTATAAAATTGCCATAATTTGTTGCTGTTTTGAAATTATTTGAAACTTTGTAATAATTATTTTAGCGCAACAAAGAAAAAAGTTAAGTAAAAAATGTGTTAAATAATATAAATATTAACTTTTTTTAATTTCAACTTGAAATTTTTGGAAACTAGAATGTTTTTGGAACACGCTGATGAGTGGTGAAATCCTCTCAGTATTTAGTATTGTTGAAATTATCACTAATATTTTTTGTCAAGATTTATAAACTCTACATTTTGTTCAAGTTTGCAAATCAATCGATGAAATTTGAATAAGCTGATTTGTCTGGAAAAATACTTTTACAAAAAACCCTACTTCAGTTTTTATGCATACTAATAAAACCAACTATACTTTGTACCCACTTACCTGTTTGCACTTCTCAAAATTTGGTTTCAATCGGATAATCATGGCTATTTTAAATGATGTGGCAGACAGACTAACGGAAATAACAATTCTATATATAAATAGATTAGGAATATACTACATAACATGATAGCATATTTTTTTGGCTTTTTATAGGGTGGGGATGTTACAATGAATTTATATAGCAAACTTAACCCATATCCCCTCTAAAAGAAATTGCAAAAAAATGATTTTCATGTTTTGGAGCGCTTAATCAATAGTGCTATGAAAAATTAATTTTGAAAAAATTATTTCTTGAAAAGGTGTTTTTGTCTCTGAGTTTTACAACTATAGTTTTTTTTTGTATTTTTTTCCTGCTATTTTCTATGGATTTTCTGTGATTTTATTGGCCTGAAATCTAGTGCCTCATGTTTTCATTTTCCTTATCTGACAGATGCTTTGCCATAAGATAGAAGATATATTAAATTTGAGGAAAACAATTCTTTTTCTGAGAAACAATAGAAAACAGAAATTACTCTTGAAAAAATGAATATTGCATTTCAAGGCAATGTTTTTAAGCATTTTATGCACTGAAATAAAAAAAAAATCGACATAAGAGAATCTTGCATCCCTAAACTGTAATGGATAGAGGCTTGGAATGAAAAATCAAACAGCAAAGTTAGAATTACAGTCAGATTTGTTGCATTCATTTACATGTAAATACCTTTGGGAAAGGCATAAGTCTATCTTCCCTAGCTATGGGTTAAACAGTACCTATATCTGGAAAAATCATTATTCTCAAAAAAATTGTTATTGTAAAAAAAATTTCTCAATGCCAAATAGGATTCAGCTTTAAATAACTCACAAAGGATTGATAAGCCATAAAAAACGAATCACTTACATAGTAAAACAGCTTCTCAAATAATTTTTGAATATTCATGAACAAAATTTTCATATTTCTTGTCTTCAGCCAATAATAGCTCAAAGCATCAATCTGAAGATCCTAAGTTTGTATGTTAACAACAAATAGTAGTTTGTGTTTCAGTAGATGTTCAAGTTAAAACTTGACAGTTATTACCCCAACAATAAATCCATAAGATATCTTTTCAGCCAATCCATGACAAGGACATTTTTCTTGTCAGATATATAATGATTATGAATAGCGGAACCTTTAAAGGCGTAGTAGCATCACATATATTGCAGCTGTAGCAGCGGTAGTGTTTCTCGGGCAAGATAGCCTGACCAAGTCCAACTCTATTCAGGCTAGTTCTGAATTTAGTTTTCCTTCTCCTAGACTGGTTGCCAACCATGGCTATAGGACACTGTTGGTCCTGATATTTACCCATAGCTGGAGGGAGAAGAGATAGATTCATACCTTTCCAAAGGGTATTTGCATGTAAGTAAATGTAATGAACCTGACTGAAATTTGAACTCTGATTTTTGATTCTGAACAACTATCCATTACACCATTGAGCATCCACAAGCACACACAGGTTCCCAGAATTTCTAATCATTTTTTGCAGAAAATGATTAAAAATTCTGGAGACCCTTCACATCAAAGTATAGCAACCCACTATCAATAAAATGTGTTTCAATCTAGTCACACTCTTGTTGAAATGCCTTTAATGCATAATGTCATTTTAATCATAGTAAAATTTATTCCACTGCCAGAGCATGTGAATCCATGTTTATTCCCAACTCTGGAGATTAACAACATATATACTACATTTGCTATTTCTTTATTTTCTATTTTCTTTCCTTAAAAATAACCTAGAATGATCAAAAGTACTCAAAATATTACACACAATTTTGGCAAGTTTCCACCTGACATCAAACAGCTTATTTGACAAGGAACTTACTAAAAGACTTAACCAATATTCCTTGTTTGATCTATTCAATAAAATATTTTTAATTAGAACTAGACCAGTATGTATGTCGATCCGAGTAACCTACAGGACAATAGCCTAGTGAATTAAAATGTTGGTTTATGAAGTTGGTGACATAATGGACCGAGCAGTGGAAACAATGCAAGCAAAAACTGAGTAGTACTAAATGTAACTAGACAAGATATCCCTAAACATGAGCAGTGGAGCTCGAACAGTCTACACCTGTAAGTTAAATAAAGGGTTCAGTTCAGAATTCCCTGTAGGTTACCCAGATTGATATACATCTTATAAAAGCTGGAGTGTACAACGGCAGAAGTGCTGTGGTAACAATAACAATGACAATAGTCCAAATATAAATAGTATACGTAATGCTAACTCTTCATCTCAGAAATTCAGACAGAAAATATTTTTAAATGAAAACTTGCTGCCTAAATATGCTAAGATGTATTGTGTTTTATGTATGTTGTGTATCAAACATCAATTGCAAGAAAACAGAATGCAGGGTTGTCAACAAAAGAGACAACCCAAAAATGCAAATTACAAATTGGAGATGCCAAAATCAAACAACAATTTAAATATCTGGGAAGTGTTTTAACAGAGGATGAAAAGTGTAACCCTGAAATCTGAAGGCACATTGGGATAGTGAAAAATGCCTTCCAAAAGCTGAGCAAAGTATTAAGAAACAGAAAAATTTTGTTGGATACAAAAAAAGAAAGAAAGAAAAGATACAGAATTGTTATGTCATATCAATCCTTCTATATGGCAGTGAATGTTGGACAATCTCTGAGGCTTCATTTTTTTTTTTTTCTTAATTATATTTTATAAGAGAAATTTATTACAGTTTTTAATTTTTTGAGGTCAACTTTTTAATTTTATTTCTCTTTTTTTCACTTCTTTACAGGATGTGTGAATGTTATCTTTTCTGATAAAACTGGGACACTAACAAAAAATGAAATGACTGTTACTCAGATGTATACAGCAGATGGCCAGCATGCAGATGTAAGTACAGTTTATTTTCAATTCTTAAATATTTGAATAAAGCAATTTGCTGAATATCTTTTTTTTTTTTTTTTTTTTTTAATGATCTTAAATATTTATGAGTCTACGATTCGTCCATGCATTGAATATTGCTGCCACATCTGGTCTGATGTTTCTGCTATGTATTTAGAGATTCTAGATAAAATACAAAGAATCTGCAATGTTATTGTTCCTGACCTGGCATCTCGGCTTCAGTCACTTTCTCACTGCTATAATGTCGCCTCCCTGTGTCTTTTCTATAAATATTTTCATGGTAATTGTTCTGATGAACTTTCCTTTTTGGTACTTAGACTTTATGAATTTAAACACAATACTACATTGACATCTGGGTCTCAACATTTTACATTTGAATTGGCTAGACGTAACCATGACTTCTATGCTAGCGGTTTCTTCTCTTGCACTTCTCACTTGTGGAAATCTCTTCTGGCTTCCAGTCAAATTTGATCTTCAAAAATTTAAATGCAACATCAATTCCTGTTCTTTTATTATTCTCTCTCCTTAATTTTTTTTTTTAATATTCTTTCACACTTGTGTCTTAGTGGCTTTATTGCCTTCTTTGGAGTGAAATGATTAAAGGAAAAGCTATAAAGCTGCACATTACATTATCGTGTTCAGCTTACTGATTAAAATAAAAATGAAAAATGTCCAAGAACAAAATTTAATGACAATTGAAAATATCAAAAGAAAAACAAAATTAAATCACAGATATTTTTTACATACATTTTATTTAGAAAAAGAAAAATTAAATGATTAACTTTTATCCCGTTTTATAAAAACTTAATTGTAATCATCCTTAGAGTGAAAGATTTGTGGGTGACAAATTATTTTTCACCCTACAATCACTTTTTCACAGACAAGACCTCACTGCTCTATCACTATTTCCATGGAGTGTTGAGATGAACTGCACTCTTTAGTTCCACCAATCTTAACCTTCACAGTTAAGAGCTGCCCTCCTATGTACATTGAAATGAACCACCCTCATTCCTTTTGTGAGATGTCAGTTCCACTTGAGAATCTTCTTTCCATGAGTCTTGTGGAACCAACTCCCAAGAGTATGCTTCCCTAATCATTACAATCTTGACCTGTTCAAGTCTAGAGTTAACTGTTATCTTCCACTCCTATCTGCACAAATTGGCTCCTAATGTGACACTCTATCTCAGGTGGCTCCGAGCCTTGTATAGGGTGAACTCAATTTTAAAACAAAAACATTTATATAGCATTTTAGCCATTGTTCTTTAAAATATCTATTCGTTATGGAACATTGGCCTCTTTTTGATGATGCATCCGAAACAGATGCTAACCAATGTAGCAGAGGTTGTATTCATTCAGATGTGCAAATAGTTTCAGTGCGAATTTGGATTCACAAGCAGTCCCCAGCCACATGTATACACACTTTTTAGGAAAGTGCAGTCTGGTTTGAATTCAGTTTCTTTCTCCTAGACTAGTCGCCACTCAAGGCTATATGGTAAGTTTTGCTATTTAATCATAGCTTGGGGGAGAAGAGATGGCGTCATTGTCATTTCTTTCCCAAAGGTATTAGCATGTAAATGAATGTAACAAACTTGACTGGAATTTGAACTGAACTCTCTGATTCCACAATCTGAGCCACTACTCTCCTATATAGTTAGTTAGTTCTAATTCCTTATGGGAGTGAATGAAAGCTGACCAAGCATAGCAGAAGTCGCATTCATTCGTAGGAGTTTCAGTGGGAATTTGGATTCAAAAGGGGTCCCCAGCTGCATGTATACACACTTTTAGAAGAAGGAAACTCTGTTCTTTAAGTAATAAAGAATATTTTTTGGCATAAATAATTTCTGTTAAATATTATGATAAATGGTATACATTTGTTTTTGGCCCTCAGTTGTTTCACGTATCTCTCATTATAGGATGAGGGGGAGTTTTATTGAGATTTTTTTTTTACTGAATTGTGTTTTATAAAATAAACTTTGTTACTTGCATTTATTGTTTTCATTCCCTTCATTTTTTTTTATGCTTAAAAAAAAGTGGAAGTCCAAATTTTTTTTTTTTTTTTTTAGGTGAGTGGAGTGGGCTACAATTCTGATGGAGAAGTTACATGCCAAGGCGAGACAATCCGAGAAAATTCCAATCCATCCTTTTATAAAATAGCCGAGGTATGTGAAGACAATAATAAAAAGGACTCTTCAGTTTTTTGGGGTTTTTTTTTTAACTTTGCCACTAACATTTATCTGCTCTTTTGACATAGTTTGGGCACAGTTTTATGAAGTAACTATCTGCAACTTGTTTGTCTTTTAAATTAGATAAGACAAGAAGTGTATTAAGCGATAAAATTGTGTAAATTGCCTCTGATAACAGCCTACATTCAGTGTCAAATCACTTACTATTTATAGAATTTCTATTATAATTATTTTTCAAGTGCTAATTATCACTAATTGTAATTGATATTAAAGTATTATCACAAATATGTCACTCTGGCTGATAGGTAAGAGAGCAGACTTCTTCCCTCCTTATTTTTGTTATTTTCTCATGGAAATTACTTTGTTAGAATAATTAAAGGGTATTGTATTTTGTTATATTGATTGATACATTCATTACAACTTATTGACCCTTTGCAAATTATTTAAAGGCAGAAAATATTTCTAGATTGTAATATTTTTTAGCGGTAATAACAGTTTAGTGATACAAGTCTTACTAATTAACCCATAAATGGGGGAGTAGAGGTGGATTCATACCTTTCCCAAAGGTTATTTACACGTAAGTATATATAACTAATCCAACTGGAATTGTAACTCGGTTTTCTGATTAAAAATTCACATTCGTTAATTACACCACCTGCACACCCAAGCTTACAGCACCTGGTATTCCCAAATGGTTACCCAATCTGGTACTGATCAGATTCCATGTTGCTTAACTTTGATGACCGTACAAGAACTGGTATTTCATTATAATATGGTCGTAAGCCCTTGCAGTGTTATAGTAACAAACACAAGCAAACCTACAGAAATCGGATCATTAAATAGTTCACTGAGATATGCTAAGAATGACAATCTCGTGGATGTTGCAGGGGTAGTGTAATGGATAGTGGCCCAGGATGAGAAATTAGAGGGCTGAGTTCAAAGTCCAGTCAGGTTCATTACATTCACTTATGTGCAAATTCCATTGATATGAATCCATCTCCTCTTCACAGGTATGGATAAAATAGGATTTGTATCTGAAAAAAGTCATTGTTATTCTTAAAAATAAAATTGCAATATTCACTTGTAAAAAAAAAAAAAAAAAAAGTACCAATTATTGTTACAATCCAAAATACAACCACCGAGAAGGGAGCTTGTATTTGATCAACACAAGCAAGGTTACCTGACGTAAAGAGTTTGATATTGAAAAACCCAAAACTTTTAATAAAGCCAGGACAACATCATTGATGACCCGTCTCGGACAATTTGAAGAATGTATGCTTTGAGCCAGAAAACAATAAGTGACCCCAAAATAATTGAGAGGTACCTGAAGGTTTTTTTTTTTTGTTTAACAGTGGTTCAAAGCTCAAGAGCCACTCAAGGTAGAGGTTTACTGAGTGAAGTTGATGAATGTTTGATCTGGGATTGTAGTGATCAAACATTATCTTTACAGTGTTGTTCTTGTGAAGGAAAGTAGATATTCTTTGAAAGACATCTGGTTTTGAAGAAATAGGCTGTGGGGAAGGGGGTTGCAGAGTGGAAAATAATTCATCACCTACAAGGCCATGTAGATGCTTTTGAACTTTGTCAAGGCTGGAAAATGAGGACTGAACAATACTATATGACGTGTGTGTCTGAGATTTAGTTTACATTTTTCACTTTGAGCTCCTTATTAATACTATAAGCCAGACACGTGTGTAAAGAGATTTAAAATTTAAATTACCTACCATAAAATCTGGCATTATTATTGTAGGTTTCTAAAAAAAAAAAAATCCAATGTTAGTTATGTTCTTCAATGTGCCATATCTCTTCAAGAAATAGGTGATCAAGGTTCTCCACGACTTCCTATCCCTTGTGTTATTAATTATAGGTAATTCAATGAAATGCTTTTTCCTTGCTTCTAACTTCTGAGAATTTTTTTAGAATAAAGAGAAAAAAATGAAACCTCATCTTGTTTCTGACAAAATATTTCTGAAGTTGTTTTTTTTTTTTTTTCTGCAGAGAATTGATCAAATTTATTTATGTTATGTTTTAGGTTGGCAGTGTGTGCAACAATGCTGATATTACCTTGAATGGGCTTCATGGACAACCAACTGAAGGAGCCCTGATTGCATTGGCCCTCAAGGTAAAAATCATACTGCTCTTTAAATTTCAGCTCTATTTGAATTCCTTAAAGATAATTTTTTTTCTTTTAAGTAAATGAAACAAATTAGATGAATATAGAAAAAAAAAATTCTTTTATTCTGAAAGTTTTGCTTTTTTTAATTTTTGGATTAGAACAGGAATAAATTTATCCAGAAGAAAAAAAAAATTACATAAGTGCCTTTGAGCCACAGAGGAGTGTTTCAGTTAGCAAGGTCAATTTTACTGTTTTTAAACTACAGTTCTCCATGATTTTCTCTCATACATCCATATCTGCTCGATGCGTATCCAAAAATGTCTCAAAATAATTGACGGACTTTGTGCATTTCATAATGTGTGATGTCATTTGTTTACTTTTGGATATGCATTGAACAGATATGAATGTACGCGAGAAAATCATGGAAAATTGTAGTTTAAAAACAGTAAAATTGACCTTGCTAACTGAAATGCTCCTCTGTGGCTCAATTGGTAAAAGCACATCAGGCTATATGACAGTTCCGTATAGGATAAGTACGTTTCTATAATAAAAATTCAAGTAATGTTAATTTTTTTTTGTTTTTTTTTTTTGGTTTTTTTTGTTCACTACATCATTCTTTTAGGTTTGGGGGTGGGGAGATAGTACAAAAGTGAATGTAACAGACTATCCCAGAATTTGAACTCGAATCTCCAGTTCCACTTCCTATGACAATGTTGTCTGGTTGCCTTTTATTTATTGACTCTTTATTTACTTTTCTTTCAAAAATGTTGCTGATTTGTTTTTGTTTTTTTAAATTCTTTTTAAGATGAACATTCATGATAGCAAGCAGCAATATGTCCGACTTCAAGAATTAGCGTTCAGTTCTGAAAGCAAATTTATGGCTGTAAAGTGTGTTTCCAGGTACAGACAGGTGAGCAAATTAATTTCCAAAAAGATGAAAAAAAAATGTTTTTAGAAATTTTCTGTTAGAATCAATTTAACAAAAATAAATTAAAATTAATTTTAACAAAAATAAAAATCCTTCTGTCCTTGATATTATGAAATTTATAGAATTGCGATTAAAATTGATGCTACTTAATAAAAATTTGCCCTCAGCCAATGAATTTTGATGATTAGCTCATTTTCTGGAATATCAATGTAATGATATTCTATATCCTGTATCCCTTCATGATGTTGGCAATCATGACTCTCCACAATTTCCTGTCCTTTGTAACCCTTAATAAATTTTATCTTTTTATCTCTCCTAAACTCTCTTCTTGCTAAGTAGGTTATGCATTATCTTCTTCTGTTCCTCCTGCCTTCAACTGGTCATGTGGGTATCAAATTTTCCAAGCCCTCTTTCCTTGTTATTTGCTCTAAAATACAATACATAAAATTAAGGTTAAAGAACAAAAAAAAAAAAGCGTGTTCTTATTTTAGACTTTGATAAGTCTGGCACAGGGCCGCAAATGTGGAGCACTCAGTAAGGATCAAACTTACTAGCAAGGTTTTGCAAGACTTGAACATCTCTATATGGCAGACACCAGTATAAGTACTTGATCAGCATACTTAATTACGATTAAGTATGACCCACACTGAATGCTTTAGAAATAAGCCCTTCTGCCAGTATCATACAGGTTTACTCAATAGGAAGCCATTAATAACCAATAATTGAAATCTTGTGCATTGTTCCAAATTAAGTTAAGACAACTAAACTCTTTGTGTTGTTTATAACTTTAGGAAGACTTTTTGTTTACTATTCTTAGATGTCTAATACAAGAAGTGTTCTTAAAAATCAATTTTTTCTCAGTCTACAATAAATGGGGGGGGGTCAGTTCCTGGTTGTATGCCATATTGGATTGTCGTGCATTCACTCTCTTTCATTTGTGTTGTGTTTGTAGAAACTTATTGCCCTTCATTATGGCTCTCAAGTGTAGTGTAATCTCTTCTGATGACGGTGCTTTGAAGAAAAAGAAAGCCATCACTATGGAAATGAAATTAGACATTGTTAAACACTCCAAAAAGGGAGAAAAAGCAACAAACATTGGCCAGTTGCTTGGCTTAAGTCATTCAACTGTCTCTTAAAACATGTACATATGTGTATACATAGTTTCCTCTGTTAGAGATTCTTGTCATTTTCTTTTTAAACTGTAAGTTGGTGAATTCCCAATAAAAAGGAAAACAAACTTGTTTGTTTTTCTTTCTTTCTTTCCCAGATTTGCTGCTGCTTCCAAAGTATTGCAAGAGAGACAAGATCTTACACTTCATCATCTCATTTACCAAAAGCCAATGACATTACTGGCAATAAATATACAAGCAGCTTAAAACCATTTTATTATATATATATATATATATATATCCTTAAAGAGGTTACAAACAGACAAAGGTGGTATTTGCATGAAAAGAACAGCAACTCGTGCGTAGATGAAAGAAATTTATCATAAAAGAGAATACACTATTGAAAGACAGGCTAGTAATTCACGAAGCAAGGTTATTTACCTTACCTCTCCATGAGGCAGGATGTGGCACAAGGCCATTTTTTAATGCGGGGCAAAAAACCGAGCCTGTAGACTCAGGCAAAAATTCCCTGTAAAAAACAGGGTCGGGTAGATGTCTACCACCCCAGATGAGACTCTGCCCCTCAGGCAGCGAGTTCGACCGGCATAGTTGGAGATGAATCTTCAACTAATTGCTGAAGTAAGCCTGCCAGGTATATCCTGTGCTTACCTTATATATCTATTGATATAGTCAGTCCACATAGGCGATTATGTGGGAGTGTAGGACATTCCATCACAACATCCCCCCCCTGAGCTAATTTTCCCATAAAATTTTGCTCCTGACCTCTTCTTTTTGAGGTCAGGACATAACTGTTTGATTTTTTTTTTCTCTTCCTAGTACTTTTCTGTCTCATCATTAATACGTCATAGAAATGAGTTATGTCATAGATTGTTACTTTATTATTGTGTTAGCATAGGTGACATAAGTACTTATGGAAAATTACAGGCACATTCTTATTTATGCAAAAAAAATATTAATGTATCATAGGAATAGTTGAGGATTCTCATATAAATTTTTTTTTTCATTCTTGATTCAGTCAAAGTAGTATATTTGTGATATTGCTGTTAATGACAGTAAAAAAATTTAAAAATAATAGAAGATTTTTAATCAAGTCTAGGCTGATTGAAGTACATCAAAAATTCTCAATTTCTGACTTTGAAAATCGAATTCAAAATTTTTATGTCCTACAAACATAAAATAAACAAAAGTTGTTTTTTTTTTTTTCTTCTTTTCTTTTAATTTTTGAGATGCTATCCATAAGTAGATGGTATTTGGTAATCTAAAATGTACTACTCACTTCTTTCAGGATGGTCCACCGATATTCTTTGTGAAAGGTGCCTTGGAACGGGTGCTACAGATGTGTACCAAATTCTACCATCATGGAAGTATCTTACTTTTACATGAAAGAAATACATTGGATTATTACAGCCAAGCAGCCAGAATGGGAACCTCAGGATTAAGAGGTGATTTACTTTTCATTTCTGCTAATAGATTAAATTTTTCTCTCAAAGCATTTGGGGATTATTGTTTAAATAATCACTTTGTCCCTTAAAGTACCTATTATAATTCTGCTTGACCCTCCCTCTGTTAGTTAGCATGTAAATTATGCCTGGCCAATACTTCATTAATAATGGACTATTCTGTTTTGGTTGTGTAGAAAGAGGGGAAAAGACACTATTTGGTTTCAGTGAAAAATGAAAAAAAGAAGGGAAAATAAAAGTGGATAAAAAGAAAATCAGATTAAGCTGATAAAAATAAATACTACACTTTGATCAAAAGGCTGAGAAATTATGGTGACTGTGATAAAGGCACCAATTTTCTGATGCACAATATCAAAATCGCCAAAAATCCTGTTACCATAAATAAAATATCGTCTGCTGAATTATTTTTAAATTACTATTAAAAGAAATATTTGTAAAACCAGGATTTCGCTAGTCTTATAATTCTGCTTGTTCCTCCCTTAGTTAACACACATGCCCTGCTAATACTTCATAAATAATGGATTATTCTGTTTTGATGAAATGACAGAAAAGACATATCAGAGATACTACTTGGTTTCAGTGAGAAAATGAAAGAAAGTGTTATTGCTTCTTCTATCTTCCTTATTGTGTTTAATGTCTGACAACTTTTTCCATTTCTCTGAAACAATTTCAAATCTCTTCATTTGTACTGCCTTAATTTAAATAACAACCAGCATTCATATTTGATTGTTATTGCAATAATTTGTTAAAGTTAAGCTCAAATATTTAATGATGTGATAGAGGAATTTCTACAGATATTTCTACAGATATTTCACTGTCATAGAACTTGCCATGAGCTTATTCAATCATTAACTTAAGATTCATCAGAAAATTCAAATAGGAAAATCATGAAATTTTCATAGGTATTTCTAGAGATATATGCAATATCTCTATTCTGTCAGTAACAGAAATTCCTGACAAATGACAATATCTTTCTTCTTGATTTTCAGCACTTGACATACAGAAAGTTGTTTGCGCAAATTTTATGTCATAAATTGCAAAAATCATTCTTTTTTTGGCATGAAATATTTTTGTTAGGTTTAGCTTATTTTTTAAACTGAATAGAGTAGCTGTAAAGTCAGTGGGTAGCAATAAAAAAAATATTCAGAACTTTGCTCACATATGATAGTTACTAATTTAGGTACTGCCTAAAATGAGAGCATACCGTGATGAAAAAAAGACCCCAAACTTGATAAAAACGAAGTTTTATCGTCAAAATGTTTGTTATTATTAAGAGGAAAGACCAATGTATTTTTATTTCATTAAATTTTTTAATCCTTTCTAGAATGGCTGAAATTTTGGTTAAAATTTTTTTTTCTTTTTTTTTGCACCAGTGGGTGGGCCAAAGATTAGTATTGGAAATTTAGCTTCCTTTTTGCATTAAAAAAAAAAACAAAACATTGTTTTGGAAATTCTTGCAAAAATCAAATAATTGTCGAATTTTAATTAAATTTTCAGGATTTATTCACAAATGAATGAAATGGTTTTGAAATTGTTTTTTTTTTTTTTTTTTTAACCTCTGTTACCCCCATTTAATTTTATGAAATTTCAAGAAATTAAAATTTCACTGCCTTCATATTTATATTAGTTAAAAGCAGGGCTCTTCGAGGATTTTGTTTTTTGTTTAACAGAAACACCATTTAACAAAAATTTTCTCTGAATCATAAAATAAAAATTTCAACAAAATTATGACATTATTTAATTAGAATTGCTTTTATAAATAATCTACATTAAGGACACTATTGCCGTAAAACATTTTTTTAAAATTTTATTCAGAATACTTTATAAAGTTTAAAAATCTTTTTAAATTCTGTATTAATTTCACCTCTTTAGATGATATTATTATTATTATATAAAAACTATATTTACTAATCATAAATAGAAAACTTAGTACAAATCATCAAACACCAATATTTTTGAAAGAATTCAAAATTTTCTTTTTGTGTTTATAAACGTTTTTTTTTTAAATGGATGACCATACGCATTATCAGAAAATAAGAACTATAACTATACTAAATTTAAGGCCAAAATTTCTAAAATTCAGTAAAACATTAGATTACAGAGAATATTTTCCTACTTCAAAATTATATAAAAATGGCACTTACGTTATTTTCTTCAGTTACATTTTACAGATAAAAGTCCCCAGGTCGAACATTAGATATGTCAACACCTTAAATAAATAGTTATTGTTGTACACTATTTACATTATTCGAACAATTGTCCTCATCCTTTGTCGCCATATTTATTTAAATTTAATTTGTGAGATTAAAATCCAAATTTTCTTTTCTTCTACTTTCAGTGTTGGCCATGGCATATGGTGATGATATGAAGGATTTGATATTTGTTGGTTTGGTTGGTATCATTGACCCCCCAAGGCCAGGGGTTCGTGAAGCCATCAAGAGGCTGATGAGGGGTGGGGTCACAGTCAAAATGTTGACTGGTGATTCAGAAGAAACAGCTAAAGCCATTGGTTAATAAGATTTCTTTGTTGTTTTTCTTTTCATTTTCAATTTTGAAATATAATTGTTGCCTATAGAATTATATATTTTGTTTCTACTTACGTAAATCTCTTCAGGTAACTTGTGCTAAATATCTCTCTCTGCAATTGTCTCCAAACTTTTTTTTACTAATGTTCACTCTATACAAGGCCTAAGAGCCACTCAAGGTAGAGTCTGACTTTGCATAAGATTAGTGTAAAAAGGACAAACGTTAGGAATACAGAGCTTAGGTAGTCTTTAGAAGGATCCAGAAAGCCAATTCTAAACAAGAAACAAGGGATAAACCTCTACTCCTGTTTGAAAGACTGGGGAGGATTGTGAACTGGATGATAGATGAACCTATCTACTCCTTTCTTATTGATTTCATTCAATGGAAAAATTCTGTCTGGACCATTCAAAAGCAATAAAATCACTTTCCAGTCTCAATAGGGTCCAAAAGAATCTCTGCGGCCTTGTGGGTGACAAATTATTTCCCACCCTGCAATCTCTTTCTCACTGCTCTATTGCTATTTCCATGGAAAGTTTTCAAGCAGATTACCTTCCTTAGTTCTAACCTTCATGGCTGAGATGCACCATGCCATGCCCATTGTAGTGAACCACCTACATTCCCTTCATATTCCATTGCTGAGATATAACTTTCACTTGAACAGAAGCAGCTGCTTTGTGGAACTGACTCCCAAAAAGATGCTTTCTCGATCACTACAATCTTAACCTGTTCAAGTGTAGGGTTAACTATTATCTTCCCCACATAAACTGTGCCTCTTATTCTGTAACCCTCTCCCTCAAGTGGCTCTTGGGCTTTATACAGGGTGAAAATTGTATAAAAAAATGCTCTTGAATATTTATAGTCATATAAAACCTTTTATTTCTATATTTAAAGTTTTGCCCCTGAAATTAAGGGCCTAAACTGACTTTGAAAAGAATGACTATTCTAGTTTTGTTCATGCTTTTATGACCCATATAGATGTTGATACACCTACAGAAAATTGTAATTTGGCATTTCTATTTTAATGTTAAAAAATTCTTTAAAGAGAATGTTCGAATAAAATTCAGTTTTAATCAAGTGAATAATTTGTTTACAAGTAAGATTTTATTTTTGCACATATGGCCTCTACAGCTGTTGATGTGCTTGAAAATTGTTTTGCAGTTTTTAAAGTGGACTGAAAAAAATTTCAAGAGTAGGAAAATTTAAAAAAAAAAATATCATCTGCTTTCTCTCGGCCACATAACGAAATAATCTTAAGTACTGTATATACTAATATAAGCAGACTTCATGTATAGTGCAACCCCTGAATTTTCCCAGAAAGAAAAATTACCTGTGTATAATGCAACATCCTATATTTTGTGTAAAAATCTTATCACAAAAATATAAACAATTAATATTTAAGTCTCTGGGAGCCAAGTAAATGCATGCAGACACAAATTTAAATGACCAATATTTATCTATGCCTTAATCAATACTGTATATACTTTCGTATAAGCCAACTTCATATATAGAGCAACCCTTGATTTTCTTTTATTTTTTTTGCATAAATTTTACCTGGTGCAACCAGTTATGTACCATGCATGATACACACTTAGGTAATCATGAATCTTTCGATACATAACTGACTAGGCAGATTTTTTCCCTGCAGTAGGTTGCCATTTCTTTCTGTGGTAGAACAGTTGCAATCCACAGCTATAGAAGCCGGTCTGTCCTGCTATTTACCTATAGCTGTGGGGAGAATAAGAGGATTCATACATTTCTCAAGTGTATTAGCACCTAAGTGAATGTAATGGACTCGACTGGAATTCAAACTTGGCTCTCCGATTCCTCAGTCCGGGCTGCTATCCATTACTCCACCGTGCCTCCTACTAGTACAACCAGTCACCAAAAATATATGATTTTTATACTCTTCAAAAAAAAAAGTGATCATAAAAACTCATTATATTCAAGTATATACAGTAATATTAATAAGAAAATAACTTGTTAAATTACTTTCTTAAATCACCTGATTTTATTTTATTTTATTTTATTTTATTTTTAAAACACAAATTTAAAACCCAAGGTAATCATGTTTTCTTTTCTTTTTTCCTTTTTCATTTCTTAGGTGCTCGTCTCGGTTTGTCCTCTATTGGTGCTGGCTCACTGTCAGGGGACCAAATTGATTCCATGGATATACTCAAACTTCAGAAAGTCATCGGTAATGTTGCTGTCTTCTTCCGAACAAGCCCAAGGCACAAACACAAAATTATCAAGGTTCGTTTGTCGTCATGAAAATGTTTTTACTTTAATTTTTTATTTTTTAAGCAATTCGACCAAATTTGCATTATGATAGGAATTCTTTTAATAATTAATAGAATGAAATGAGTATTTTGACAAATTACTGTATTTGTTAGCATATATGGTGTACATTCAGATAAATGTTCAATGCACTGGTATTATGACTAGAGGGTTATTTATTGAAGCTCAAAATACACAGCTGAGGAGTTGGAGTGAATGATGGTTCCTTCAAATACTAGTGGAAACAATATGACTTATTGTTAAATATTGTAATACAATAATACAAAAGAGGAAAAATGTTTTTAGCCAGTGTAGCCACCTTCTTTGCTGGTCTGTCCGATGTCCAATCCTCGTGGCTGATCATTGAATTGATCACTTTGATCTAAGCCTTGCCTTGTACTATGTTGTTTTATTTTGATCACAAGGCAGGCAAGGATCAAATCATCGACAAGAATCATTGTATTGATTTGGTCTGGCTGGCAAGGATCAAATCATCGACAAGAATCATTGTATTGATTTGGTCTGGCTGGCAAGGATCAAATCATCGACAAGAATCATTGTATTGATTTGGTCTGGCTGGCAAGGATCAAATCATCGACAAGAATCATTGTATTGATTTGGTCTGGCTGGCAAGGATCAAATCATCGACAAGAATCATTGTATTGATTTGGTCTGGGCAGAGTGATGTCACAAGTAAGAAAAGAAAATGTTTTTATATAACATTCTTTGTACAGAACTGGTATTACAATTATGAATTCTTCAGGCAGGAATATATATGTTTTGTGCAGAAGATAAATTCCTCATGCAGAATTATCAACCCTTCCTGCTTTGTATATTAACATGACGCTTTTCTTGATTTGACTAAAGTTTGAAACAAAGCTTCTGGAACAAGGCTTTAGTTGGGGGTTTTCTTTAGGCAGCAAGTCACATGAGATCAGGCGATGTGGTCATCTCTCATCTCCAATGGCATCTTGAGTGGCTACTCCCTTGGTTGCTTCAATCTTCTGCTTATATGGATACTTGTCCAAAACCAGTGTGAGGTCTCACATGGCCTGGGGTTTCAGTGATTTCCTTACCCCCTACAAAGAGTCCTTTGTCGTCTGACTCCAGAAAATTAATTGCATGCCCAATTTTGGGGAGATCCCTCCTCCTAAGAGTAGTGGTAGCAGAATATCAATTCACCCTAACTCCTTCCTTCTCATATTGGTATTTAATACCAATACTATCCAAGTTTTGTAGGCAATTCCTCCGTCCCCCTTGGTATTTCACCTGAGCCCTTCACTTTGGTTGTCATTTTGACAACCTCGATTTTTAGACTGTGTAGGCGAACAGGTGTGGCCTAGCTCCAAATTATTAATTTTATCGTTCAAAATTTTCATCAATGGAATTCCTCAACGTAGACCTCAGTCATTCACCAGCTATTATTCCCTTGGCAGCCTTCTTAGCAAGCTTCAACTTGTGACACTTGGGGTTTGGTTCTTATCTAAAGAAATTCTATATCTTTAGTGATCCATACTTTCCACCTTCTCTGAGAGGTGAAATAAATCAATTCTCAAAATCTTAAAAATATTATCTCTCCATTGATTCCTTTTCATGCCTGTGGTCATCAGGAAACTTTCCAAAAACCCACACTTTAGGGAGTGGACATAAACCAATGTCTTTACTTTTACCTTGTTTCGCAAAAGTCTGTCGACTTTCAATGTTCTTACATCATCTCTCCCCACCCCTCATGGGTTTAAATTATCCATATGACCTTTTTGGCTAAATTCCTTAAGATAATAAAGCCATTTTACTTCAAGTCAATCTATTCATGGAAGAAAAACAAACTTTTTGAATTTAATAAAATCTTGCTTTGTTTCTTGGTATAAACTATCAGGCTATCCCTTTCAGCATCTAATGGTGTCACAAAGGAACAATTCTTGTGTTTTTTCTATTTTTACACAATATATTAAATTCGTTTGTATGTGGCAAAAACTTTTTGGTCTGCATTTTGTAATTAGATAATATTTTAGAAAAGATGACATTTTTCAAATATCTAAATGGCTTGGCATCACAGCTTAATTCACTTTCCAACAATGAAATGGCTTCCCTCTTTTTCTATAAATATTTTTATTTATATTAATTTAAGTGTACGACTAGATTGGCAACTAGGTTGTTTTACTGTTGAAATAGATGTAACTAAGTTCTTTCTCACCTGTGGAACTTTCTTTTCTAGTTTCCCTGTCAACTCTGATCTCAAAAATTTAAATGCAACATCAATCACCATCTTCTGTCTTCCAGAATCCTGTTTTTTTTTATTATCCTATCAGTTTCTTTCACTCTCAGTAACCCCATGCATCTTAATGGCATTATTGCCTTGCTTGGGGTGAAATGATTAAAAAAACAAACCTCTATAACTTTAAAACAAAAATAAAATTGCAATATTTTAAGGCTGGGATGATTTTGTGTAAAGACGTGTAGGATTCAAAAGTATATATAAACATTTTTTTAAAAAGAAGTGAATACTTTATTTGTTTCATCTTTAACGTTGCCTTGTAGCCGAAGAAAACAGTCAACAGTGTTTTCACATTGCTTCAACTCTTTCATGCTTTTTTCAGTTTCTGAGAGTTTGGTGACTTCTATTTCAAAGACTGAGCCTTGGTTATAACCATAGACTCATGATTCATCAATTGTGAGGACTATTTTCAAAATGTTTTCTATGGTGTGGCCAGATGACTACACACTTTCTTTCCAAGCACTGCTATAAACAATGGAAGTGAGCAATAATATTATAACAGTGTGCATGTTCAACAATTTCAATCTGTGCCAAGCAGCTTCACTCTGTGTACTTTAACTCTGTTACTATAGCAACAGTCCTAACACTTTTTGATCAGACATCATATATTTAAATGAAACATCAAATATAGCTTCATGTTATTCTATCAGCCTACTGTCTTCATATTTTTTTATATGTTCGGCTTAGCTTGGCACAAGACCATATTTGTGGGGCACCTAGTAAGAATCAAATTAAATAGTGATTTTCCAAGCATAGCTTAGATGTGGCACAAGGCCAAAAGTATGGGGTACCCAGTGAGGATCCGACTCACTACTCAGTTGTAATTATTCTAGTGAGACAAGCTTGTTAACCATTACACTGCTTCGAGGTTCCCAGTGATTTTCCAAGTGTAGCTTAGATGTGGCACAAGGCTGAAAGTATGTGGTACCCAGTGAGGATCCGACTCACAACTCGGTCATAAATGTTCTAGCAAGACAAGCTCGTTAACCATTACACCCTCAAGGTGCTCTAGAATCAAATTAAATAGTAACAGCTTTTGAGATTAACCTGCTGACCATTACCTTGGGAAGAGACAAGGTGTTTTCCAAATGTAATTTTTTTTTTAAGGAAATCTTAAAGAAAATGGCAGCAGAAAGAACACTTCTACTCAGAATCAGGAAAAGACAGCTGAAATTCCTTGGACACATAATGAGGAAGGAGGAGAATATTGAGGGCAAGAGAGAGATAAGGAAGGCAGTGAGCCACATGTGATAAGCTTGTATGTTAGGGAGTAAAACTACTAAGGACCATGATGGTATATGCAACAACTTCCTATGTCCTGAAGAGATGCAGCATATAGAAGAAGTCCTCCTCTTTGCTAAATGTACTCACATCATCTAAAATTCAATTGTCCGCCATCTATGCTGATGATCTTTTTTTTTTTTTTTTTTCCTTTTTGTAGGCAATGCAGAACAATGGTGCCGTTGTTGGAATGACGGGTGATGGAGTCAATGATGCAGTTGCTTTGAAAAGTGCCGATATTGGAATTTCTATGGGGAAATCCGGCACAGATGTATCCAAAGAAGCAGCAGATATGATTCTTGTTGATGATGATTTTTCCATTATCCTGTAAGTAATTCTTACCTAATTTCAATTTCTCAGATTGTAAAATGTTTGTCCTTTCAGCCATCAAAGGCTTATATATAAAATCTGTGTGTATTTGTTTCAAATACTTGGACTGTTTCCTACCAAATATTAAAAAAAATATAGCAAATATTTAAAGCAAATTAACTCTTATGATAGAATAAATCTAAGAATAATGTCCAGGATTATTTATACCAATTCACTATTTTAAATGCAATGTGTTCTCATGAATACTGGCTGCTGATGGACAACTATGTGAGATCAGATCAGTTTAGATCTTAGAGATCATTTCTGTAGTCAATTATTAGTTTTCCCTCCGAACTGAGCCAATATTAACAATTGTACAATTCAACTACTTACATATACTACTAAAAAAAGTATTTATTATATTTTCTCAGTAATCTAATTAAATACAACATATTATTAACCAGAGCAGGTCTTGTGCACCTCCTCCTTCCTGGAATTTTATACCACTGCCAGTGTGTGATATACCCCCCACCACACACACTGTACTACATCTCAATTTTCATAAGGTAATATTCATAAATAGTCAGTCTTGGTCCCCGCCCAGGGGGTTGCAGTATGCTCTGGTCTTGTTAGCAGCAACATGAGGTGTATTTATTTAATGGCATTAAGTATGCCTCCTGTTTTGCATAACAACAGAATAGGTCACTTAGTAGGAGAAAGTGATCAGGTTTGTGTGATCAATACATTTTTTGCGGGGGAATGGTACCTGAAAATTTTTGAATTCTAAATCATGTAAGGGAAAAAGAAAATGTAGGAATGAAAACAAAAAAAAAAAAAAAAATCATTTTTCATCTCTTTCCCAGTAAAATGCTAATCTTTGATGTATCTTGTCCCCTCACATTTCAGTTGCTTACTTCTCCAGCTCAAAATACCTCACCTATGAAGAGTCTTAGACACTTTCTAAAGATATTTCTTTATAATCATTTGGGAAAGGTATAAATCCACCCCCACCATGCTATGGGTAATTAGCAGGACAGACTGGTTGCTAGCCATGACTATAGAACCCAATCTCGAAGGTCCTCCAGCTATGGGTTAAATAGCCTTACCAACCCACAATTGGCCAAGTGTGGTGAGTATGAAAGAGTGAGAAGACCCTGGATGTGTTATGAACTTTCAGCCTTGATACTTTTAATCATTTTGATAATATATAAACAATATCAAACATTTTAAGTAAATAAGACTCTTTACCTGAAGGTAGTGAACATTGAATTACAAAGTACATTATGAAAATCTAATTGAAACTTAATTCAAACCCCAATTTCTTTTCTCCTATTTTTCTTTTTTCATTGCTGCTGAATAATTTGATTTTTTTTTTTTATTAAAATCTTTTCCAGTTCAGCTATTGAAGAAGGAAAGGCAATATTCCACAATATTAGAAATTTTGTCCAGTTTCAATTGAGCACGTAAGCTTCAGTTATTTTTCTCCTCGTCACCCTTTCAAAATATGCACAGAATTGGTTATTTTTTTAATATTTTATTTTCTATTTGAAATGCAGGAGTATTGCAGCTCTGTCACTAATAACACTGTCCACCATCATGAAACTTCCCAATCCTTTGAATGCAATGCAGATTTTATGGATAAATATTCTTATGGATGGACCACCAGCACAAAGGTAAGATAACCCCCTCCTTTTCCATCTCTTCAATTCTTATATAAGAAAATATGACCTGGTATTGCTTTAACTAAAATGATTTCATATGTACAGCTGAAAAAGTAATTCTGACTATATGGAAAGGGTGTATAAATGTAATGGTATTGCTGATTTTACAAGTTTACACATGGTATGCTTAAGGCATGATTTAAATAATAATCAAAGAAATCATTTCTATTCTGTGCTGATCAAATATTATATAAATTTGTCAGGTTGATAATATTATTCTTTTTCTTCCCAGTTTGGGAGTTGAACCTGTTGACCCTGATGTCATCCGACAACCTCCACGAAGAGTTCGGGACACAATTATCACCAAAAGTTTACTCATCTATATTTTATTGTCAGTTCTCATCATTGTTTCAGGAACATTGTGGGTTTTCTGGAGAGAGGTGAGCACATTGCAACAAATGCCACTGATTTTGAAAACCGCATTTTTTTTTTCCTTCTAATAGAATCTGTGTCTTTCTGCAAGCATTTTATAGAACAGAGGCCTGGCTTCTGTCTTATATAATTTAGTGTTGCTTTCTAGTCTTACATTAGTCCAAATGTAAATAAAACGTTTTTAATGTCTACATCTTTATGTCCTCCAGTCTTCTTCAGAAACATTGAACATCTTAATTGCTGTTGTGCCCAGGTCCACCCTGACCCAGAGTAGTAGCATTTGTTACGATCTCTTTCTATGGGAAAATAGTATTTTGATCCCAGTTTGCATGTTAACTATGAAAGTATAAAAAATATTTTTTTAGGGTGAAAATATCAGCATTACATTTGACTCTCAACAAAAACGCCTTCACAAAAATATGTCAATGAAACTTAAAATCGACAAACCGATTTCTTACAAAGAATACATATACTATTCATACGAACCTATCCTAAAAATCTTGTTGGCACTAAATAACCCATTGAGGTTGATATACTGTAAAACAAATCAAACTAAATCGGCAACATTGTAATAGCAACAAAGATGAGAACATTACTTCCAATCTACTTGTCTGTTAATATTGACTACACTCTTTTTTTTCTTTTCCTCTGGTCATGATAATTTCACCCATATTAAACATATTGAGTGGCTATGAACTTTTTTTTTTATTGAGAGAGAATGGCTGTTTTGTTCTTGTAACAACTCTTCTATTCTACAGCTTAGCAAAATATGTGTCATTTGTATGAATATCAAAGACAAAATTACTGAACTAATTCTTTGTTAGTATTTCGCAATCATTGATATTTTTTATTCTTTTCCAGTTGAGTGACAACAAGATTACTCCCAGAGACACAACAATGACCTTCACTTGTTTTGTATTTTTTGACATGTTCAACGCACTCAGTTGCCGCTCACAGGTAAGGTTTTCTTCCTCTTTGCCTATTATGAAAGTTATAAATTTGGGGATTTTCTGCATTATACTTAAATGAAGAAACTGGATATAATAATATATATATTTTTTTAAATAGTCCAAGAGGGCACAATTTTCTTCACTAATGTTTTCAGCTGACATGAAGTGGAAAGAGAACATTGAATCAATTGCTAAGTCTGCAGCTAAGAAAGTTCGTTCATTATTTCATGCTAGACAATTTTCTTTGCCAGAATTGATTTTACATATTTATAAATCTAGCATTCATCGTTGCTTTGAATACATCTGGTTTGGTGCTCCTGCTTGCTATATATTTAGAGATTCTTGGGCACTTCGGCGTGGTGTAATGGTTAGCAAGCTTGTCTCACTAAAATAATTACGACTGAGAAGTAATTTCAGCCATGTGCCACATCTAAGCTATGCTTAGAAAATCGATATATTTAGAGATTCTTGATATATTACATTATTCGAACTGCTGTCCTCATCTTTATTGTCATGTTCACAACCTTTCAGCTGTTGTATGCTCAAGCCGCCTTCAGGTGCTTGGAATTTCAAACTGAACCCTTTTTGTCCACCGAGATAGATTGTGTCCTCAAGGACACATGGTCTAGTGGATACAAAGCATTGGTTGGATCCAGTGACTTGACTCAGAGTTATGAGTTCAATACCTGGAAATTTGAGTTAAAGGGAGATAACTGAGATATCTGGAGGAGGCATGGCATGAGGAACTAGAACACCTGTGGACGAAAACCTGAAGGTTAGAGCATACAAACATTATGGACAGCAGCTCGAACAATTGTAAATAATTCAATTGTAAATAATTACAATACCTCATCTCAGAAATATAGACAGGCAATGTTTCTTGGTACTGATCTGACATCTCAGCTTTAGTCCCTTTACCCACCAACATAACAAACTTTGCTGTACCTTTCCTATAAATACTTTCCTCTATGGTACTAAGTGCAGTACTAGATAGCATTCCAACTGTAAAATTATGCAAACAGTTTCTTATCTCACACCTCTTGCTTGTGGAATTCTTTCCCAGTTAACTTTGATCTTCAAAATTATTCTCTAACACTCAGTAAACCTCCTTGCATCCTAGTGGCTTTATTGTCTTGTTTGAGGTGAAATGATTATTATCATGCCAACTTTTTTTCTTCTAGACCAAATCCATATTCCAAATTGGATTTTTCACCAATCGTATGTTCATGATAGCTGTGGGGGGTTCCCTCATTGGTCAGCTCTTGGTCATCTATTTCCCTCCTCTGCAAGCCGTGTTCCAAACAGAAGCATTACACATTAATGGTGAGTCAAAAATACTTTTTTGGTTTTTTTTCACCATTCTTCCAATTATAACTAGGATTATTTTCACTAAAAAAAAAAATACTTTAAACCCGTCGAGAAGGCTTAATCAAATTCAGAGCAAGTGTAGCAGTTGCTAATTTGATTTTCATTGAAAAATGTCTTATTGACTCAGTTGAAAGTCAGTGTTAATAATTTATCTTTTGATGATGAATTAATTGCCAATTATTTCATTTAAAAATTAGTAATGTTAAAATGTTGACAGTACCAAATTAATTTTTTTTTTTTTTTTTTTTTTTTTTTTTTCCAGATTTTATTTTCCTCATTGGTTTAACATCGTCTGTCTTTGTGGTATCAGAAAGCAGGAAGCTTTTCTGGGCATTTTGGGAAAAAAAGAAAAGAGAAGAAAAAGAAAAAAATATATATTTTGCTGATAATATTGTATAGCACATCTTTTTCTAATTTGTATATACATTATGGATGTTTTGATATCTGAAGTCCTCAATGGGATTAAATTAATGTCTGTTACCTGAGAGTTTGTTCTTCCTTTTGTGTATTTGCTGCCGCCTTAAAAGCCAAAAATCTTTCACTTCTCCCCAAAAGTAGGGGATTGATTTTAATACATAATGAAATAAATAGGGATCAGAAGGTCACTCACAAATGCACTCAATGATATTTTGAATATCTCGTTGGCAACGGACTGTTGCCTCTGAGCTTGGAACCAGGCCAGACAGACAATGCATTGTCTCTTGGAGGTTGGGCAACATATTGGCATTCTTCAGCATTACTTTGGCCTGCAAGAAAAAAACAAAAATCACAAGATGAAGTGGGGCGATAATGTAACACAATAAAATGTCTACTTCTTAAAGAAGTGTTAAAATAATATTTACCTTTTGATTGTTGTAGATGAGCGCCCACAGTGAAGAAGCTGCAATCATTTTGAGAGTTTCTGATTCACTTGTCAAGCACAAAAGTAGAATGGGAATTAACTTGTCTGCAAGAAGAAAGAAAATTCCTGTTAATTTTGAACTTAGATGGAAAGTGATAAGAGTTACTTCCCTTACAGACCCAGATAGTCAACACTGATTATGAAGAATCTAATGACTTTATTTAATAAAGAATAATTTATAACATCATCATGGAAACTTTTTTTTTAAACAGAAAAGTATCCTTAAACTATACTTATGGCAGTCCCCACCCACCTCTTTCCTATGAATAGTGTTCTTTTCTCAACTAGAAACAGACGATAAATAAAAGAAAAAAAACTCACTGTAAGCTAACAATTTGTTTTTGTTGGATGAATGGCAGCAAAGATTTCTTAAGACAAGCAGAGATTTCTCTTGATGAGGCATGGAATTATTGCAAGCAGAAAACTCCAAAATCAAATCCACAGAATCTGTAAGAGATTAAAAACAAAAAAGAAATAACAGCAAACTGGCTTACATGAATAAATGTATAATGAAATAGATGGCTTTATTTTTACCTTTAACTTTGAGAATCATCTGTTGGCCTTCCATAGAGAAGGACAGTGCAGTGAACAGCTCAAGCCATAGCAGCTCAATTGCTGATTCCCGGTTCCGAAAGTGTTTCTTTTTAGACAAATTCTTCAGATTCAGTTGTGAAAATTCTTGCAAGAAATTAACCTGCAATTGAATGGAGTTCAGTTTAAACACGAGGTGGATAGCAGCGAGTGTGATACACTCTGTCCAGCTTCATATTGTGAATATGCCTTTTTAAAAACTTTTTTGAATGCATTAATTTTTCAACATTATAGAAAAGAAAACCAGAATGGATGACTTCACAAATCACCCAGTCAACATCAAACTCTCAATGAGGAAACAATTTTTGCAATATCCAGATGATATACATTGATGTTGCTTTTTTTTTTTTTTTTTTTCAATGGTCACTGATTTTCAACAAATGCAAATAAAATTCATAAGAACACAATAAGTGTAAATGATAGAAACCCCCACCACACCCACTTTTTGTATTATTTAAATATATGAATTTGTGTTAAAGTTCTAAACTATAATGCAATGAAATTTGAGGCCAATGAATTTAAGAAAAAAAAAAGTTATTTTATCATTAAAATAGCATCATGAATGTATCACTGATAATTTTTTTTAATTATTTTTTATAGAAGTTTAAATTTCAGTGAATTCCAATGGAAAATTTCTTGCTTTCTTTCATTTAAAAATAATAATAAAACTAAATGCATTATTTTAATTTTTTATACTTTAATAATTGATTTCAAATTTATGATTAATATATTGATCAGGGCTTAGCATTCTAGCCTCACATAGAATTTCTACCCCAGTGAGTGATCCTTATTGGGAACCTACAACTGTGGCCTTGGGTCAGATGAAGCTAAATTTTGGGGGACTACTTTATTATTGGTGAACTGGTTAGCAAGCTAGTCTTACAGACCATCATGACTGAAATTTGATATCCCATACTTGAAGCCTTGTGTCAGACTATGCTTAATAAATACTTATTTAAAAACAAAATTCTACTTGCTGAGTTATTTTTATTTTTAAATTAAATGTGTATTACCTGCCAGTACTAGTGATTGGTGTTTGATTGCATGCCCTCCCCACTTAAAGGGATTCTAAAAATTGATTAATAATTTGTAACAAAAGAGTACTGAACAGTTATATATATATATATATATATATATATATCTATCTCAGTCCTCCTATATGGCAGGAAATGTGGGACAATTTGCTCACAGATGAAAAAGAAACTTGAAGCAACAGAAATGTGGTTCTACAAAAGGATGCTAAGAATACCATGGACTGAACATGTGAACAATGAGATACATAACACCAGGAAGAGATAGTTGAAATTTCTAGGCACATAATGAGGTTAAGAAGGCTTGGAAAGAGATTGAAGGAGAGAGGAAAACAATGTATAACCTAACTAGCAGGCTTGAGTAAAATGGATGGCAGAATAAGGTTTAGGAGAGATGACAAAATGTATTAAGAGCTGCATGAGACAGAAAAATCTGAAGTGCCAAAAATAATTGAAATGGCTTCATCCTTCCCCACTTGTAGAAATGGACTCATATGTGATATAATATACGAAGAGGTAGTACTGTATTAACATTTAATCCAGAAATCTAGGGTAATGTTTCCAGTGCCAATTGGTCTACATGTCTTTACTTCAAGCAACACTACTAAAAATGAGAATTCTGGGTAGGCATTAGCACATAGACTATTAATGCTACCAATGCATCAATTGGTGTATATCATCTGGGCCCGAAAACACTGTCATTAAAAATGGTACCATGTTGCCTAATCAGGCAAGTCCCATTTTAAGTTCATTTGGTCAGATGGTACTGCCTCTGTGTTCAACCTGTCAGCAGGATGTTGTGTAAGCTGGTGGTGGCATTATAATGATGTAAGGTGTATTCACAAGAAAAATCTCCAACTGCTGTACACTCCAGCCCCTCTGCTTGCTCAATTTAAATCCCTCTGAATATGTATAGGACATGTTACACATAAAGCCTAACTATTTAAGATAAACGTTTTTTTTTGGTTTTTTTTGTTGCAATCTAATTGTTAATGGGTACACACAGATAATGGCTGGTTATTTGTTTCCAAGCATACTTTTCTACTACAACATATAGCAATTCCCGGTTGTAGCTGCCTTCTCAGGCACATGTGTTTTTCAGCACCTATAGAGCCCATCTGTGGTTTATACTGCAACTTAATTCATTGTTTTCTTTTCCTCTCATACTTTCTCCTTCAGGAAGGGGATGGGGTCATTACCCATTGCCTAAGGAAGTGCTGAGGGGGTTTGAGCAATTTCGTCTTCTTGGCTTCATGTTTTCAACTGACTTGAAGTGGAGTAACTACATTGAATCAATAGCTGCATCTACTGCAAGAAGAGTTGAGTCACTGTGTTGTGCCAGAAAATTGTTCCCGTCAGAGTCTATCTTGCATATTTAAAAATCTACCATTTGCTCATGCATTGAATTTTGCTGTCATATCTGATCTGGTGCTCCTGCTATTCAAAATCCAAAGATCCTGACTTGGCATCTTGAATTCAGTAACTTTCTCACCAATGTGTGACTTCCCTCTGTCTTTTCTACAAATATTTTCATGGCAATGGCTCTGATGAACTTTTTTCCCTTTTTTTAAGTGTGTGACTAGATTGGCATCTAGGTTTTGTTTACTGTTGAAATTGTTGACCATGTTCACCATAGTCTATGAATATAGAATACAGCGCAGTACGTAATCAGTTCAATGAAACAACGTTAAAGATTAACACTCACGAGTCAGACACTCTACTGAATCTGCCTATATCGCCAATACCACCAGCAGCTGTTCCGTAATTCTTCAGTCTTCGATATCAAAGGCTGGCAGTGCATATTTGGAAAAAAACATGGCTGCCTTTATACACGTCGCATTGAATATTTTGAGCCTTCTGATTGGTTAACCCTTCTATTGATGAACTATAAAATGAGTCAGCTCATTTTGGTTAGCTCACTAGTACACCAGGGTACCCAAAAATTCCAGCAGAAATAGCTAAACGCAACTGCCACTTCTACTCCAAGAGTTTATTTTCTTGCACTTCCCACCTGTGGAACTTCCTTCCATTTACTTGCTTCCCTTATAACTACAATCTTAAAACATTTAAATGCAATGTCAGTCGCCATCTTCAATCTTCTTAAATCCAATTCATCTTTTGTCCTTTCCTCAATCCTCACTATACTCAGTCTTTTCTCTCAATTTCATTCCCTATAACTCCCTCTGTAGTAGTGGCACATACCTCACAGGGGGTGCAATTTGAGAATGAGTTATTAACATTGAATTTTTTCTAGTGAGTATGTGAGTGAGGTAATACATAGATATTAGATAGGAACTGCAGGTATTACCTTGCTCACACATTCACTAGAAAAAATTCACTGTTAATAATTCATTTTCATTATATATATATATATATACACACAATATATTTTGGCATCTTTTTTTATTTATACATGTCTGATAAAACAATTTAGACATGTGTTTGTTTATCCTCAACACTATAAGCTTTTTTTTGATTTGTGATGAAAAAAAAAATAAAAAAAAAAAAGCAAGGAAGGTACCATGGTTGTTTTTATTCATTTTTCTGATTACTTTTGATATATTCCAATATCCTCTTGAGGTTTATGATGGCTAAGACAAATAACGTTGTTTGTCCAAAGTAAATTTTTGCTTTTGTGGTTAGACCGTTAACAGTTCCAAACATGTGCAAAGTCACAAATAGTGATTTTAAAATTTTTTTCCATGTAAAAATTTTAGTGTAAGGGATGTAACTTAGTTAAAAATTGAATTCTTGTTAGATGGTTATAGTTTGCTTGTTATGCTGACCTGAACTGTTAATGGTTTGATTACAAAAACAAAAATTTACTTTGGACAAACACAATTATTTGTCTTAGCCATCATAATCCTCAATCGAAAGTACTTGAAAACATAAAACTATATATATATATATATATATATATATATATATAAAACTGTTTATAAAATTTCTTCCTTAGTACTTCAACTGTCCTTTCATTCTTCTCTTTCATGGATGCCATGTTCTTTGGAAACTTGTTTAGATCAAATTAATGGCCTTTTAGGATTCCTCCATATAAATAGTTCACTTTTGAAATAATAAGAAATATATATCACATGGGGATGGGCACCAGGATTTTAGAGGTGTTTAGGTGGGGCATGGCCAAAAAAAAGGTTGAGAACCACTATTCTAACCACTTGGCTGCACACCCAATAATACATGGATAATAAATATTGAGTAAAGTAAGATATAGGATAAAAGATTAAAGCACAAACCTTCCATAAAATATTTCTGCATTCTCCAGAGACCATCAGTGAGCAAAGGAGATCAAAAACCTGTTTGACCAAAGCAAAATTATCTCTGTTACTTTTGGCTGCAACCAATTTGACCAAACAATGGACCAAGGAATTGTTGCTTAACTGGCTTCGACCTGGAATAGCATTGTTAACACCGGGGGCCACTGGATGTGTATAAGCCATAGAAGTTGATGCTACAAAAGAAAAAAAAAATATTATTGACACCCTAAAATAGGGTATTTGTTGTAGTGGATGTTGTAGCAAGGATCATCTTATAAATCATTTAATACTTTTTGCTCTCCACTTTTTTCTCCTTGTTCTTTTCATTTTTTTTTTTTTGTTAATAACAAACCCATTTTATGAGAACACATCACAGAATTTTATGACAGTTTTAATTCTTCTTTAGTCATATAATTTTATGTATTTAATTGAACTAGTTTTAACCCATGAACATTTCACAGCTTTCCTATTTGAAATTTCTGATGAATATTCAGTTAATGATTGAATAAGCTCATGGCGATTTCTATGAATATGAATATCTATAGAAATTCCCCTATAACATCATGAAATATTTGAGCTTAACAATTTTAATACAATATTGCAATAACAATCAAAAAAATGCTAGTTGTTATTTTAAGAAGTAAGGGGGTACAAATTAAAATATTTGAAATCGACAACTTTTTTTCATTTCACTAAAACAGACATTAAACACTTCTATATTTCTTTCATTTTCTCACTGAAACCAAGTAGCTTGATATCTTTTGTCTTCTCATGATCAAAATGTAATAGTCCATTATTTATGAGGCATTGACAGGGCACAACACTCGTGCAAAGAAGAGAGGGACAAACACAATTATTATAAGATATTCAAATGCCAGAATCTGCTCTTAATATGACCCGTCAACAAGACATTCCTCTTCTATAGGCCGTGTCCCTTAAGGACGTGGGCAATCATAGTTCTCCACAATTTCCTGTCCTTTGTAGCTTTTAATAAAGTTTATCTTTTTGCTATCTCTCCTCATCTCTGTTCTACTGGTTCCCATATGATCACTGAAGTTAAGCAACATTGAGTTCTAGATAGGTGACAGCTTGGAAATACCAAGTGCTGTAAACTTGGATGTGCAAATACCCTTGGGAAAGTTATGAATCCATCTCTTCTCCCACCATCTATGGGTTAATTAGTAAGACATCACTAAATCATTATTATCTCAAAAAAAATCTGAAAGTATTTACTGGCTTTAAATAACCTGCAAAGGGTTGATAAATCATAAAAACCAAATTCATCAATTAATCAATGAAATACTGACGCTGGCATGTCTTTTAGATTTATTTACATTCACTAGAATATAAATGTATAGAAACTATTGTGACAACAAAGTGAGGGATTAGTTTATATAGTGATTAATATAGAATTGATCCCCCACTTTATATCCATTTCTTGTTTATTAAATCCCAAATAGGTACACATCCACCTCCAGCTATGGGGTAATTAGTAAGACTTGTATCATAAAATCATTATCTCCAAAAAATATTCTGATTTTAAATAACCTGCAAAGGGTTGATAAGTCATAAAAAATGAACCAATCCCTGTTCTGTGAGCCATTTATACAAGCTTGTTAAGTATGTACTGCATACCTCTGCTCCTCTTGCCTTTAATTTGAACACTGAATGGTGATTCTATTTTCCACACAGTTAAAAATTATTTGAAAGTATGGGTGGAAAAATGGTTAATTAAAAAAATAATTAAATAATTGCAACACTTGAATTTCTCAAATGACCTCACATTTGAAACAAAGAATTTTGCTTACAATTAATAATCAAAGAAACATTTTCCCTCAATGCAAATGAAATACCAGTGACTGAAAGTTTTGACTGGAACAAGAAGACAAATCTGACCTTTGGGGAAATGTGCTGTATAAGTGGTCAGCAATTGGATGACAGAAAAAAGAAGGATTTTATCAGCCAAACACCAGTTCCATATGACATGGCAAAGCTGAGCTAAAGATCCTCCATAAAGAGCCAACTGAAAGAGATTAATCAAAACACAGTGTTACATTCAAAGACTTGTAAAATACATTTTTTTTATTTTTATTTTCTTATTCTTTTTTGAAACTTTAAATTTTGACCAGCATTCAGCTTGCTTAATGTTTTTATGTCTGAGTCTTATAAATAGAAAGAAAAAAAAACATTCCGTCAATGAAAGTTATCATTTACATGCAGACTATTGTCTTCATCTTTGTTGTTATCACGTTTCAGCCATTGTGAACCCCCAGCTTTATTAGGTGCTTAGTGATCTGCGTAACTTTCAGGGAATTTCAAACTGAACCCTTTATTTAATCTAGACAGTGGTAATGGTAATATTAGTCGTTTACCTACAAGGAAAACATTTGCCATTCATTGACTGAGCAGCCAGTTCTGCTTTCAGTGGAAGTTTATAAAATCTTTCTCTTAAAACAATATTTCAGGAAAATAGGTTTCTCAAGTCCAGTAGCTGTTATTGCTTTTTCCAGTATTGATGGAGGCTTTCTTTCCTAACTTTTTTGTTTGAATTAGTGTGGAACATCAACATCTTGATTATGTCATTAATCTATCTAAAAGTTACAAGTGCTATCTTTAAAATAGCGTAGTGGATTAAAGTGTTGTTTCATGAATTTGGTAACATAGTAATTGTGAGTTCAATCCTTGGGCCAAGCAGTGTGTATTTGGATTCAATAGAAACAGGGCAAACAATAAATGAGCAGTACTAAGAAAAGATCTAGATGAGATATCCCTGGGCATGGACAGTGGAACAAGAACTATCTATTCCTATAGATTAAATAAAGTGTTCAGTTCAAAATTCCCTGAAGGTTACTTGGATCAACAATCACCTGAAGAAGGCTGGAGGCCACAAGAGATGAAACGTGATAATAACAAAGATGAGGATAATAGTTCACAAGGAAATAGAAAAAACAAATATTTCAATATAACCAATAGAATTGGTAGAATTCATACACTATAAAATGATGTATGTAGTAGTTCTGTATGTTTAATTTTATGCTTTTCTCTCTCTTATACTTAGTTGTTTTAGTCACAAGGACATTTTAGTTGAGTTGTTTAAAATGTAGTCAAATTTTGGTATGGTTGCTTATAAACTAGTTGCTTAAAAAAAAAATATATATATTAATGAAAAAATTTAAAATTAACAGTAATAATGTAAATCATTCTTTTTTTGAAAAGTCAATAATAAAAATTATAAGAAAAAAACTTGTAATGGACTTGATTCAAGACCACCTGACTTGGAAGATGAGTGATAAGTTGAACAAACTCAGATGTCAAACATTTATTGCTTTTATTTGAAATGTGCTTTTGGTCAATGCACAATTGGTATGAAGATGTCATGAAACATGTGTTACATGATGACACTGCATTGCAAGCATGATGGGATCAATAATAATTCACTTGAGCCTCTGTGTAACACTGAAGTTTGTATAATGAACTTGTCCTGTCTTAGTTGTGGACATTTTTTTTAATCATTTCACCCCAAGCAAGACAATAAAGCCACTAAAATGCAAGGGGTTACTGAATATGAGATAAGGAGAGAGAATATTAACAAGAACAAGAACTAAGAAGACAGTAGATAATAATTGCATTTAAATTTTTAAAGATCAATGTCAAAGTTGACTAAGAAGCAAGAAGCTGGAAGAGAGTTCCACAAGCAAGAAGTGCAAAAGAAGAAACTGTTAGCATAGAACTTATGGTTACATCTAACCATTTCAACTGAAAAAGGAAGAGACCTTGTTGCCAACCTAGTACTGCACTTAAATTCACAAAGTCTAGGTACCATAGAGGAAAGTTCATCAGAACAATTACCATGAAAGTATTTATAGAAAAGGCACAGGAAACTACATGATGGGAGTAGAAAAGTGACTGAAGGCAAGATACCAGATCAGAACCAATAACATTGCAGATTATTCTTTGGATTTTATCAAGACATATGTAAAAGGTCTCAAACTAAAGAAAAAAAAAACGTTTTCCATTGACTTGCTAGTAAAGAAAAAAGTAAGAAAAATAAAGAAAATGCTTCCATTGAACCAACTATTGTGAAAAAGAATAAAAAATTTCCTACAAATCCATTATTCTAAAACACAAGTGAAAAAGAAAAGAAGAGAAAGAAAGACCAAAAGGAAACAATGAACTGAAGATAATAGTTTATTCTAATTGAGTTCTTGACTCAAAACAAAGGTGCATCTCACTTTCTCAATGTCAACTGCTCAGACCAATTCACCTACACTAAATTCTTGTAATAAGCTCTGAGGAAATGGAAAGCAATCTTCTCACTTCGACATGGTTTTGAGTTATTAAAAATATTTAAAATCAAAAGAAAAAATGTTTGAGGGTATTTTTCTTTAATCTGCATAGTGTTATATGTTTATTTTGATCCTTACATCATGGCAAAGAATAAGCAAAACCTAGATAATGGTGACAGCAATGTGTATGACAAGCCGTGTTCCAGGCAACCAAGCAGTGAATATTTGGAAAAAAAAATGTTTTGTATCTGAATACTTTCTCTATCCAACAATATTAGTGTAGCCCCTGTATTTGCTAAAGTTTCCATGGAGGTAAATGAAAGACATTATTTTTTTTTAGTGTGTGTGTGTGTGTGACTACTGGAAGAATTTGAGAAAGACCTTCTGGACATGGTTTATATTATATATATATATATATATATATATATATATATATGGGCCTTTGTCAGAAAAACGATCAACACAACTGAAAGGTAGTTAAGTGTTAATAAATGTGAGAATGCTTGGAAAAGAAAAAAGAAAGAAAAAAAGAAATCTTTGGGTTTGGAAATTTCTTTTAAGAATGACTTAAAATGATTTTGCTTGCAAACATTACCTTCACATTTTCATCTTGATAGGCAAAGTTTCTTAACAAGTCACAGCTGCATGCCAATTCTTGTACTAAAGGCTCAGTCTGAAGATGAACAACAACATCCCATTAGCAACATTTAAACAAGTTATATATGTATTGATATGAAATCTAGTAATTCAGGAATGTATAGATATATTAGTAATGTGTCATCTATATCCCAGAAGTATTCAGCATTAAGGGGTAAGATATTTTAAAATGGACTGGATTTTAAGAATTCTAAAATGAGATGGGCTAAAATATGGCTGATTTAGGCCAAATTTTTCTTTATAAAAACATTTAATAAATGAGAAAAAACATTAGTTTGTACAGTTGAAAAACTTTCATAATTTTGTTCACTGGTAAAGAGAGATTAATTTTTAATTTTCTGAGATAGTCCTTTAAAAAATTTAAATGTTTGTCAACTGATACATTTGCATAGAAGTGTGCAATGGTTTAATTTTTTCTATTTGTGTTTTTTTATCTTGATGAAATGAGTAGAATTCTTAAGGTTGGATGGGCTGACATGTCGTATAAAAAGTCATTAAAATGTTTGCTGTTTATTTTTTTCTACTTTATAAAGGACATAGCCAGTAACAAAGATAATAGGTGAAATTGGTGTGTTGGATTTTTTTATGTTTTTGGTAAGCCTAGTAATCATAAACATTGTTTTGTCAGTCATATAAAACAACAACAAAGCATACATACACACACTCTCTCTCTCTCTATATATATATATATATATATATATATATATATATATATATATATATATGAATAAATATAGTCTTAAGATGTGCTATATTTATGGGATAAAGTGCTCAATATCAGAGACAGAGCATGTGTAAATATAAAAGTGTACATTACAAGTCAACATTAGAGGGACAGTCTGTTTCATGCTAGATGCAATTGTCAGGCCACCAACAATTGCATCTAGCATGAAACAGACTGTCATTCATTTAAGTGTTTCTTATATATATGGTTGATAGATGTGAGTTTGTGACCCAGGGTTTCATGCTTTAGCGATCGTCAGACAAACTGATTAATTTTTAAAAATTTGGGTTTATGTAGATTGCGTGTATTGGTGTTATTGTGGAAGTGGTGGGGGAAAACTGTCTGACGATCGCTAAAGTGTGAAACCCAGGGTCACAAACTCACATCTATCCAACCAAATATGTTAGCTCTATCTCTGATATTGAGCGCTTTCTAATAAGTACAGCACATAATATATAAATAATTATACATATATATATTTATTTATATACACTTTTCACATATATATATATATATAGTGTATGCTACCATTGATTTTAATGCTTCCAGCCACAGATTCCCATATGAGCAGTGAAGTTAAACAACATCTAGCATGACCAGTACCTAGATGAATAATAGCTTGGGAATACCAGCTGCTGTAAGCTTGGATGTGCAGGTGGTGTAATGGATAATGGCTTGGAATTGTTAATTTGAGACCTGAGTTTTAATTCCAGTTGGGTTCATTATGTTCACTTACATGCAAATACCCTTGAGAAATGTATGAATCCACCTCTTCTCCCTCTAGCTATTGGTTAATTGTCATTATTTTCTTCAAAAAATTTTACAGTATAAAAATATTTTCTGGCTTTAATAACCTGCAAAGGTTGATAAGCCGTAGAAAATGAATCAATCAATCATTGATTTCAATGTAATGTTGCAGAGTGACCACCTTGACCAAGATTTTTGTAGTGTATAATGTTTCAGGGTCTGAATACTTTTTGGACTCGAGAAAAACTGATACAAAATAATCCAAATGAAAGCACCTGCTTTTTGAAGGAAGCCTGCTTCCCCAGTTGCATAAATTCCATGTTTAATTTGGCGTGTATATCTTTCATTTGTTGAAGGACACTTTCCACAAGTCCAGCTAGAAAGAAAAAAGAAAAAAAATGCCAATTAACCAAATGTAGTCAAATTATACACATCTGAAAAACAAAACTGATTTATTCACTTAAATTTTGCCAAATTTTTCTTTTGCCAACAAAAAAAAAATTCTGCAAGTAAGGAAGTTGAACTATCCAAAACTGTGAAATAGGTTAGGGTAAATTTTGAATGGTGACTGTTTGTTTCATGCATTCAAACATGAAACAGTCTGTTGATGTTCAGTGCTGACCACAGTGTCCACTTATATAAGAAAGAGCAGTTATTTTTATATATAATGCTCAATATTAAAATAATATTAAAAATAGAGCATTAATATTAAAAAAAAAAGATTACTTAACTTTAAATATCATTTTTTTGATATTTTCTCCAACTTTGAAGTTTCTTGGTAATCCATTCTTCAAGAGGTTCTATTTTTAGAACCCCCTAAAGAATGAATTACCAAGAAACTTTGAAGTTGGGGAAAATATTAAAAAATTGATATTTAAAGATAAAGTAATCTTTTTTATATATATATATATATATATATATATATATATATAAAAGAAAGGCTAAAAGGATAAGATGTGGCTATAAGTTCACCTTTGAGTGCTGTTTGTTTGGCTGAGGGACTCACAGCTAGAAGACATTTCAAACTGTTGGTGGCAAGTTGCTTATGACCAATGGAGTTCTCATCTGCCTTTTTCAAAGCTGCTGTGTCATAAATCTTCAGCAATAACTCACACAAGACAGACCCACATGAATCCACTTGTTCACTTTGTTGTTTTCTTTCATTACCTATAAACAAATGAAAGCAAAAATTGTAGGTTATCAGACATCACAGAACATTTCATTACAGGCAAAAAAATTCAACAAGTTCAATGTTTTAATTAGAAGGAAAGAGAAAATGAATAAATAAGACCAATATACATTTGTTTTTCTTTGTAGGTTGGAGAGGTTTTATTGCTAGTATATCATAAAGAACATCTCATAGTAAAAGCAACCTTTTTCTTTCCTTTTTACAACTAACACTAAATCAACAAACTGTTAATGAGTGTGCTATGCAAGAAAGAATATTCCCAGTTTTCAATTCCCCCATTATAGACATTATCATATCTATGATATAGTAACACCTTAATACATAGATGTGTGGGAAAATTAAATAAAATCAATACATAAAATAATAATAAAGAATAAATAAAATAAATACATTTTCCCATGATGCAAGTAATAAAGGAATTAGAAAGCATTTTTAGTCACCTGCACAATTATATGACCTTACTTCCAGAAAGGACAGAACCTCTCACTTTTTAACTACAGCATTCAAATGCATTTTTGGAAGCCCTACTGATAAAGTAAGTACTTTGGTCATTCCAACTCAGCACAGAAAAAACTCTTGGACCAGAAAAAGAAAATGGGTATACTCAAGAGACATTGAGAACGTTTGTTTCCCTACAGTCATCATAAAAAGGAGAATAAGTGGTCTATAGTAGAAACCCAAGTTTTTGTATGCTTTTTCTTTAATTGTTTGCATATGAACATTCACTGACCATTACTCCTGAGTAGTAAGTTTGAGTCTCACTTGGTACTCCATATTTGTGATCTTGTACCAAATTAAGCTAAGTTTAGTAAATGACAATGCAAATTGTATCAGTTTATATGAACACATGCACATACATAAATGCTTTATATATATATTTATTGGGCTACTTCCTTTGCTGCCTGCATGCTTGAAATAGGTGTGAACAATAGAACAGACTGATTTTAAGTGTTTGATCAGTTTATCACCATCAAACTTTTAGTAAAGCATATGCCTGCCATGTTTTTTTTAAATCCAAAGATTCTAGTCTTTGAGGTTCAAACTATAAGTTTTGTCTTTCACAGAAAATAATACAACTGTAACCATTTTGTGTACATCTGTGAACATGGGAAATGTATTCTACTCCTTCACCATCAGCAAATTCCACAAAAAGCTTGCAAATATATATTTAGTAGATAGAGTTCCCTTAGTTTTGAGTGGCAATCAGTCTAAGAGAAAGAAAACTGAATCCTAAAACATAAAGAAACACCAAGAAACCATTCCACTATCTTTCCCAAGAATGCATGGCAGTTCTCAGATAATAAAGAAATCAGTGGAGTGTCATGATCACCTACATCCTGAAATGGGGAAAAACATATTTGAATTCAAAACTATATGGAAGGCATTGGGAAACCACACTGTTATCTTTCCCAAGAATGCCTAGCAGTTCACAGATAATAAAGAAAAAACTGTGGAGAGTCATGATCACCTACAGACATGGTAAAAAACAAACAAAAAAAATATAGTGGTGTACATACTATTTTCAAATAGGGGAGAAAATAGCTAAAAAATAATTTGGTGAACAATCAAGAGTGTGAGACTCACCTTTGCAAGGAGGTTTTCACTAGTGTCCAGTTGGCTGACAAAAATAACCAGGATTGTAACTCAATAAATATCCAGCACACAATCCACACTTTGACTTACTCAAGAGAGGGGCAAGTATTGAGTTACAACCCTGTTTATCTTTGTCAGCCAACTGGATGCTAGTTGGAAACCTCCTTGTGAAGGTGACTCTCACACTCTTGACTGTTCATCTCCCCCACCCCCCATCACGCGAGGGTAATGGCCTTTGAGGGGTGATGTGTTATTTTTGGCCTGGATGACTGTATAGGAGTAGTCTGGACAATGCTTGGGTGATTTTTTTGTGGCTGGGCGATGCTGAATGATGTTGTCTCATTTTCTTTGGCCTGTGGGACATACGTATTGGGCCCCTGTGTGTCCCTGATACCGGGCTCAGGTAAAGCACTAGGGATGGGAGTAGTGATTGCAGGTGTTTGAAGCTTCCTAAGAAATCAGGGCTTCTGCCAGGTGATCCTGCCCGATCCATCCACCCTGATTCGGTATTGACAGTTAAATAGTGTCTTGACAACTCTATCTATTGTGTCCCCACTGGTGATTGGCTTGACGTTGTATTGATACTACGTCCCCTTTCTGAAGTGGAAGCAGGGTATGGGCCATACAGTTGTACCTTTCTATTAGGCAGGCATTACGTTGAGACAGGCTTTTCTCCCGATTTGAGCTGGAGCTATCCATTTCGCATGCAGCTTGTATAGTCTGAGTTGGGATGGTATGAAATCCTGTAGCCGATGGTGTAGTAGAAGTTATGCTGGAGATAGCCCAATGGATTGGATGGGTGTGTTCCTCTATTGAAGGATAGCCCTTGCTGCTCTGTTATTATCTAGGGATCCTTGAGCTCCTGTGTTACTATGTACTATCCTTTTAGCAGATTTGACAGCTAGTTCTGCTCAGCCATTGGATTGAGGATAGGCAACAGATGATAGTCTGTATTTCACCACCCAGTCATTCAGGAATTGTAGTGATTTGAAAGGTGGACCACCATCAGTGCTGAGTTCCTCTGGAGCACTGTAGGTCTGGAATATATCTCGACAAATTATTCTCGAGGCATCTGCATGTCCATGGCTTAAATGGTAAAGAATGAGTCATCCAGTTAATCTATCAGGACAGACAAGGTATTGTTGACCTTTGACATGGAATAGATCCATGACTATTTACTGGAATGGCCAATCTGGCGATTGTGTGAAAGTGATTGGCTTCTGGTTGATGAGGGGCAATGTTTGCACACACCACACAATTGGCCCTAACATTACAGATTGCAGCATTCATTCCGGGCCAGTAGATGGACTCATTGGCACAGGCTTTCATGCCAACCCCACCCCTGTGTGCTGAATGCAAGCTAAGCAATATTTTTGGGGGGTGATAAGTTGGAATCACTATCCTTCTATCTAATAAGACTAAGCCATTGTCAGTACTTAGGCGGTGTCTTATCTCCCAATATTCGCAGAATATAGGTGTGGTGAGATGGTGTGTTTTGGGGAATCTGTGCTGTACTGCATTTATCAATTCTTTGTATTGGGGATCATTGCGTCCTGTTGCATGGATGAGGTCTGGTGAGGTGACGGATACATTGTCGATGATTCCAAATGCTGCTGTTAAAACAGTCAACATCATGACATTGTCTATTTTATTAGACTCTGGAATGTCAGTTTAAGTGGGTTGGATAGGAAATATGCTTAGGAGAGTGTGTTGTGAGAAACAGCACCTGAGCCTCTGTGACATTTCCCAGGGCAGTGCTGGATGGTAAAACTATATCTTAATGTTTTTTTCCTTCAATCAGAAAAGTCAGGGATTTTGGATTTTGCTTAAATCCTTATCACCGAACAACTCCATTAGTGATTTATGGTCTGTAACCACTAGGACAACCCATTATGAATATCTGGCATTTTTCCAATGCCCATGCAATTGCTGCTGCTTCGCCTTCTATTGGCATATATCTGCGCTCAGCGTCAGTGCAAAATCTGCTGCTGGCAAATATCAGGCACCATCTTTCTGGACAACAGATCGGGGCCTTCTCGATTGTGCATGGGTAATGTTTTTGTAGGAGTAGGAAACCCATTCCTTCTTTACTCCAGTCAGAGGCAAGGCATGTTATTCGATTTTTGTCAAATGTCACAACACCCTTCTGAACTAGGTGGACTATGACCTGTTTAGAATACCGGAACGCATTTTACTATAAAAAAATATTTTAAATACAAGTCTACTTTTCTTTGGCAATTAGTGAAGATTGAGTTTGATTTCAATAGCTTGCAAGATAAGCATACTGACCTTTTTGATTTTCCTTCCTCTTTGAATTATCAATGACCAAACATTAAGTTGATGGGTTAGATTTAGAGTTGTCAAAATCCTACTAAGAGATTCAGGGTCTCTTTTTTATAGACAAAATTCCCTTGGTGTTGACAGTGGCATTCTTCCACTATATAGATGCAAAATGTGATCCAAAAGATCTGTTTGTCATCATACACACCACCATCTTTTACCATGTTCCTGCATAACAAAGTTATCATTTTTTGTAGGGGGTTTACTCCCTTAATACTTATAGTGTTTCCAAGAGGTAACCTATCAAAGTACTGACCAAGCTCAACATTGCTTAACTTCAGTGATTGAAAGAGGATCAGTGTTCTCAGTGTGATTTGACTGTAAACATTTGATTTCAATTAAGAAATATTTGTCAATTTTGGTAGGTAGCCACAATTGTAGAACATTCACTGTAGACAGAATGCACTAACAATGGCTTGTGAGAGCAGATAACAGTGGCCTGTAAAACAACATATATATGAGTTTAGTATTAAATTTTTTTTTTTTTTTTTAAATTGGTGAACAAACAAATGTTTCAATCAAATGGTAATGTTTTCATATGGAGTTAAAAAGTGAATGGACATACTGTTAGTGGAAAGAAGTGGACTCTCAGATTCCAGTAAGTTGATTAGGTGATTTGCTGCAGAAAGATTTTCATTTGTTGACCTTGTCTCCATTTTCCCAGTCTCAGCAAAAATGTGTGCCAGGAATACAAGACAGTTTTCTATTTCTTCTTCACTATTTTTTGCTGAACTCTGAAGAACATTTACAATGCAACCTAAAAAAATTCAAAAGAAAAATAATCATCTGGAAAGCAGTTAAACTATTTTTTCAATCACATGATATGTTTATTTACAAAGGAGATATTTTGTCTTTTGATGATTGTTTTCTAAATCTCTTTATGGCCTCTATATAAGAAGGTCTTCTCTGCATATGCCTGACCTGTCAGCCATAACAACAATGATGCACTCCTTTGTCCTAATATTTTCTATTCTAAATTTATGTACCTGACCTACCCACTAAGTCAGAATGTGACACAAAGTTGTTTTTTTATTACACCATCTCACCTTCAGTACAAGGAGGATGCCTAGTGTTATCTTGTCTAGTTCTTATTTTTAGTATTGCCCTGTTTCCACTGTGATCAAATATATATTGCCTGACCCAGAGATTGAACTCACAATTACTATGTCAGCAAAGCCATGAACTAACACTTTAATCCACTAAGCTATTATTCTGTAGGTTACCTGGACTGGAGGGCCTAACAGCTAAAACATTGTGATAACAACAAAAATGAGGACAAAAGTTCACATGTAAATAAGAAAACTAGTAACTGAATGCTTTAATGATAAATCATTTGTTAACTTGGGTTCCTGAGTTCAATCCTGGTAACATTCACTATTTAACAATAAAGAGCCATATTTGCTTATGTCCTGAAGGGACATAGCACATAAAAGAAGAAACGTCAAATCCCTTCAGGATAAAAGTAATCATGGCTCTCCACAGACTCTCTTTCTCTGTTATCTGCAAATTGTCATGCATTCTTGGGAGTTCTCATTGCCTTCTCCACAGTTTGGAATTGAGAGTTTTCTTTCTTTTAAATGATCGTCACTCAAATCTAGTGAGCACAGTCTATCCTGTTATTTAACCTATAAAATTATTAAAGAGTGCATAATTTGTATAAGCATTTAATATACAAGAGCGTCTGGAATTGAAAATTTAAGATGTATTTCAATCAGCCTAGACTAGATTAACAATTTTCTATTATTTTTAATATTCTTTTTACTCTAACAATAACTGCAATATCACAAATACACTTTACTTTGGTGACTGAATCAGGAATAAAAAATATCTTAATAATTTGAATAAATTAAAATATGCTCTCTTTTATTTATTGTAGATGTTATTATAGACACAATGTTTTGACCAAATATACTCTAGCCATTATCAGGTGACCATTGGCTGATAGATGATATCTGTTGATTATCATGTAATCTTGTGTCTGTGATACTTGTAATAAAAAAAAAAATAAATAAATAAAAATAAAATCTTATTAAAAACGCTGGGAACTTTTACATCAAATTAACAAAAATAATTTCACTTGAGTAATAATTATATTAAAAATATTTACAGCATCCAATTCTATTTATTTATAAAGAAAGCTTTATGGTGCAATATCAATTATTTTTTAAAAATATATTCCCTAGTCATGTATTAAAGGCAATATATCCAATATTTATTGTATAATATAAAACACAACTAAACTTTATCTATTTATTGTTCTAATGAACTCTCCTCCTCCTTGGTACCCCGGCTGTGTGAATTTAAGCATACTACTAGATTGGCAATTAGGTCTCACCATTTTACTGTTGAAATGGCTAGATGTAACTATAAGTTCTATTCTAATAGTTCTTTTTCCTGCCTGTGGAACAGTCTTTAAATTTCTTGCTTCCCTGTATGCTCATTAGAACAATTGGCATGAAAATATTTATTAAAAAAAACAAAAAAAACAGAGGGAAGTTATATAATGACAGTGATTGAAGTCAAGATACCATGTCAGGACCAATAACATTACAGATCCTTCTTTGGATTTCGTTAAGAATCTCTAGATATATTACAGGGCCTCCAGATCAGATATGGCAGCAATATTCAATGTATGGACGAATGATAGATTTATAAATGTGCAAGATAGGTTCTGGTGGGAAAATTGTCTGGCACAGTGAACCAACTTTCCTAGCAGCTGACCTAGCAATTGATTCTATATAATTACTTCACTATATGTTGGAAAACCTGAAACCAAGAAGGTGCAGTGTTTTGCTCTACAAGAGTTTAGCATCCGCCAGAAGGCAAAAATAGTCCTATATGATGATTAAAATATAGCAGTTTTGTTTGGAAGCCATTAAAATTTATAAGCCATTTCTTGTCCCAGTTAATGACTGATTGGAAGTCATTTTTGAGAGCAGTTGCCAATTTCACTTTGTTGGACTTAACAGACTTAGTATTAAGACAAGTGTAAAAAGTTGTGTTATCAGCATAAATACAGTTTGCAAAATTACTTAAATATTCCATCATTTTTTGATGGTACGGGTAAAGTAGTGTTGTTAGAATTCCCATAGCATGACATTGAAAAGAAGCAAAGCTTTTCAAGTGTGATTAAAAGGTTTTTCAATTCAGTGCACATTTATACATTAAACGGCTGAGAATCAAGCCCAGTAGAATTAAGCCCACTTAATCTATTATTCCACACATACACACAAAAAAATATACATAGAAGGCAAACTATTGTGCCAAATGTTTGTTGACTGCTTGCCATGGTATGCAGGGCTGTTAGGTTAATAAAACAATTTTAAAACAAAGTCGAGAAATATGTTACATTATCATTTATTAACATAGTACTCATAAAAAATGATAATATTATTTACACATTAATTGACACTTCTGCCTATAGTCAGAGCAGCTCTGCTCTATGCTTATAATCAATATTGTTACCTGGGCTCCTATCTGGAATCAGAGTATCTTTGCTTCATGCCTCTAATCAATGTTGCTACCTGGCCTTCTACCTACAATCAGTATACCTTGTATGTGAGATCTGTGAAAATTATTAGGTGAACTATACTTGTTGCTTTAAAAGGATTTTTCATTTTTTTTTTTTTTTTTTTTGCAATTTTTGAAATTTTTTTTGAAATCTTGAAATTTGTACTTTTTCATTTTCTTTATTAAAATTTTGAATTAGAACAGGAATTTATTGTAATTTTGACTTAATTTATTCATATTTATTTTATAAAAATAATCTTATTCATATATGTCTGCCTTAGATTAAAAGAAAATGAAATTAAAATTTTGAAAAAAAAATGTTAAATTTTGTTTACATTGTTTGAAACAAGTTTGATGTATCAATATCATTGGAAAAAAAAAACAAACTATAATGCAATCATTCAATTACACTAAAAATTTTTTTAAAAATTGTTTATGTTGTTCAAGCAGTAGAACACTAGCATAGTGGATATGTAACTTGCAAGCTTACATCTAGGACACTTGTTAATATTGTTTGCTTTAATGTCAAAAGTTACAAACAGCTGACCAAAGAAATAAACAGAAAAAAAATGTTACTATTCCTTATGCAAAAAGATGTAACATCATGCTCAGATAATTTTTGTACTGCATATTTTAAAGCTAGTTTGAATAAAGGATTAATTACATTAGAATTGATGATCTGCAACAATTTTGTTTATATTCATTTTTATATAATAAAATGACCATTAGCAAAACTTACCAAAAACATTTGACCAGTGGATTTCAAATAAAGGAACAAGACTCTCCAAAGTTTTGAGACTTTCTAATTGAAGTAAAGTCGTAAATAGATGAAAAATCTGTTGGGGCAAAGATTCACAAGACAATTTTCCGTGCTCAGAAGCTGAAAAAAAAAAAAAAAAAAAAAAAAAGGAAAATAAATACTATATTTTGTTCATTAGTTTCTTTGTTAAAAGCATTTATTATTCAGATATTTCATTTCTAATATAAAACAGAAATATTATTTACATCTTCATTGTTAAAATTGAACAAAATTACAAAGAAAATAAATGTTAACAGTAGTGGCTAGTAAATGTATATATGTATGAATTACATTTTTTAAAAAGAAAAAAAATGTCTTATTAAAGAAAATGTACCTCTTTAAATGCCCAAGCTGGTAGATATCGATATCACAGTTTAAAATAAAAAAAATAAAATAAAAACAGTACCCACTAAATATGTTTATAATAAGAATATAGGATTAAAAAATCTATTGTTTAAAAAATTATTATATATATAATATATATATATATATATATATATATATATTATATTATTATATATATATATATATATATATATTTTATTATATTATTATATATATATATATATATATATGTATTATTATATATATATATATATATATATTTTATTGTATTATTATTATATATATATATATATATATATATTATTTTATTATTATATATATTATATATTTATTTTTATTTATATATATATATATATATATAATTTTATTGTATTATTATTATATATATATATATATATCTATATATTATATATATATATATATATATATTTTGGAATGTGATTATTATTATATATATATATATATATATATATATATATTTTTATTGTATTATTATATATATATATATATATATATATATATATTTATATTATTTGGACTATTGTCCCTCATTTTTGTATATTTCTTATAATGTTTTGACCATTTGTTCTAGTCACAGGTGGTTGGAATTCCAATGTTTGAATCCTTTTCTCAGTTATGGAGTTCCACATGCTATGTTTAATGAATCAGTTATTTCTTATTCCCTCTCCAAGTCCTCCACTGCCTTAACTGGGTATTGAACCCACACTTTTGGGTCATGTCACTGGATCTAATAAACGCCTTTATCCACTGTGCCATGTGTTCAATACCTGGTTAAGGCAGTGGAGAACTTGGAGAGGGGAATTAACAGGATATAACTGATAACTGACATCCATTAAACATGGCATGTGGAACTAGAATAGTCTACCCCAGTGAGTGAAATAAAGGGTTCAGTTCGACATTCCAACCACCTGAAGAAGGCCAGGGCATACAACGGCCGAAACGTTGTAATATATATAGCAACAAAGATGAGGACAATAGTTCGAATAATATAAATAGTGTACATAATACCTCATCTTAGAAATAAAGACATATATTTAAATTATTGCATTGTAATGTATATATTGTAATATATTGACCAGGAAGAGATTATGTTGAAAAATGTACTGCATAAAATGTTCATTCCACATAAGGCTATAGACTTTTGATATACGTGTGTGTGCACATGTGTATAACAAACAGATTTTGAAAAATGGTTTCCATGAAGGTAAGTAATGATTAATAATCAAAAATATACCTTGTGGTGACACATGTAAAAGCTGGACAATTGTGGTTAGTGTTTGTTGACTGTTTAGTACATCCTGCCTGACTGTTTGGCTAATCAAGCAACAAATTTGTACCAGTTTGACAAGACTAGAGTGCATGGCTAATAATTCCTGTGCTGTCAACTCTTTTGAAGAAGTATATTTCAGCTCAATCAATTCAGCAGGTTCACATAACTCATTTAGTAAATCAACATCCAAAAGACTGAAAGGAAAAAAAAAGAAACACAGATTACAGAACATGTTTATATTTAAACCTTATTAAATTTTTTTTTTAAACTGAAATGTTGAAATACCAGTTGGCTGTCACCAACACAGCTTGGTCCATAATCCTGCACTAATTTCCATGAGGGCAAATTTCAGATTCCCCAGGATGCCACATGGACCTATTACTACTATTTAGTGGTACATGCTATTGCATCAACTACATTTGAGCACTGCTAAGGTATTTCTACTTGTCTTTTGTGCATTTTTATTACTAATTGCTAACATTTAGTCCCAGTCTTGGCTCTAATGAATACAGGAAATGCTTTTCATGGTATGAAGTGCAAACACTATATATTGATGAACTTTCTTAGATCAATAGAACTACCTTTAGCCGTTACATGTATTTTCTTAAAATTTCCCTTTCATATTTCCCTTTCATATTTCCTTTCCCATTTATTAAGTAACATGTATTGATTTACAAGGTATTTTAAAAGGTAGGATGAAGTGGTTAGCTGTTGAGCTAAGTGGATTCTAATGTAACCATTAGTAATCTGGCAAAATGACTTATCCAGCACCCTACAGGTCTCAATGATGCTGGACTGGTGAGGGTCAGAATGTATACTGAAAAAAATTTGTTTCTTAGTTATCTTAAAATAATCACGATAAATAAAATGAAAGGAATAAAAATATTTAATGGAAATAGCCAAGAATTATTTAAAATGTTTTTGCCCAAGAACATTTAGATTAATCATTTTCAAAATCTAAGGCTTAAATGGTTAGGAACAAACACATACATGGTGCAGCCTAAAGACTGTAACAAAAGAAAAAGATCATAACCACTGAAAAATTGATTATATCAGCATACAATTTTAACACAATGCATTAATCTGCTAAATAACACCAGAAAATTTCATTCAATATGGTCCCCTTTAAATGTCACCAGAAATCAAACTCTTTCAGGAAAGTCACTGATGACGGCACACACAGTTTCCATGGGTATTTTGTCCCATACTCTCTTCAATTATGCCTTCAGATTTTCAATATTGTAATTTCGGAGAAGAACAGGCGTCACTCTCAAGAACTGCCCACAAACAATAGTCAAGAGCATTGATATCTGGTGACAAGTGGATTGAAAAGTTGAGAATAAAGTTAAAAACAAAAAGGTGTTAAAAAATCATGTTTCAAAATAATAAACGAAATCCCAAACAGTTCCCAGGAGAATTGAACACAAATTTACTTAGTAAGGGTGAGCAAAACCAAGACTACCTCTCCTTCCCAACTTCCTTCCAATAAGAAAGAGACAATTAATGTATCCTCAAAGATGTCATATAGAAAAACATGTTATTGATAAAGAAACTTGGGTGGTCACCAAAATAACATTTAAAGATCGTTCTGGACAAACACCCAGGAAAAATATCTGGTTTGAATCGGCCACCCAGAAGAAAAATATCCCAACAAAAATAGGAATTAACCTGATAGGTTTGTTCATTTTAATTTGTAAAATTTGTTAAAAATTTTATATCCAACATTAATTTGGATTCCTTTGGATACAAGAGATAGAGAAAAATGAATTACTAGCCTTGGAGTGACCATAGGTGGCTGGCTGTGTGGCCTGGCCAATTGAGAAATTGCAGCATGAGACAAGTTGATAAAGATTAATGACTGGAAATCTCCTTTTTGCCCATGCATCCTGAAAGTTTGGATTCATCACAGGGACAGTGTGCCAGCCCTTTGAGTGGGCTGAGGTTACATGCTCAGAAAGTGAGAGAAGGAAGAAAGAGAGAGATTATCATCACCTATATGGAGTTATGGTGCGAGATGAGACATGAAGGAAGTTGAAGTTAAGAGGTTGTTTTGATTACTCTGAACACTCTCAAAAGAGAGCTGGACAAACCTTTCATTTTCAAAATCACTCGAGTAAACATATTTTGAAAATATGGAATTTTAGAAAAAGGTTCATGCTAAGGGTGGAAGATAACTAAACCCAGACCCTGGTCAAACCCACTCCTACTGGACTTTATATAAGCTTGAGGTTTGGACAACTTGAAGAGTCCCCACATTACTGCTACTGGAATCAACACTGTTTGCTGATCAAGACCTTGAGCTGGCCATGAAAACCAGAACTTAGGAATTTAAATTACTACTAACACAAGCTGCAAAAGAGGATCCCAGTGTCATTTGATTTATAATAGTAAATCAGAAGAGTTAAAACTGCTGTATAAAACAAATCATATATAAACCAAATCATTGTTACATTTTTAAGCAGAGTTAATTCTTTATTTCAAAGAATTCTTTTTTTTTTGTGTAACTCCTTGGTGTCTACCAGTTCTTCACTTCAGTTTACTTCATCAGTGATTTTCCCACCCTCTGAGATCAAAAACACAGTGTGGCAGAGGAGTGAAGGAGACAAACGTCAGCTAGATTGAGTGGAATCGTGCCTATCAACACAATACCAGTGACCAATCAGTAACACAGTATTGAGCAAGGGGTAAGCTATATGGTAACCACAGTGGTCAGAAGGAACTTGAAGATCAACGTGGGGTAGTGGGTTACACAGGCTCGATGTTGCTTAACTTCAGTGATTGTACAGGAACTGGTATTTCAATGTAATGTGGCTGTAAACCACAAAGAGAAAGGAAACTTCTATTCAGCACATTGTTCACAGAATGAAATTCAATAATGTTATTTCGTTGCAATCTGAGAACAGTTCATTACAACCTTCTCCACATTATATCAACAATTATATTTAATTTTTCCTTTCATTAAAGCCAATATTCCTTGGGAAACCTATTCCTCTTTATTGTTCTTTGCCTATACTTATTGTTTTACAATTTCTTAATTTTCTTACATTTCATATTGGAAAATACAATATAATTTTTTTTTTGGTTGTGCAAGTCTATTACAAATTTGTAGAAAGTTTGATAGAGAACTTTATTTATTGTTACTGATCAGTAAACATTGAAATATGATGAATAATAGATCCTTGAATAGCTAGATAATTTGAGTCAGTCTATGTGATTTGAGGGTGTGTAGGAATATTAAAAATGGTATGAAAATCAAGGAAGTGTATGAATTTAAAGAAAGTGAATGTTAAAAATGCTGTCACTGGATGTTTGAATAATCTACAAGAAAGAACAGCAATTTTGTGACTTACCAAATCAAGGAATACAGAATGGAATGTTTTTTCAAACTGTCCAGTGTTTCCTGAGGGAAAAGTATGACAAGATTGTGAAGCAAATGGCAAGTTGCTGTGATCAAAGATGGAGTTACAACGCTTGGACATGCATTAGCATTGGTCAAGTGAGATTCAGACATTGCTTGATTAGTGGCACTCTTTGGAGCTGGAAGTGGAAAAAAAATTGTTTCGTTTAAATAATCAGGAAGCAGAATCATAGAAAATAGAAACATTTTCATTTTTTTTTCTCATTATTTGCTAGAGGATCTTTTACATCATTTTTGTAAACTCTAAAAATAATGGAAATGATTTTTCCATTCAAACCATCTTAGCAGCAATCATGCTGTTCATGGTTCTTGTCAGTTCACTATCAATGTTTCCAGTCCTTCCTGGATAACAGGAATGATAGCTCTATTGTTATTATTAGGAAGTGATTAGAAAATGCTTGGAAATGGTCTCTCATGCAACATAGCATCTGATGATGTATGTACTGTTTGAAGACTTGCATCCAAGTCACCAAAAAAGCACTAGAACTAGAGGACAGAGCTCACATGCTGGGTTTATAAGTTGAATAAGACTAAAAATAAGAGACTACATCAGGTTTAGTTCAAAACAAGAAAATAGACAATCTGAAACATTATTTTTAAGAAAATTCCCTGATCTCTAATAATTTTACTTCACTGACTTATTAATTCTTGAAAAACTTCCAAATTTTGTCCATTCCTGTATTCTTAACTTTGTTATCTATGAACAAGTTAGGATACTTCAATCGCAATAGTGTTTGAGTGAAGGTTAAAGCATACAAAGTCTGCCTAGAAATTAATCAATTATTCAATATAGTGTTTTAGTTCCCTTCAAAGTAATCGCCCTTTGGGACTGTTCCCACTTATCACAATGTACCTTCTGTTTTTGAAAACAATCTACAAATTTGTGGAAACTTCCTAGAAAAAAATTCAGTTTCTAAAATGTCATTCAAATCATAATACTTTCAATTTTAAAAGATTAAAGATTATCATCATCAGTCCTCAATCATTGGGAAGACATAAGGGTAGAAGAAACAGGTAACATCCTCAAGGATTATCTGTTGACAGTGTCTCAGGAATTCCAGGAGTCATTTCTGTCCATTTTCTCGTGTTGCCTATTCTGCTTTTGTGTTGCCGTCCCTGCTTGTATCCAGCTTCAACAGTCTCTTGCAAGATGGTTGTGTATAGACCATTATGCCAAGTGACATGGCCAAACTATGACATCTTCCAATGCTTATTAGCAGTGAGGTGATTCCTGTTGGCCCATGAGACTTTTTACCTTGCTCCATTCATAATCATTGGTTTTGTACTCCCAGGAGGAGATGCAGAGGATCTTTCTTAAGTATTTGTTCTTGAATACCTGGATCCTTTTTTTCCTGCCTCAAACAGGAGTGTCTAAGTCTTGCACCCGTAGAGGAGGATGGATACAACCAATTATTTGTAGAGCTTGAACTTGATAAAAGTGTCAATAATAATAATAATAAAAAAAGTAAACACCAAACATCTAATCTGGCAGACAGAAGAATCAGGATCATTATTAACTGATTAATGATAGTATTAACAACTGCTTTTAAAATCTTAAGATACAAAATATGATTATACATAAATTCAAAACAGTCTTATCAGTTATAACTGAAAGCACAAAACTAAAACATCAACATGAAAACTCTAGTCATGTTCTTAAATGGCCTTGTCAGATTAAGACTTTCATATGGATGCCATGTATGGCACCAAACCTATTCAAAAATATCTAAATGGTCAACTGTATACAACTGCTTCCTAAGATCACTGCTGAAAAAAGGCTTTGAGAGTATAATGGGTCTTGACAAAGACCATCTTTCTTTGAACATTGTGATTCTGTAGTGCCAGTCAACAAATAAAGAACTGTACCAAATAACAGAAACCACATCACTTCAGGACTACCAACAACAGTGGGATATTTTGCAACTTCCTCAGTAACATATGTTGACCTCTTCTACCTCAATGTATGGATCAGTTCTAACAAATTAAGTATATGAGAAAAATAAACTGAATATAGAATAGGCTGTACCAGAGATAGCTTCATCCAACACTGCAAATTGCTACAAAACCAAAATATCAGCCTGAGAACTGAGAGTTTCATATTGATTCTATGTATAGCACTAAATATGGTCAGAAATATCTAAACTCTCAGCTGTATATGATCACTTCCTAATACCAATTGTGAAGAAAGGCTTTGAGTGAGTAAAGTCAAATAACAGAAACTACACTTAAAGACTTCCAACAGCAGCAACAACTAAAATGTGTAGCACAAGTAACTTGAAGAGAAAATAATGACATAATTAGGATGTTAACAAATAGAAGGTTCGGAAAGAAACCCCCATCAATACTGAAAAGAGCAATAAAAGCTACTATATTTGAAAAACCTGTTTTCCTGAAAAAGTGTTTTAAGAGAAAGATTTCAATTGAAAAACTACTTTAAAGTTTCATGTAAACAGTTGGCAGAATAAGAGAAGCTAAGTATGTCATTTTTTGTTTATCTATAAAAAAAAATACAAACCACCCTAAATGTAGTAACAGAAATCCTGCACACTTACCAACCCTAATTTACTAAATTGTTTGGAAATCAAACAGTCAATTTTGTACGTGGCCTGTCCAGGATATATATTCAGCCATTTTGAATACAGTAAGAACTGTTGACCATGTTTGCCATAGTCTCTGAATATGGAATCCAGTAATGTGTTCAATATCAGAGTTTGGCAGTGAAGATTCAGAGACAGTAGCGGCTGTTAAGTAATTCTTTAAGTCTTTGATATCAGGTTGGCAGTGACGATAATTTGGGAGAAAAACAAAATGGCTGCCTTTATACATGTCGAATTGAATATTTTGAGCTTTCTGATTGGTTAACCCTTCTATTGGTAAACTATAAAATGAGTCAGCTCATTTTGGCTAGCTCACTAGTACATAAATGTATCCAAAAATCTGTAACAAGAACTATTTGTGAGGCCTTGATAAAACGTGGCAACCAGTCAGAAAGAACCTTACTACACTTGCATGAACAGACATTAGTTGACAAGGAAAATGCAATTGTGTGAACTTGTGTTACCTCACATTAACAACCAAATGAAGTGTTTCTTCACAACTCTTACAGTGTTTTAGAAAAAAAAAAATTACCTTACTCAAGTGTGTCAGCACAACCCTAACCTGACTTAGATTTGGCTCCTTGTGATTCTGGCTTTTCTCAAAGCTAAAATTGCCATTGAAATGATGTGAAAAGAGAATACTATGATACGGCTGATGGTGGCCTCTGAAAATGACTTCACAGATTTTTGAAAAACAGAAGGTATACTGGGATAAGTGGGAAAGATCCCAATGAGAGATTACTTTGAAGGGAACCATATTGGATATACATAGTCACGTGCCATATGTAATACATACTTAGGTGATCATGATTGACCAGACAGAAAATTTCCCAAAGTAGGCTACCATTTATTTCTGTGGTAGACTGGTTACCAACCAAGGTGATAAGACCCAGTCTGTTCTGCTATTTAACTCATAGCTGTGACAAGAAGAGATTGATTTATAACTTTTCCAAGAGTATTTGCATGTAAGTGAATGCAATGAACCCAACTGGAATTCAAACTTAGCTCTCCGATTTCTCATTTCAAGTCAATATCCATTACACTACACTGTACATATTGCATTATATTGAATAATTGTTTCGTTTCCAGAGAAACCGTGTTCATTTTACCTATCACTTAAAAAGTATTCTTGTAATTGAAGCATCCTCATTTGTTCAGGAATAACAAAGTTAAAAATACATGAAAGAACAAAATGTGGAAAAAATTTAGACAAGAATTTACACAACCAAATAACTGAATGCTTTAGAGAAATAAAAAGGAAATGAATGACGAAATAAAAGAAAGAAAACAGTTCTTTACTGCTGTCTGTAGAGGAACTTAAATGGCTGTTTATCATTGTTGGTGTTATGTGAGAATGATTAGCCAGGCCCAGACCGTTGCTTTGTAAAAGTTGACCTTGCTGGTCATTAGATGTGGCAGACATTCTCAGCTGAAATGAAACAAAGAATAATAATAATAAAAACAATAAAATTCCTATTTCTCTTTATTTGTACAAAAGATTATAGACCAATGGTTCTCAACCTTTTTTTGCCTAATGCCCCCACCCTTTTTACCATAAGTCAGATTTGTCACCCCTCCCCCTTTTTTTTACCATAAGTCAGATTTGTCACCCCGCCCCTTTTTTTTACCATGAGTCAGATTTGTCATCCGCCCATTTTTTTTTTTTCCATAAGTCAGATTTGTCACCCCCCCTTTTTTTTTACCATAAGTCAGATTTGTCAAATTTTTTTTTTTTTTTATCATAAGTCAGATTTGTCACCCCCCCCTTTTTTTACCATAAGTCAGATTTGTCACCTGCCTTTTTTTTACCATACCCTACCCCTTTCCAAGATTGTCTGACCCAAAAGGTGCATTCCAAATAATATGCATATATCAATGAAATTCTTCATTCTCTTCCATATTTGTACATAGACATTTACATGGATTGTTTTTTATAGCAGTTTTACAAATTTAATAGTAATAGAAAATGTTGATTTTTAAACTTGAATACATGTACAGTAATTTGTACCAGGAAGAGACTAGAATGGCTAAGTCAGTATCTGGGTAAACCAATTCCCTACAAGTTCCTGATCAGACCAAGTAATAACAGCAAAAGTGCTGTTACAGCCATTATGAAAATTGACAATGGTCAGTAAGTAGTAAGAGTAATAATTACAACATATACATATATACTATTATCAATACTATTTATGCTTGCAAAATTAAAAAAAAAAGAAATAAAAAGGATTTCTTCTATAAGTAAATAGAATCTCAAGCATCATTTTTTTTTAGTATTGAAACTGGTAAACAATTTTTAATAAACAAATCATTCAGATAGATTTCTTGTCAAACTTGGGCATTTATGCCAGCAAAAAAAAAGTGTCAAAAGAATCGTTTTTCTTCCCATTATTATTATTTTAACTACCTTCACTCCTCAGCAATGTTTGTTTTAAAAAGTAATGATTAAAATTGTAATAAAACCTTAACATATGATGAAAGTGAATTTATACATTTTCTATGTTCTTGATAATTGACAAAAAAAAAAAATAAATAAACAATATTTATTTATTAGATTGTTTATTTGTACTATTTATTGTTTATTGAGATGGTTGGCAAAACACTGGCTAATTGCTTGCCAATCAATTCAAATTTTTGTATAATGGTAAATAAGGATTTCCTTATAGCTGGTTCACATATTTTAATAATTTAGTAAATGCTTAATTTATGAATAAAAAATTATTTTCATATTTAAAATTTATTTCTTTATAAATTGGTAAATGATAAATATTACATTGAATTAGTTTTAATACAATTGTATTAATTTTTGGAATATTGTAAATATAAAATTATTCTTGTAAATAAAAAATCTAATAGTGTTTAATATTTTTGTTGTATTTTCTCAAGAACAAAAAATATGTATAAATTCATTTTTCATCATTTGTTTAGATTTTATTACAATTCTAATCATCACTTTTTGAAACAAACATTACTAAAGAGTCAAAATAATAGCAGTTCCAAGGGAAAAACTGCACTTTAGACACACTGTTTTTTTGAGGGCACAAAAGTCCAACTTTGCCAATTTCTTAAATATCTCATGAATTTTAGATTGAAAGTTTCTACTTGACACATTTGAATAATTTATATCTTAAAAAATGTTATTTAAAAACAATGAATTTCATTAATTAGATATAAGTATTATTACTTACTCGAGGTGAAGGGTGAATAGAATTTGAAGTATCAGCTACAAAATAAAATTTAAAAAAATTAGTAAAAACTTTTTTTTTTTTTTGGTTTCAGTATTTTTAGTCAAATTGAAATTGTCAAATTTCTCATTCTGTAAACTCTCTCAATGTGTCTTACCAATCTTCAAATGAAATGGAAAAGAATTATGATTTTATAACATTCTAAATGTACAGATGCAGAAGGGTTTAGTTTTGACTATTGCTAGATTCTTTAATAAAAGCTAAAATTACTGCAACTGAAATTTTACTATGTTCTGAAAAGATTCAACTAAATAAAAAAAATCAACACTTGAAAATTATAAATTAAAAAAAAAATAGAAGCAAATATATGTTTTTTTTGTATTTAAAGCAGGAACATTAGCCTCAGTGGTGATATTATCTGTTTCCTTACAAGGAAACATTCAGCATTCACTGACTGAGCAGCTAGTGCTGTTTTTGGTTGAAATTTATAAAATATTTCTCTTAAAAGAAGTTTTTAGGAAAATAGGTTTATCACTCTCTCCAGCATTGATGGCAGTTTCCTTTCTTGCCTTTTGTTTGAGGTAGTGTGGAATATCAATATATTGATTATATTATTATTCTCTCTTTGTGTTACATGTGTTATCCATTTTAGTTGTTGCTGGTGTTAAAATTCCTCAATTGATGTGGTTTCTGTTTTCTGGTACACTTCTTTGTAATTCTGTAAAGGCAGTTTCTGATGTTTGAAGAAGGATGGTCTTTACTGAGACCCACAGGCGTCATTCACCCAAAGCCATTTTTAACCATTGATCTGAGAAAGTAGTTATATACAGCTAACAGTTTATCAATGGAATATGAAGGGAATAAACTGGTGGAACTGAAGAATATAGTTTGAACATTTGCCATGAAAATAGCAACAGAGTAGTGAGTGAATGCAACATTGTGTTGGTGAGAAAGGGGTTGCAATAATTCATCACTCACAAGGCCGTGTAAAGGCTTTTGAATTCTGTTGAAAATAGAAAGTAAAGATTGAGCAGCTCTAGCCTGATTATGGCAACAATATTACATTTTTGGTCTGATCTAGCTCTTGTAAAGATAGAGCACAGCAGAAGTAGTTGGCTACTTTCTGGAGTAATACAAAGAACCAACCATTTTTTCACCATCTTTAGTGATGATTTGTATACAAGTTCCACTGTTCATCAGAACTATATGAATTTACCACATTACAATTCAACAAAGAACTTATTTTCACTAATGAATACTCAAGTACATTTTCAACAAAATGAACTTGTATAAACAAACATTTCAACCATGCCAGCTGCTCATATCCAAGATAGCTGTCTACTAGGATGGCTAACCAATCCCTGTTGCAGGTGCCTGCTCAGGTATATTTGTGTATGCTCAATGCCTACAGAGCCTACCTGTGGACCTTAGTTACAGTTTATGGGAGATAGTGCATCATTGGCATGATCAACAGTTTGAACAAAGCCAGTATACTCATATCCTTGGTTACAATGACCTGTGACTTCCTGTTAGCAATCTTATTTCCTACTGTAGATATATAATAACATTGTATTTTTTTGGATGTCATGGTTCCCAACTTATATACTAACCTTTACTTACCATCCAGTATTAGTGACCAATGACGTATGCTATTATAGGAAAAAAAGATTCTGTACCAACAATGCATAAACAACATGCCATACAAATTTACTCAACACAAAAACAATTTCACACTAGATGAGCAATATAATTACCACTTTCTAAACATAATGTAGTGAGCCTTTAATTCTTAAGTAGATAAAATGAATGTAAGTGCTTCTAAAACCTTCACTTTACATCACAGACTGCTGATGGTCAAAGACTTGCTAAATCAAAATTCAAGAGTTTATTACTCAAAGGTTCAATTTCTTCTTCTTTATGTGCCATTTCCTTTCAGGACATAGGCGATTAAGGCTCTCCACAATTTCCTTATTATTATCTCTCCTAAACCTTGTTCCACCATTCATTTATTCAAGCTCATTAAGTATGTTATGCATTGTCTTCCTCTGTTCCTCTTGCCTTCAATCTGTCCTGTGAGTATCAAATTTTTGAAGCCCTCTTTCCTCATTATGTACCCTAGAAATTTCATCTCTTCCTGATGTTGAGTACAAGTTTCCTTTTTGTTTCCATTTCCTCTAAAACTTTCATTGCTCACATGTTTGATCCATGGTATCCTTAGCATCGTTCTATAGAACTACAGGGTGGTCCGAAAGTCTTGTCACCCCAACATAATATAATTTTCTATTTTCAGAAATGATGTTGTTCATACAGATCTTCTCGATGTGTGACAGCATCAGTGAAAGTGAATAAACTGAATCCAGTACATGTGCTTTGTATTACTGTATTACTTGTTCTACTGTTCTTATTACTTTTTGGTAGTGGATGGGGTGGTGGTGGTTGGGGCTGACAAGACTTTTGGACCACCCTGTACATTTCTGTTGCTTTGTCTCTTCTTCATCTTTGAGGAGATTGTCCAACATTAATTTCACTAAATCATATATATTCATAAATATTTTAGCATAAAAAATTGGCTATGTTTAGTAATTCAAGACAGCAGTATCTATAAATGTTCCTGTAAAAACTTACCAATCGAAGTTGTTGGCATGTTGTCTTGGCCAGAAAGAGACAAACAAGTGTTAAGAGACTCCATTGTTGTCAATGGATAGAGAGTTGGGTTTGAGTAATACATTGATAGGAGCTGTACCAAAGATTGATAAAATTCACATTGTCGGAGTAAAGCTGTTAAAGCTGCAAGGCCAAATGAAGATGCCTAAGAAAATAAAAATAATATATAATAATAAAAATATAATTTCAGAAATAAAGACATTATTTTTATTTGGACAACCAATTATTTTTTTTATGTAGGTTCTGTAATTTTGAGAGGAGACATTATCATTGTTAGAATTGTTTGGACTACTGATCTCATTCTTTTCATAAGACAAAATTTTAACCTAATCATTCTACAGCCGTCTTAAGGTACAGAATTGGTTTGGACAAACCAGAAAAGCATAACCAATATTAAAAACTGCATGTCTAACATTTCAAGCAATATTCTATATCTCATGTTGCTACAAGCAAGGCAATAAAGCCACTAAGATGTTCCTGAATGGGAGAGGATATTAGAAAATAAAACATTATTAAGAAGAGAGAATAATAAAAGAACAGGAATTAAGAAGACAGAAGATAATGATTGACATTGCATTAAAGTTTTGAAGATCAAAGTTGATTGGAAAGAAGAAGCTGGAAGAGAGTTCTATGAGTGAAAAGTGCAAGAGAAGAAACTGTTAGCATAGAACTTATGGTTACCTCTAGCCATTTCAACTGTAAAATTATCAAATCTTGCCACCAATCTAGTAGTACGTTTAAATTCATGAAGTCTAGGTAACAAAGAGGAAAGCCCATTAGAACAATTATCATGAAAATTTGCCAAAGAATATAAGATATCAATTCACAGATTAAAAACATTATAATAACAATAAAAGCAACAATGAATGAATTGAATAATTTAGACAGTTATTGGAATGATTCATTATCATTCCAAAATAATTATAAACAATATTCATATATTTGAATATTGATTATATTATACACAGAAATCCAAAGAGGTGTTTTTTTTTCCTGAAAAATAAATATTCATCTATTGCTGCACTTAAGCAAATGGATCAAAATTCTTTCAAGGAGTGAAAGAATTTTAAACAATTCTTTTTTTTTAGTAAGAAAAATATTAAAGTGATTTTTTAAAACTGGTAAAAAGATTATCTAACAAAGTTACATAAACAGCAAAAGACAGAGGTTGCCTTAGAGGAACCAGTTGAGCACCAAGTAGAGCAAAAACAAGATTTATAAATAAATTTTGGTGATTTTGTCAAGAATCTTGAAATATACAGTAAGAACACCAGACCAGATATGGCAACAGTATTCAATGTATGGATGAATGGTAGACTTATAAATGTGTAAGTTGGATTCTTCTGAGAAAGATTTTCATAAATAAAATTAAATTTATTTCATGAATTATTCATTATATATTCTTCAGCCTTCAAGTTCATTTGATTTCTTTCATTTATGTTTCTAGATCTGTGAATTGAAAATTTCTGCAGAAGCTAGCCTAATATCAAATTCAGTGTTTTGTGGAGACCTGTGTACAATTGAGAAAAAAATTTCATAGAAGAAATATTGTATTGCTTTAAATATTTTGCTCTATATAGTGGATGTAGCTGGAGTGACTTCCATATATCTTTTATCAGCAAGCATCTTTGATGCCTAAATCAAGAACCAAGTAAAAAAGAGAAAAAAAGAAAAGGAAAAGAAAAAGAAAATCATTTATACACCTAAAGAAGGCTAAAGAACAGTGATTTTCTAAGCCTAGCTTAGATGTGGCATAAGGCTGAAAGTATGGGGCCCCCAGTGAGAATTGAACTCACTATCCAGTTGTAATTGATATAGCGAGATAAGCTTGCTAATCATTACACCCACATCGAAGTGCCTAATGACTTTCTAAGTGGAGATTAGATGTGGCACAAAGCTGAATGTGTGGAGCACCCAATGAGGATCGAACTCACTGCTCATTTGTAATTGATCTAACTAGACAAAGCTTGCTAACTGCTACATAAAGTTAAAATTCCCAAAAGGAAGGCCAAAGAATGCATTGGTCAAAATGTAGTGATAAAACCAACAAAGATGAGATTATTAGTCAAAAGTAAAAAAAAAAAATATTGATATGGCTGAAGAAGTCCCTAATATCCATATCTAGAAGTATTAATATTATGAATCCCCACCCAACCAAATAAATGATCAACATGAAGGCCAAAGAATACATGCACCAAAATGGAATGATAAGACCACCAAAGCTGAGAATAACTGGACAAATAACTCATAAAATAGTGTTTATGACTCAGCTCTAAATTTCAAACAAAAATTAATTTACCTGATACTGAGAATCATCAGCATTTGAGCCTTGATTTGCATTGGTATCACAGCTGAAATATTCTTGGGATGTTAAATTCACAAGGAGATAAGCAGCCTGTCAAACAAAACAGAGATTTAATGGGCTGTACTTGGTTTGATCATGAAAACGAGGTCCAGCAGCTTACATATAACCATAAAAGAAAATCTTTTTCATAAACAAATAAAAAATAAAACTTCCAATGTAAGGAATTTTTTTTTTTTTAATTGTTTCACCCCCAAAAAGACAGGTGTGCCACTGGTATGCAGGAGGTTACAAAGAGTAAAGGTTCTAAAAAAGATTGGGTATAAGGGGACTGAGGAAAGAATAGAAGCTGAATGTGGTTCAAGAAGATGGAAGATGGCAATTGACATTGCATTTGAATTTTTGAAGTTATCAGAGAATCAAGGAAACGGAAAGGAGTTCCACAGGTGGGAAGTGTGAGAAAAGAAATTTTTGGAGTAGAAATTATAGTTACATTTAACTAATTCAACAATAAAAGGGTGGGATCTAGATGCCAATCTAGTAACACACTAATCCAGTCACCAGGGAAACAAGCTCATCAGAGCAGTTGCCATGAAAATGTTTGTAGAAAAGACAGGGAAACTATGTCACATTGGTGAGAAAGAGACTAAAGTTGAAATGCCAAGTCAGGATCAATTACATTACAGATCCTTCTTTGGATTTTGTCAAGAACCTAGACATGATTAGCAGGAGCACCAGACCAGATATGGCAGCAGTATTAAATGCACAGACGAATGGTAGATTTGTAAACATGCAAGATGGAGTCATGCAAAAAAACTTCTGGCATAACACAGTGATCCAACTTTCATTGCAGTAGATGCAGCTATTGATTTGATGTAGTTGCTCCCTTTCAAGTCAATTGAATATATGAGGCAAAGAAGGCACAGGGTATTGCTCTCCAGGAGTCTAGCATCAGTCATGCTGATGGCGGTAAGGAAAGATTCTCTATGGTGGTTAAATGAGATCAGTTTTGTTTTGGAAGTATTAAAATTTATGTGCCATTTCCTGTCCCAGCTAATGACAGATTGGAGGTCCTTATCAAGAGCAGTGGCCAGGTTTACTTTGTCAGCTCTAGTAGATTTGCTGTTGAGACAAGAGTAAATAGTGGTGTCATCAGCGTAAATGACCACATGGGTGAGAATTGATGTCATCAGAAAGATCATTGATGAAGATCAGAAACAGCATAGAACACAGGATAGAACCTTGGGGGACACCTGCATTCATGTGAAAGGATCTGGAAGTGACTCTGTTCAAAACGACCTTCATGACACGATTTGATAGGAATGATTAGATTAAATCAAACAATCATCCACTAATACCATAACCCTGTAGCTTATATAGAAGACCAGCATGCCAAACCCTGTCAAACACCTTTGAGATATCTCAAGCTATAGCTCAAGCTTCGCCATTACTATCAAGAGCTCAATATATATATTCAGTGATGACCATAGCTCATCAGCAGTAGACTTGGCAAAATGGAAGCCATATTTTTGTCAGAAAGTAGGTCATGAGAGGTAAGGTACTTAACCATTTCAGCATTGATTAAAGCCTCGAATACTTTGTCAAAAAGATGTAGGAGACTAATAGGGCAATAGAATGTTCAGAAGGTTCTCCAGAGTTCTTAAAAACAGAAACTACAACAGAGGACTTCCAACAAGCTAGGAAGCATTAAGGCAATAGTTGTAGAGTTTGAAGAGCACTGGAGCCAGCTCGGGAGCACATTTCTTTAGGATGATGGCTGGAATCCCATCACCTCTGCTTGCCTTACAAGAGTCTAATTTAGAAATTATGTCTGAGCCCAGTAACAGGGTAATGCGCATATCACTCAGTAAAACTGTCCTATTGGGGAAATCAGGTGCGAGTCGAGTGTTGAGTTGGATGAGAATTTCCAAGCGAAGCATTCAACCTTATCTGCTGTAGTTGTCAGGACTTCAAAATGGAGGGATTGAGGATTTGCTGTTGTTCAGCACACTCTTTGAGAGCCACCAACAATCTCTAGAACCAAACTTGCAGGGTGTTTCATTCTATCAGCAAACAGTAACTTCACTTCTTTGAGGACACACTTGCACTCGTTATAAGCAGAGACATAGAGAAACATTATGTTTAAATAACCATAATTTTTTCACATCTATTTTGGGGGCATGAAGTGGGGTGTGGTGGAATCAATAAAGAGAGATTGAATTTTGTCTGCTTGTGTTCATTTTGCAGTAATGCCTTTAGAAAAGGCATAAATCCACCTCTCCCTACACAATTCATCTCATCGCCAAATATGTTGACTGTCTCATCACTGGCATGTCACAGTGGTAGACAAAGAAATTAGGTGAGGAATTTTTTTTCCTAGTGTTCCTACTATGTAATCTAATACAAACCTGTCATGTGAATCTTAGAGAGGAGAAGGGCAACACCAAGTAAGTGCCATTGCTCTCTAAGATTCTATGAAGCAGTGGCAGACTGAGTCTAAAAATATTGGTTGCCAGAAGACAAAGCCAGCTCAACCACAATGCTATCATTTAATTTTCATAATGAATAAATGAAATTTTTTTTAAAAGTTTAAAAATGGATGTTTTTTTTTTGTCTTTTTTTCATTTTTTTTAATCATTTCACCCCAAGCAAGGTGGTAATGCCACTAGCATGCAGGGGGATTACAGTCCCTGTTACACTAATAGCAAACATACCTTCCTTCACTACATGGTCAATCAGTGACAACTATATTTGTATACATACCTATATACATGTATATATTTACTTCTTACCAGACTCTTTCTGTCTCTCTATCTCGCATGTGCCAGGACTTTTCTTTTAATCATTACACAAAGCCAATATATACTCAAATCAATTATACAGACATAGTGAGAATGGATGTTGTTGTAAGATAAACATCTCATCCATGACTGATAACCCCTCCAACTTATTGTAACTTCTCTAAAATTCCACTTGAATACTTTGTGAATATTTCTTTGAATTTTAATTTAATCTGTTGGTCTGATGTTGTCGTGGAAGTTCTGGAAAAAATTTAGCTTAATGCTGAGCCAATGAGTTGACAAGGTAATTCACTGTTTTCTTCACTATAGTGTGTCAATGCTGTCAGAAATTAGTGATCTATTATTACTTTTTTTATCATTGATATTAATCTGCTAGTGTGCCAATGTCATCAGAAATTATCTTTTTTTATTGATATATTATTTTACTAATCTAGGATTGATCTGCTGATCTATCATAAATCTATATTTGGCACAAGGCCATGTGCATGATGGGTCCAAAATAAATAAAATCATTTACAATTAAATCATTTTACAATAATTAAATAAATCTGAAAGGCGACTAAATTCATGAAAGATATATTAACCAATTTCTTCGTGTCCAGGGTAAGATGATAAACTACATCTGACGGCAAGGCCTCTGATCAGGAGGTTTTGAGAAGTGCAGAGCCACCTCTTAATTACTTGCGTTTCCAGGTCCACCTTGACCCGGGGTCGTAGCACTTGTTAGGGTCCCAACTATGGGTAAATAGTTAACCCCCAAACCGGGGCCAAAACACTATGAAACTTTAAAAATAGGTTTTAACATCAGCAATAAATTTTTTGTTAAAAAAATTATTACTATTTTTGGAAAAAGTATTAGCAGCAATAAAAATCTTGTTGACATTAAATAACCCATTGAGGTTGATATGCTGTAAAACAAACCAAACCAATTTCTTCCTTTTTCTTAAATATTAAAAATTAACTGAATGAAACCAAGCTTTTACCTGTTGTCGAACAAAACTGCTCTCCATATGATCAAGCAGGATGCTAAATGCAACAGCCCAGATGCCACCTGGGATATGTTGGCAGTTGGCTATGATCATTGACTGTCCTACTTTACAAGAACTTAAAGCTACAGCAATGCCTAACCCAGCACATCTGACCTGAAATAAATAGGAAACCTTTCAGAAGTCATTTAAATATGATTTCAAACAGATTCTTTAAAGCTAGACACAATGTAAATAAATTACTTTTATATTTATCTGTATAGAGTTTATAGTTATATACATAGCGATTGTTTATGTAAACTGTCATATCATGGGGAGGATTTATTAAATTCATCAAAACTTTCATTCACTCTAATGATTAAATATAGCAACACAGAAAATAGTAAAAGTAATCATTGGTAGTTCTACTATGAAACTAATAAAGCTTAAGCTTCAGGGTCCTTAATCCCAGAGGAGCCCCTGAAAAACTTTCTTTTTATTTGAGTGAATTTTTTAACAAAATTAATGTTTCTTTTTTTAAAAGTGTTTAAAATATGTAGGTTCACCATTGATCATTGGTGTAATACTAACAGGGCATAAGTTCATTTTTTTGTAAAATTTTAAAAAAAATACCATAAAGATTTAAAAATACAAAGTATGATTTTCTTTTTTTTTTTTAAATTGAAGCCTAGATTCATAAAATGTTTTTGTATCAGTATATTGCCTGTCATTCTTATAGGAATCAGTTTACTTGTTTCAAAAATGCGAAAAGAGCATATGTTAACATACGCACTCTTCGAATCACACCAACAATACATAGAAATGTTTTGTAAATTGTTTAACTATAGCAATTCATTTCAAATTATTTTACTATAAAAAAGGTACTGTAAATTATCACAGAAAGGATTTATTAAACAATACCTCAAAACTTTCATTCACTTTCATGATTAAATAGAGATACAACAAATTTTGGTTAGGAATTGGTAGGGATTAAACAATAGCAATAGTTGTTTTTAGCACCGATTGCACCTGAACTTAGTATATGTAGGCAAAGTTTTTTGTTTTTTTTTTTTTCACAGTCCACTGACCCTACCATACCACTAACCTGCTTAGTTTTAGTCATTTTTGTACTAACAGACTAAATGTATTTGGTAGTAAGGGAAAAAATTTGAATACTGAGCACTGTTTTGCCATCTTTTACTCAAAAACCCTAAGAGCAAGCTTTAGCTCACAGGGTTGTGCATTGAAAATCAGAGAAAAAGATTGTCAGTGTTAATGCATGCATTACTAACAGAGTAGGAGTAAAATATATGTATAATGTAAATACATTACTCATGATTTTACTATAGAAAGCATTGCTAATGATTTTCCTACTATAGAAAACATTGCTAATAATTTTCTACTAAAGAAATCACTGAGCATAATTCTGATATAGATATGCACTGAGCATAATTTTAATATAGATATGTAGAAAATAATTTTACTGTAGAAATACAATAAAAAATCTGGGATTATATATCAGTGGATAGAAATCAAGGCAAATATTACTAACATAATAGGGCCATTGTGTGTGTATGTGTAAAATTCAATAATGTCAATAAGTATTCAATAAAAGTTTCAGTTATATAAGTACATTTCTGATAAAACTTGACAGCAGAATCATTAAGTAGTAAACAAAACCAATCAGAATAACATAAATATGGCCAGAGAAGGTAATAAAATGATATAATTAATAACAATGACAAAAAAAGGAAACTGAATGATAATTACTTCAGGATCTCTGTAAGGCCAAAGGGTCAACATCCAATTCAAGCCAGTTTCCACTAAAGCTTGACTTTCTTGTTTCAAGTATAACCAATTTTCGGGCCATTCCTTCAAAAGAAATAAAAATAATTTCTGTCTTTAATTGCATTTTGATAACTTGGGGACAATTTGGAATAAACAAAGAAGAAAGGAAAAATAGGATTCCTACATCTCATCATAAAATCAAATTTGAAACAAATTCCAAAGTTATGTTTCACGTTTTGTTTTGTTTTTTTTAAGTTAATTCTATTTCTGCAGTTGTCTCAAATTTTGTAAAATTTCTTAAATGTGATAAATAAAATGATTTACCTTTTATTAACTAAATGGTAATATTAGCCATTTCCCTACAAGGAAACATTTGACATTCATTGGCTGTGCAGCCAGTACTGTCTTCGGTTGAAATTTATCAAATCTTTCTCTTAAAACAAGTTTTTAGGAAAACAGGTTTTTCAAGTCCAGTAGCTTTTATTGCTCCTTCCAGTATTGGTGGGAGTTTCCTTCCTAATCTTTTATTTGAAGTAGTGCAGAATGCCAACATCTTGATTATGTCATTATTTTCTCTTTGAATTACATGTGCTATCCATTTAAGTTGTTGTTGTTAGTAGTCCTCAAGTGATGTTTTTGTTATTTGGTACAGTTCTTTGTGATTCTCTAGTGCCAGTTCACAAAGTTCAAAGGATGCCAAAATCCTCAGGCTTTAAAGAATAAAAACTGATCCCTAATTTTTTTATGGTTTTTAAAAAATACTTTAGAGAATCAGTTTATAATTTTTTTCTGATTTTTTTAAAGACAAATTGTGCAGAAATTTCACCAAGAATAAAAATGAATAAGTAACAAATTATAGAAACTTTGACAATCAGACAAATTTAAAAACATAAAAAGTAACAAAAACCATTAAAAAAAAAAAAAAGAAAAAAAAAGAAGAACTTGTTGCTAATCAATACTAACTGGCTGGTTACTTGTTTTCAAGTATACTTGCATGCTAGGGTGGTTAGCTAGTCCCTATTGAAGATGCCTAATCAGACATATTTATGTTTCTTCAACATATACACATACACAGAGCCAAACTGTGGTCTATAATGCAAATATGCTGAGCAGACCTTAGTTACAGTTTCTGGGAGAGAGCACATAACCTGGTATGATCAACAGCTCAAACAATGCCAATACATTCAAACTCTTGGTTATGATTTGTGACTTTGTGCTAATACAGTCATCAATGGCTTCCAAAGAATTCCGTGTCATGATGATTTGCCACCCGTGCTAGCAGTCATCAATGGCTTCCAAAGAGTTCCGTGTCATGACGATTTGTGACTCATGCTAGCAGTCATCAATGGCTTCCAAAGAGTTCCGTGTCATGACGATTTGCCATTCATGCTAGCAGTCATCAATGGCTTCTGAACAATTCCATGTCATGATGACTTGTGACTTCATCTACCCAATTTCACTTACAAGGCCTGGTCTGATTGATGTTTTCAGGCACTTCCCAACTGATTGTCTCCCCCCAGGCCATTATTATCAAGGTCACCTCTCTGAAACATCAACCATAGTGAAATTAGAACTTATGGTTAGAACATTTATGTTCTAACCACATGCACATCAATATTTTATTTATAAAAAAGAAATATGGTTGAGTTGGTTAATAATTTGATGTTTATTCATATTACCTACTGAACATTACACTTGGCAGCATCTATTGTAATTTGTTAGAATGCATACAAGGGAAGAATAAGCTACAGGAAAAAGAAAAAGAGTGGATAGAATTCTTCTTTTATGTGCTATGTCTCTTTAGGATGTAAGCTCTCAACAACTTTCTGTCTTTTGTTGCTAAATTTAACTTTTGAGCCATTACAATCTCTCTTTGACTTGTTCTTCCATCTATACAAACTTGTCAAGTAGGTTACATGCTGAATAATACAAGTGAGTGTTAAATTCTCCAGCCTCTCTTTTCTCATTATGTGTGCCAGAAATTTCAGCTGTCCCTTTTCAATTGTGTCTTGTAGTTTCTATTTTCCTTAAAACTTCCTTATTGCTCACATGTTCTATGGTATTCTTAATATTTGTTTGTAGAACCACATCTCTATCACTTCAAGTATCCTTTTCATCTGTGAGGAGATTGTCCAACATTCACTACCATATAGGAGATTAGATATTACATAACATTTCAACAAACATTTTGTTTCTAACAATATTCAACAGTAGAACCATGTTTCCATAGCTTCAAGTCTCTTTGTGAGGAGATTGTCTGATATTCATTGCCTTATAGGAGATTAAATATTACATAGCAGTTCAACAATACAAAACAAAGTGAAAAGAGATAAGTGGGAAAAGAATAAAACTGGATCTGAAGCCATGAAATTATTTTTTTTCTTAAACTTGTATTCTAAAAGATTTTTCTTTTTTTTTTTTTTAAATACTATGTGCTTTCAGGTTAGAAACGATTATGACTCTCTAAAGTTTTTTTTTTTCTGTTTTCTGAGAATTGTCATGATTTCTTGGGAAAGGTAATGGTTTCCCATGGCTTAGAAATCAAACTAGTCTTTATCTTAGACTGGATGTGAGCTACCCTGCTTAAATAGCTCGAGGAATATTCCTGTATTTTCCAAGAGCATGTTCTAAAGTGACTATAACTGACAAGTTAGCTTTGTCTATTTTTTTTTAGAATCAAAGAGAGGAAATGTAACATTGTGGGTATACAATAACATAGGATAATTTGAGGTTAAGGATAAAAAAAAAAAAATCATTGCCTAACAACCAGCTACACAGGTTGTCGCAAATATATATTTGATGGGGTCAATTGACAGTCACAAGTCTTGCAAAAAAACAAAAAAAAAAAAACAAAAAAAAACAGTAAAAATAAAACAGGATGTAGCAAAATTTTTTCTTTGGACTTCGAATTAATGAATCAGGAACGAGCAAGAAGGTAAGATTTCTGGGTAAAAAAAAAAAAGTAGTGTCTCTCTACAATTTTCTTCAGTGAGGTTTTTGTTTTGTTAGCAAGTAGATGGCCTTAAAAAGTTGATTGTAATAGAGAAGTTCTCTCCCTCACCTTCCCTCTAACTCATCTTGCTGACACAATAAAATAATGTGCCAATACAGAACCAACGTGTTTTACCACTTATTATGATGAGTAAACTTCCTGCATGATGAAGAGATGACTTCTGATTTTCAGTGAGGATTTGAAACAGTGCAACTTTGCAGTACTTGCCTGAGAACAACCGATGCAGCTCACTGCATAGTGATGACTGTAGCCCACCGAAACACTACCGCAAGCAACAGATTAGTTAGTGACAATGGCGCAAAAGGAGTCAGAGGAGGAAGAGAACTGATTCTGAAGTTGTTTCATCTTCCTTCTAATCTTGAACTTCAAGAAGTCAATTTTGTCTAATTCTTTACAAACTGATTTACAGCAAGAACAGAACAGGTCTGTAAAAGTAAATATTAAAAGTGACTACATTTTTTGTTTGTTAATCAATTATGATCTATAGTATTTTACAAGTATACAACTGAATGTTTTAGGAGTCTACTTACTTTGTTCTTTGAATAAGTGGCCATTTCAAAAGCAAGGTGTCTCAAACACAGAGTAGCTGATTTGGTGACACCTCTCCCCATATAGGACATTACAGTTCCACCACGCCCAATATGGAATGCAGATACAACCTGGAATTAAAAATAGAAATCATTGTTTAAGTTTGTTTTGTCATGTTTTGTTTCCAAGACTTGTACTACAAGATGGTATCTATTAAGTATAATGTAGTTTGGCACAAAGCAGGAAAAGATCAAAATGAAGACTTGTAGAGTATCACTCGCCATCTGAGAAAAAGAAACACATAGATATGGAGATTGATACACTATATAAACTATTTTAGTTCTATTTTCAAAAAAAGTTAAAGCATGATATTTTTTTAGTTACCATCACTCGATAGTGGGTGACGAATTCTTTTCTACCTAACAATCTCTTTCTTTCAGAGGAAAAAAAAAAAAAATCGCAAGCCTCTTGCTGCTATATTGCTATTTCCATGGGAAATGTTCCAACTACATTCCTTAATTTCACCAGTTCTAACCTTCATAGTTAAAACCCACTATGCCAACTTCATTCTCTACATATCCCATTAGTTAGATGTAAGTTCCTCTTGAGCAGTTTCTTCTCACAAACTGCTGGAACAGACTCTCAAGAGGATGATACAATCTTAATCTGCTCAAGTCTAGGGTCAACTGTTACCTTCCTCATAAACTGTGTCTCTTACTCTGTAACTTTGAGTGGCTCATGTAGAGTGAACATCATTGTAAAAAGTAAAAATCTCTCTCAATACCATGTCCCTTCAGGATGCAGATGATTATCATTTCTTCACAGTTTCCCTTTCTATAATATCTGTCAAATGTGCATTGACTTGATTACTGGTGAGAAAGAGAGAGTGGTTTCCTGTTGCCTTCTTTACAATTTCAAATTCAGAATTGATATTCACCTAAACTGATTGACAAGCTAGAAAGTCAAATCTACCCTACTATTTAACTCATAGCTGGAAGTAGGAGAGACAGCTTCATGCCTTTCCAACGGGCATTGGTGTTAAGTGAAAATGAATTGTTTCAGCTTGAATTTGAACTCAAATTTAGAACTGCAAAGTAACCATGACATATTTGGGAAGTAAACCAACTGCATATGGATGAAAAAGAATTCAGTAAATATACAAAAAATAGAAAGGGTGTAAAACAAGAATGGGTCTTCTCACCAAACTTATTCTTTCTAGAAGAATTAGAAGCTCTACCGGGCTTCATTAATGGTGGCCCCAATCTTAAGATATTCAGATGACACAGTGTTGATAGCAGACATAGAAATGAAACTGCAAGAACTCTTACAGAAGGTAGTACAGGAAAGTGAAAAGAAAGGACTAAACATCAATTACAAGATAAAATGTATGGTTGTTGACAAAAGGAACAGCCCAACATGCAAATTGGAAATACCAAAATCAAGTATGTGTTGTAACCTAGGGAAGGTTACTGAATAGAATAATCACATGAAGGTTGGTAATGAACAATAATACTTAGGACAAGAACAACACATATAAGATTCGCCAGCAATGCCTAGAAGTAGTAGTCAACTGCTAGAAGCGAGTTAGGTGAATTCCACAATGGATCTCCAACTGCAGACCAACATACAGTATTTACATGAATGGGGACATACCCATTATTGTCTATAGGTATGCTACAACAGCAAGTACATCTATTTAAATATCTGGGAAGTGTTTTAGCAGAGAACTGAAAATGCAACACTGAAATCAGAAGATGCATTGGGATAGCAAAAGATGCCTTCCAAAAACTAAGTAAAATATTAAGAATTGGAAAATGTTAGAAACTGTTATGTAATATCAGTCTTCCTATATGGCAGTAACTGCTGGACAATCTCCTCAAAGATGAAGAAGAGAATTGAATTAACAGAAATGTGGTTATAAGAAGGATGTTGATGATACCATGGACTGAACATGTGAGAAATGAAGTTTTTGAGAAAATGGAAACAAAAAGGAAACTTATGCTTAATATCAGAAAGATAGTTGAAATTTCTAAGGTCCATAATGTGGAAAGAGGGCTTGGAAAATTTGATACTCACAGGAGAGGTTGAAGGCAAAAGGACAAAAAAAAAAAACATTAAATTTATTAAGAAGTACATAAAATTGTGGAGTACCATGATAGTCAACATCCTGAATAGAGTCTACCATGTTATTTAACCCATATCCTGGAGGGGGAGATGAGATGGATTCATGCTTTTCCTAAGTGTGAAAGTAAATGCAACAGGCTAGGTGGGAGTTCGAACTTGACCCTCCTATATTCCTTTCCAAGCTCATAACCACTACATCATTTGTATAACCTTTTTTTTTTGTAAGTACAATAATGGAATAAAAAAAAAAAAGAAGGTCTATATCAAACTAAGAGAAAAAGAGCAAGCACTTGAAAAAAAAAATTGATCAAAATCAGTAGAGGAGTTGTTGGAAAGTTCTTGGATTGACCATGAAAGAAACCCAAAAAGAAATTCTGATGTTTGGTCAGATTTTGAAAAGTGGGTTGGGTCAAAAGCTTCTGCCTGTTGTAAAGAGAATAATAAGTAGACAAGAGAAAGAGAAGCTATATTTTCTTTTCTTACCTCCAATAAACATTGCAAAAGCTGCAAGCAAAGGTCAGAACACTCAATTTCTGTGCATTCTCTACTCCAACCAGGTCTACAAGGCAAAAATAAAAGAAACCAATGTTAATATTTAAATTGTTTCAATGTAAAACCACTGGTGGCTACTAAACTTGAATATGAGTAGTTACAGTATAAAGTCATCAGGTGCCCATGAAAGAGGCAGCCATATTGGATTAGTTCTTTTTATTTTGCTAAAGGTTAGACATTGTTGTTATATTTAACATTGTGAAGATTTTTTTGTTAACTACAAAACCAGAGTTTTTTAAAGCTGTGCTGAATTGAATTTACTCATACTGATATAATCAAACAGCAATTTTTTATTACTTGTGAAATCAGACAGTTTTTTTTTAAATGGCTGCAAAAGCCTTCTTTCAAAGGAAGTTGGGTTAAAAACAATATGTAAAAAGAAAAAATACAAATAAAAATATGGGAATAAAAAAGAAATGGATAACTAAAAGCAAATACACAGCAAAAAATGAGTGTGGACTCTCTCCATAACATCTGCATATTGAGTTAACACACATACACACAGATCAAAATGCATACATAGCTGCAGTAGGATTTGGGGATCTACTGAACTAAACATGTGTGAGAGTTTTGGATTGGTCACAGGACTGTTCAATTGTAGCCCACCCCTCTGCTGCCTTAATGAGAGATGTAGGGCTTTTGGCTTCTTTTCACCTCAAAGTATATAAGATAAAAGGAAATAGATTTATCCAGACTGCAAATAGGACATCTGATATGCTCATATTCTACTAAAAAAATGAAACTCTCATCATGCAATAGATGTCAAGTACCTCTTACAGTTGAACATATACATTATCCCAGTTACTCCAACTCCCGCCAAAATATTATCAAGCAGACAATACAGAACTTTTTCAAAACAATATCTTTACCTTTTTAAAGGAAATGAAATGTTATACCAAAATATAAAACTATAAAGATTCCCAACAAAACTACAAAGCACATTTAATATATTTATAAATTTCATAAATATCCCTACAAAAAGTAACAACACAAACTGTAATAACTTGTATCAGAAACTGAATGCAAAATAATTTTTATTAGAGACCAACATCTCTAATGACTAAAAAAAAAGAAAAAAAAAGAAGAAAAAAAAGAAAAAAAGAAAAAAAGAAAGAAAACAAGAAAAAAAGAAAGAAAAAAAAAAAAAAAAAAAAAAGAAAAAAAAAAAAAAAAAAAAAGAAAGAAAAAAAAAAAAAAAAAAAAAAAAAAAAAAAAAAAAAAAAAAAAGAAAAAAAGAAAAAAAAAAAAAAAAAAAAAGAAAAAAAAAAAAAAAAAAAAGGAAAAAAAAGAAAAGAAAAAAGCTTTCTCCAACTAACCAATGTGCAAGGAAGATAAATCTTCCAACTAAGCTGTACACAAAACTATCACTAATCTACATAACCCCAAGTTATAACCAAGACAACCTTGATTCAAAGCTTTTATCTGGCCTTAACAAACCCTATAGTGTTTGAAGGGACATTAAGTGGAAATGAAACTAATCAATTTATGGAACACTTATGTTCACTTCCTCGAGATATTTTGGTAGATGGTAATAAAAGGAAAAATAAGTAATTCTTTACCTTGCTGTGATGTGCATGAGACATAACAATGTCGCTTCTAATGGGGCCAAGTTATAGAAATGGGGAGCTTCAGCAACATTCAAATGGACCAACAATCTCAAAATTAAATCTCCTCTTAGTTGCTGGATTTTCAATCTAACAAAAAAACAAAAAAAAAAACTCCTTATAACACACAAAAAATACACACACTTTATATATAATTCAAAACTAACATGTAACTTAAATATATTTAAAACTAAACAAATATAATCTTTCTTTGGTAATAGCTTCTTCTATGTGCCATTTTCCTTCAGGACATTGGTGATTATGGCTCTCTACAATTTCCAGTCCTTTGTAGCTCTTAGTAAAGTTTGTCTTTTTGTTATCTCTCTTAAACTCTGTTCTACTATCCATTTACACAAACTCGTTTGGTAGGTCATGCACTGTTTTCCTTTGTCCCTCTTGCTTTCAATATGTCCTGTAAGTATCAAATTTTCCAAGCCCTCTTTTCTTATTATGTAACCTAGAAATTTCTTCTTTGTGCCATGTCCCTTCAGGATGTTGACGATCATGGCTCTCAACAATTTCCTGTTCTTTGTAGCTCTTAATAATTTTTCACTTTTTGTTATCTCCCCTAAATCTTGCTAAACTATCCATTTACTCAAGTTGGCTAGGTAGGTTATATAGCCTTTTCTTCTGTCCCTTTTGCTTCCAACCTGCCCTGTGACTATCAAATTTTCCAAGCCCCCTTTCTTCATTGTGTGTCCTAGAAATTTCAACTCTTTTTCTGATAAGTATGTTTCATTTTCTTTAAATACATCATTGCTTATATTCAGTCCATGGTATTCTCAGCATCCTTTTTTAGAACAACATTTTTGTTGCTTCAAATCTTTTCTTCATCTCTGATGGGATTGTCTTACAGTCACTGCCATATAGGAGAACCAATAAGAGATCAGTACTTTTTTCTTTGTTTCTAACAAAATTTTCCTGTTTCTTAATACTTTGCTTAGCTTTTGGAAGACATCTTTCACTATCCTAATGTGTCTTCTGATTTTGGTGTCACACTTTCCATTCTGTTAAAACACTTCCCAGATATTTCAGTAGTTGTACTTGCTTGGTTTTCGTATTTCCAATTTTTAATTTGTACGTTGGACTGTTCCTTCTGTCTTCTTACAATTGTTGTTTAGTCCTTTCTTCTCGTTTACCTTCATTACCTTCTGTAAGAGTTTTTGCAATTTCCTTTCTATGTCTGTCATCAACAATGTGTCATCTGCATATTTTATCTTAAGATTGTGGCTACCAATAATAAATCCTGGTAGGACTTCTAGTTCTTTCAGAATCGCTTCACTGCATAGAAAGCAAAAAGCACTTAAAATTTGTACAATACTTATACAGTTTCAATACTGATATCAAACATCAATGAGGAAGGTAGGAAAAAAATAAAAGAAATATTTAAAGAACTTTTATTATAATAAATATTTCATTGTATTGGGTTAGCCAAAAAGCTTGTTTGGTTGATTAAGTAAATTTTCTACTTCATAAGCAGATAAACTTTCTGGCCAACCCAATAGTTGTTTCACATGAACAATCTAATAAATTGTTTTTTAATTCTTTTGTTGTGAATTCTTGAAGAAAAAAAGAAAATGTATAAATCCATTTTCATATATTTCAATTTTAGCAAGATTGTATATATAGCTTTTTAAAATAATAAAAATTACCAAGGGAGTATACAATAATAAGTGGTGTTGAGAAAGAAAAGTCCTTTTCAACACACATTATTTTTTTCTTTTTGGAGACACTTTTGTTAAACTTTGCCAAATTTTTTTTTGTCATCATTTACAAAGCTGAACAAAATATTTATAATAAATAAGCACTTGACTCTAGTTTCCAAAAGCAGATACAAAAAAAAAAAAAAAAATAAAAATAATTACATGACACTACTATGACAGCAAATAAGTCTGTCCTTTTATGAGGTTACAAGTATTAATTTCTGAACAGAAGGTTAAGGAAGAAGAAAAAGAAAACAATCATATAATAAAAGAGAACTTACATGCCATGTAATCTGTATGGCAGGTGAGAGATGTAGAGAATGATAACATTGATCGCTTCTTTTTCCAATGACCTAAATAAAAAAGGACATAGAAAAAAAGGACATAGAAAAAAAGGACATAGAAAAAAAGGACATAGAAAAAAAGGACATAGAAAAAAAGGACATAGAAAAAAGGACAAAAAAAGGACATAGAAAAAAGGAAAAAAAGGACATAGAAAAAAGGATAGAAAAAAGGACATAAAAAAAGGACATAGAAAAAAGGACATAGAAAAAAGGACATAGAAAAAAGGATATAGAAAAAAGGACATAAAAAAGGACATAGAAAAAAAGGACATAGAAAAAAGGACATAGAAAAAAAGGACATAGAAAAAAGGACATAGAAAAAGGACATAAAAAAGGACATAGAAAAAAAGGACATAGAAAAAAAGGACATAGAAAAAAAGGACATAGAAAAAAAGGACATAGAAAAAAAGGACATAGAAAAAAAGGACATAGAAAAAAAGGACATAGAAAAAAAGGACATAGAAAAAAATAGAAAAAAAGGACATAGAAAAAAAGGACATAGAAAAAAAGGACATAGAAAAAAGGACATAGAAAAAAAAGGACAGAAAAAAAAAAAACAGAAAAAAAGGACATAAAAAAGGACATAGAAAAAAAGGACATAGAAAAAAAAAGGAAAGGACATAGAAAAAAGGACATAGAAAAAAGGAGAAAAAGGACAAAAAGGACATAGAAAAAAGGACATAAAAAAAAAGGAAAAAAAGGACATAGAAAAAGGACATAGAAAAAAGGACATATAAAAAAGGAATGAAAAAAGGACATAAAAAAGGACATAAAAAAAGGACATAGAAAAAGGACATAGAAAAAAGGACATAGAAAAAAAGGACATAGGAAAAAGGACATAGAAAAAAGGACATAAAAAAAAAGGAAAAAGGACAAAAAAAAAGGACATAGAAAAAAGGACATAGAAAAAAAGGACATAGAAAAAAGGACATAGAAAAAAAAAAAGGAAAAAAACATAGAAAAAAGGAAAAAAAAAGGACATAGAAAAAAAGGATATAAAAAAAAGGACATAGAAAAAAAGGACATAGAAAAAAAGGACATAGAAAAAGGACATAAAAAAAAAGAAAAAAGGACATAGAAAAAGGAATTGAAAAAAAAGGAAGAAAAAAAAGAAAAAAGGACATAGAAAAAAGGACATAGAAAAAAGGACAAAAAAAAGGACATAGAAAAAAAAAAGGAAAAAGGACATAAAAAAGGACATAGAAAAAGGACATAGAAAAAAGGACAAAAAAGGAATAGAAAAAAGGACAGAAAAAAGGACATAGAAAAAAAAAAAGGACAAAAAAAGGACATAAAAAAAAGGACATAGAAAAAAAGGACATAGAAAAAAAAGGACATAGAAAAAAATAGAAAAAAGGACATAGAAAAAAGGACATAGAAAAAAGGACATAGAAAAAAGGACATAGAAAAAAACATAGAAAAAGGATATAGAAAAGGAAAAAAAGGACATAGAAAAAAGGAATAAAAAAGGACAAAAAAAAGGACATAGAAAAAAGGACATAGAAAAAAGGACATAAAAAAGGATATAGAAAATAGGACAAAAAAAGGACATAGAAAAAAAAAAAAGGACATAGAAAAAGGACATAAAAAAACATAGAAAAAAAGGACATAGAAAAAAGGACATAGAAAAAAAGGACATAGAAAAAAGGACATAAAAAAAAGAAAAAAAGGACATAAAAAAAGGACAGAAAAAAAGGACATAGAAAAAAAAGGACATAGAAAAAAGGACATAGAAAAAAAAAAAAAGGACATGAAAAAAAAAAAAAATACATGAAAAAAGGACATAGAAAAAAAAAGGACATAGAAAAAAAGGACATAGAAAAAAAGGACATAGAAAAAGGACATAGAAAAAAGGACATAAAAAAAAAAAGGACATAGAAAAAAGGACAAAAAAAGGACAGAAAAAAAGGACATGAAAAAAAGGATAAAAAAATAAAAAAAAGGACATAGAAAAAGGACATAGAAAAAAAAAAAGGACATAGAAAAAAGGACATAGAAAAAAGGACATAGAAAAAAAAGAAAAAGGACATAGAAAAAAAAAAAAACATAGAAAAAAGGACATAAAAAAAAGGACATTTAAAAAGGACAAAAGAAAAAAAAAAACATAGAAAAAAGGACATAGAAAAAAAAAAAAGGACATAGAAAAAAAGGACATAGAAAAAAGGACAAAAAAAGGACATATAGAAAAAAAAGGAAAAAGGACATGAAAAAAAGGTTTGAAAAAGGACAGAAAAAAAGGACATAAAAAAGGACAAAAAAAAAGGACATAGAAAAAAGGACATAAAATAGACAAAAAAAGGACATAGAAAAAAGGACATAAACAAATTGATATTTCTATTTTCAACAAATTACTTTATTCAACAATCTAAACTTTGTCTTGGTGCAAGAGTGTAAAGGCTAGATTTTATGAATTTAAGTGTAGTACTAAATTGGCATGGCATGGTGGAATAATGGATAGTGTCTCAGATTGAGGAATTGGAGAGCCGAGTTCATATTCCAGTCAAATCCATTACATTCACTTACATACTAATATCCTTGGGAAAGTTATGAATTATATTACCCCAGCTATGGGTAAATAGCAGTTCAGACTGGGTTCTATAGCCTTGGATGGCAACCTACTGCAGGAAAAAATCTGCCTTGTCAGTCATGTATTAAAAGATACAGGATCACCTAAGCATGTATCACACATGGCACATAACTGGCTAAATTGGGAGCAAGGTCTCATCATTTTACAATTGAAATGAATAGATGTAATCATAAGTTCTATGTTCTTCTGTCGTCTTAATTCCTGTTCTTTTATTAGTCTCTCTCTTTAATAATATTTTCTAATATTCAAAGAAAAAGGAAATCTGGTGATTTAACATTTAAATTCCATTATTTTTTTACCTAAATTTCTTTAACAAAATCTTTGACAGTCCACAAATCTTTGACAATTACAAATTGAAAATCAAGATAAAAAAGGAAGGATTGTCAATGGTCAGGAATTAATGCAAACAATACAAAAGAGAGGCTACTAGATTACTGCGTTTTCTTGTGCATAATATAAGAAATCTTGAACAAAAGTTAAAGGCAAAAAAGATGAGGTTCATATTACACACAAGTACACGTTTCAGAAAATTTTACTTTGTACAACTTTACAAATTTTTTTTTTCCTTTATATTGGGATGGCTGTACTACAGGGTCATATCATAATCAAGAATGTAGTCCATTCACCGTTTTTATCTTCAAAAATACAGGGTCGTATTATACCCAAGGGAATACAGTACCCATGCTATCATTTTTTTTTTTTATAGTATTTTAAATGTATTTTTCCAATTATTTTGTTGTACTCTGATCTTTCATGGAGTCAATCTTTTTACATTCCTTCTCTGTAAACATCTTGGAGCAGTTTGCTATTGTCATAACAAAGACACAATGTGCAAGGAAGATAAATCTTGTACAGTAAAAAGTTACAAGCATTACAACGAAATATAGCAATATATAAAACTGTGAAAATTAATTTACCATAAAAATGTATTACAAATGACAAAGAAAGGGATTGTCAGTGCTCAGGAATTAATAAAAGCATTACTGAGAGATTAAACCTCTTATATGTATAATTACATGAATATTGTAATATTATAATATTCATGCCTGTAATAGGCAAGTGGTTAGAATGTTGACATTCTGACAATGAGACCTGGGTTTGAATATCACCATGGTCGATTTATCAGGAAGGAGATTTCCTGATGTTATCAGACTGGAGGGGTCAATCCCAGCATGCAGCACCTTTGGCAAGTGCCTGAAAACCCTACCACGGGTTGACCCAAGCTTTTTGAGTGAAATTGGGTAGATGGAACCCTTGAATGCCATCGATAGATGTGCTAGCACAAAGTCACAAATCATTGTGGCCAAGGGCTTGAGTGTGCTGGCCTTGCTCAAATTGTTGATAATGCTAGATAACACGCTCTTTCCCAGAAACTGTAACTAAGGTCTGCTCAGCATAGTTGCAGTATAAACGACAGGTGGGCTCTGTGGGTGTTGAATAGACACAAATGCACCTGAGCAAGCCTCTGCAATAGGGATCGACTAACTGCCCTAGTAGACAGGTATCCTCAAATACAAGTGGCCAGCTATATATATATATATATATATATATATACACACACACACATACATACATACATACATACATAATAGGCCTGCATCCAAATGATTAGAATGTTAGCATTCCAACCATGAGTCTTGGTTTCAAATCTCACCACAGTCAATTTGTCAGGAAGGTGACCTCTTGATAACATTGTTTTGAAGAGGCAATCCCAGGATGCATCACCATTGAGAAGTGCCTGGAAACCATAACACAGGTTGACCTAAGCCATGCGAGTGAAATTGGGTAGATGGAACTATTTGGACTCCTTCAATGGTTATGCTAGCACAACGTTATAAGCCATTGTGACCGAGTGATTGATCTTATTGTCCTTGTTCAAAACTGTTAATCATGCCAGATTATGTGCTCTTGCTCAGAAACTGCTAAAGTATGTTCAATATAGTTGCAGTATAAGCTAGAAATTAGCTCTATGGGTGCTGAAGAAACACAAATGGATCTGAGCAGAGATTAGCTAGCCACCCTAGCAGATGTGTGTACTCAGAAACAAGCAGCCAGCCATTTACTTTTACATGGAAATTCTAATAGCTTTCTTAGTATTTTTTTTTCTTTTTGTTCACATACCTTTTTATGGCAGCTACATATTCAGGAAGGTCTTGGTTGTCTTCTGTTCGGCTGAGTAGACAAAAGAGTGTCCCTTTGGGATTATAGAGCAATTCTCCAAACCATTGCAGTACATGGTCAGGTACAGAGCTACTGAACTGCAGGACACAACTAATGAAATGCAGTACTTGGTATAAAAGCCACTCATCGGGTGGTGAGGATGGTACAACTTGTAAGAAACTAGAATGGGTGAAAAAAAGAAAATTAAAATATACACAATATTTAGAAGTTACTCTGGTAAATCATTCATTACTGAAGTGAATCCAATCATCATGTGATGCTTCTCTATTCTGACTTTGTAACAAACTTAGTTAAGTTTGAAAGAGAAGTCAACAATTATAAAGCATTTTTTGTGTCTATAATAACATCTATAACAATCAAGATGAGAACAATATTTTGAATAATGAAAGAATATTGACAAATACTCATCTCAAAAATGAAATACAAAAATTATTGAAAAGCATTACAAACCCACCACAATAAACAAATGTCTGATATTGGATATAAAAAGCTCCAAAAGAACACAAAAATTTTGGATGGTGATATAGTGAATATAGGAGTTGGCGTAACATGTGTTACTGATATCTAGTGGTCATGAGTTCAATCTCAGGATGAGATAGTGAAATACTGGTTCAGCAGGAACAGACAATAACTAGCAACGCAGGGATAAAATAACAAAATAATCAACAGATATCTTATATCAGGCAAACAATGGACACCTGATGATGACCAGAGATTACTTGGCCCAAACATTGTCTATATTAACATCTATATTAAATGAAGATGACAACAATAGTTTAAAATAAAGTAAATTATAAAATTTACTGGTTATTATTGCTGGTTAAAAAAAATTATATAAAATTTGGTTATTAAATCTGAATTTTGTCTTTCATGGATTGAACAATAGGTTTTTCTTTAATTTATTAAATAACTTATTTGGGGAATTTACTTAATATAGTTTAGTTGATAGTACTCTATGCATTGTTAAGATTTCACAAATATATTGATATATGAGGGGTAAAAGAAGCATTCATGAAATTGTAGCATTTCCTTTTCCTTATGATATTACTTTGTGGTTAAGGCATGAGCTTAAAAATCATTGTATGTACAAACATTCTCACATTAAAAAGAAAAAGACAACTTTAGCAAAAAGCAATGGCAAAACACTGTTGTTAAATCTATATATTAATACACTTATACTTATGTATAGTGTGTGTCACACTTTATATTGAGAGGGAAACAGAAAGAAAGAGAGAGGGAAACAGAAAGAGGGAGAGAGAATAAAACAGAAAGAGGGAGAGAGAATAAAACAGAAAGATAGGGACCGGATGGGGGGGGGTCATCTTAGATAAAGCCAGTTGTTTGTAGTGAGGGGATTAAACCCTGTTTTGTTACTTAATGATCTGTTCAGGACCAATTTGCCTATGAACTGCAAGTGACTTTTTGAAATTAAAATCTTTTTTAATCTTATCTTCCTAAATCCACCTAATAATTTACATGAGTCCTTCTAGTTGTCATGATTATCCTAAGTTGGATCCTTAATGAAATGAAAAATAAAACTTTTTATTGGAAACAATAAAAATATGAATAATATATAAAAGATGTAAGTAAAAGTTGATCCCTTGAATTCCAACATGATGATTTGATTTACATCTGTGTTCATCAGGTAAGACTATTTTGAAACAGTTCTAAAGAAATATGCTCCTGTTTTCTCTAAAATTTACAATAAATGTTCGACTTTTTCTTGCTTGTCTACATGTTGAAAATTCTCTTCTGCAGTTCCTCTTTTTAAGAATCTTTTATTAATCTTTTCCGTCTTTTTTGGCAAAGTCCTAGAGAGGCTCTAATCAATTCTGAATTAATAAAATATCTCATTTCACAGGGTCTTCTTTTAGACAGGTATTTTTGCTTCTCTGGGTCAACTGCTGATGTACTAATGATTATTGCTGAAAGAGTCTATCAAGCTTTAGATAAGAATGGTGAAGCTTGGGCTGTTGTTTTGGACATCTTGAAGGTGTTTGACAGGGTTTGGTGAAATGAAAGTTGTCTTGAATGACCATTCTTCTAGATCTTTTTACATTAATGTAGGTGTCTCCCCAACCCAGGGCTCTATCCTTGGACCTACATTGTTCCTAATTTTCATCAATGACCTTCCCAATGTTATCAGTTCTTGACTAGGTATCTATGCTGATGACAACTACTCTGGTCTTAATGGTAAGTCTGATAGATTCAATAAGTTCAAATTGGCAGCTGATATTAAAAAATGACCTTCAATCGGTTGTTAACTGGGGCAATTTTAATGCTTCCAAAATTAAACTGCTCTCTTTTTATAATCTTAGAGAATTTTTTTTGCCTTCCATCAGCATGGCTGATACCAACCTCCAGGAGAGTTACTCATTGTGCCCTCTTAGATTTAAAATTTTTCAATGACATGAAGTGGAATGATTATATTGAATCAACTTCTAGATTTACTATGATAGTTGGTTCCCTGTGTCGTGATAGATAATTTTTCTCACCAGAATTTATCTTACACCTTTATAAATATACTATTCTACCAAACTGAAATAAAATTCACAATTCCATATCAGATTGAAGATAAATTTTTAAATATAAAATCTAGTGGAAAAGATTATCAGCAAGGCCAAAGTTATAATTTAGTATTTTATTTCTGAGATGACTAATTGTCAATATTCTTGTATTATTTCAAATTATTGTTCTCATTTTGGCTGATATAGATGTTATTATAGACATAATATTTCAATCAAGTACCCTCTGGTCATAATCAAGTGTTCATTAGTTGCTGATATATTGATTGTGATATTTTATCCCTATGAAATCAGTTATTGTCCATTATAATAAATGTTTGATGCTTGAGGAAAATACATATAGGTTTTTTCTTTACAGTAATTTCTTAATTTCAACAGTTTTCTTATTAGCCTCTTAAAACTTTCTTCTTTCATGATTTGAAAAAATTTGTATTGTAAATCTTTTTTGGAGCCAATTATTTCTATATTTTTTGTTATGCTATGTTGTCTTTTCCTTAATAAAACGCATGAAAGAATATTTTTGTACAAGCTTTTGTTTTTGTAAAATTTGTACTTTGTCATATTGCTTTATATCTGTATAATATTTTTAGCTTTCAAATTACCTACTTGAATTATTAAAAAAAATCAATAAAAAAAAAAAAAAAAAAATCAATGTTTAAATTATCAGAATGTCATTTTTAAAACTTAAAAAGAGTTCTCATCTCTATCACTAAATTGTCATATAATTTAATAACTTACTTATATTAGTAATAGGAATATAATATCATAAGGTACTTGTATTACTAATAGTATTATGATTTTGCAATTTTTTATATTACTAGAATTTGAATAAAATCTAAAAACACAGATCAAAAATTGTCAGATTCAATTATGTCTTTAACTAGTCAAAGACATATTTCCCACTACTATAATGTAGCTTCCCTGAGCCTTTTCTATAAATAAATACTTTCATGGTATTTGTTCTAATAAACTTTGCTTTATTACCATAGAACAAAGCTCCTACATACCTAGACTTTATTCATTTAAAGCACTGTACTAGACTGGCAACAAGGTCCCATCATTGTCATGCAAATGAACATTAATCTTTTGTGTTATGCAAATGAACATACTTTTTCTTTATAAAATGTGCTGTATTCTGGGGAGAGCAATATTATGTAGAGAGACACGGATAGTGTCATTCTTCTTCATTTTTTTTTTGTTGAATAAAGCAATTCTTAAGGTTATTGCCATCTTGTCTTCCTGCTATTTTGAATTGCATTCAAAATTCATAACAATCATTTTACAATTGAATTGGCTTGATGTAACCATAAGGTTTTTGCTAACAGTTTCTTTTCTTACCTATTGAACACTCTTCCAGCTTCTTGCTTTCCAGGCAATTTTGATCTTCAAAAATTTAAATACAATATCAATTGTTATCTACTATCTCCTTGATTCCTCTTCTTTTATTGTTCTCACTCCTTAATAATGTTTTTTCTTTGGCTTATTCTTTCACACTCTGTAACCTCTTATGCCTTAGTGGCTTTATTGCTTGGTTGGAGTGAAATTATTAAAAAACAAAAGATTTGTTCTTTATTTTATTCCCCCTCCCCCTTCTCAGAGTAATTAATTGATTCCTTATTTCTAATTAAAACCGAAGTGGATAAAAATCAACAAGAAATAATTTTAATTAAAGCAATGATTCATAAGTTTTTTCTTGTTGTTATTACAAAACCATTTCAGAAGGTAGTAAAGGAAAACAAGGTGAAAGGACTAAATATCAATTGCAAAAAAAAAAAAAAAACAAAAAACAAAAAAACGAAAAACAAAAAAAACAGAATGCATGGTTGTTAGCAAAAGGGACAGCCCAACATGCAAATTACATATTGGGGATACCAAAATCAAGCAAGTACAACAATTTAAATATCTGGGAAGTGTTCTAACAAAGGATGGAAAGTGCAACACTGAAATCAGAAGTGCTTAAAATAGTGAAAGGTGCCTTCCAAAAGTTAAGCAAAGTATTAAGAAATAGAAAAACTTTCTTATAAACAAAGAAAAGAATATTTTATGTAATATCAGTCCTCCTATACAGCAGTGAATGCTAGACAATGTCTTCACAGAAGAAGAAACTTGAAGCAACAGAAATGTAGTTCTACAGAAAGATGCTGAGAATACCATGAACTGAACATGTTAGCAATAACACAGTTTTAGAGAAAATGGAAATAAAAAGGACAAAGGACAATTATACTTAACATCAGGAAGAGACAGTTGAAATTTCTAGGGCACATAGTGAGGATAGAAGGTTTTGAAAATTTGACACTCACATGGCAGATTGAAGACAAGAGAGACAAAGAAAAACAATGCATAATATTCAAAATTAGCTTGAGTAAATGAATGTGAGAACAGGGTTTAGGAGAGATAACAAAAAGACGAAATTTATTAAGAGCTACAAAGGACAGGAAATTGTAAAGAGCCATGATCGCCAACGTCCTGGAGGGATAAGGCACATAGAAGATGAATTTTGTGCCTCAGATCAGATAGCTATTTATCCCCTGAATTACCGCCCTTAGATTACTTTTAACCTTAATCTGAACTTTAATTTAAATCTCAATTATTTGTTTTAATTTACGGAAAAAATTGAAAATGAGGTGAGGAAAAGCAATATATTTTAATATCACTTTTCAGTATTTGGTATGCGAAAAACTTCTCGAACAAAAGGGGTGATACTCAAAATCACACAAAATTAAAAAAAATTAAATACAAAAAAAAATAAAAATAAAAAATAAAAATAAAAATAAAAAATAAACTCCGTCAAACAAAAAACGAACTGGTTTTTGTGGTCTCGTTAGGTAAGTTTTTAAAATAAAAACGGACATTTATATTTTTATGAGTTTATTTTTTTTTTTATATTGTCAGTGACAGTGATAAAAAAAACTTGTTTGTTTACTACGGAACTTTTTTTTTTTTCGCGGGGGATAGGTTCTTCATAGGTTGTTGTTTACGGAATTCATTCTTCGCAATAATAATTAAATTAAAACTAGCATTGTACGTGTGTGTGTTTATTAATTCCATTTTATTTATTTATTTATTTATTTATTCAAGTTGTTGTCTTCCTTCTGGACCGTGAGCCCGGTAAACGGTAGTCAAGCTCAAACTTGACAGATTGCCAAACCGTGGAGGCTACACATAAAATTAAAAGAAAAATATACTGAAGATATCAACACTAAGTTTATTCAAAAGAATAATAAATTGAATAGAAGCAGCATCTTTATTAAAATTGGCAAAGAAAGAAAGAAAGAAAAAGCAACACCTACGTATCCGGCTGTCGGCGATTGATTTCTTTCAATTACGTGTGTACAAAAAAGAAAGAAAGAAAAGGAAAAACTTTTTCTAGGGCGAGTGTGAAATAATTACATCCTGCTTTGAAATGTCCCAGTAAATATAAAAATTTCAACGTTCATTAAAACAGTGATTTTTTTATTATCGGATAAAATGAAGATTCTCTTTTTTAACTCTTTACAATATTAGTGACCAAAAAATTAAAATACCTTGGCTTAAAGTACGTACGAAATACTTCTTTGCGTTTTTTTTTTTTTTTTTATTAAAGATACCGGCCTGTGACCAGACTAAATGTCGCAGTAAATAAATACATTTCCTAATTAGTAATTACGTTTATCTTTTCCAGTGTTAGTAGCACTGAAATAGTAAGGAATGAAAAAGCTTTTAAAACATTTATCATAAACGTTTTAATTGCGATAAAAAGTCAGTCGCGACTAAAAGGTCTGCGCATGCGCACTGTTCTGTTTATGTTTGCCGATGGAAAATGGGCGAATTGACTCATAAATATGAAGTAAAGATTTAATTTTTTGAGATTTTAAGCCATTTTAATAATTTCGGAATAACTTCGAAAATCCAGACAACAAATTTCTCGCCTGAATATCCGAAATTTCGCTTTATTGTGAATATATAGCATATTCTGTCTACAATTGTCAGATGCCTCCATAGCTCAGTGGTTAGAGCACTGGTCTTGTAAACCAGGGGTCGGGAGTTCGATCCTCCCTGGGGGCTTGGTGCGAAATTGGATGCATAAATATTTTTTTGATATTTTCTTATTCTATTAAATGCAGATTTGGTAAAGTATTTTTTATTTAATCTTTAACATTTTTATAATTTTTTTTTCTCCTGCTCCTGCAAATTTATGAATTATTCATTAAAGCAAACTTTTGGCACATGAACTAATGAATAATTTAATTCAAATTTTTTTTTTTTTTTTTTTCTTCTAACAGCTGCTCGAAAATGATTGTAATTTACATAACTTGTATTAATGTAGACTTACAATTCTTTGTATAATTTTTTTTTTTAGCTTTCAAAGTTATTTTTCTTACAAGAATAGTAATATTCTTTAATATTAATTATTAATAATTAGTTTTTAGAGATATTTCAAATAAGTGTTAATTGCAAGTAAGGCATTCATCAATTATTGGACCCTGATAAATCAGAAACCCAGACTCCCATCCAAACTGCCACACTGAAAATTAATTTTAATCACAAAAAGTCTGCTTTTTTTTGTAAAAAAATCCTAATTATTATTTTTTTTTTACTATATACATAAATTATTTAACATGTATGGAAGATCATTATGAAAACAAAATTATTTTCTTTGGCGCCAGTTAACGCAAAACGTTTTTTTGCCATTTCTGGTCACCTATCTGCATGAGTTGTTCCTGAATTTAAGAGAGCTTTTATCAACAATGGCATAATTTAAGTTAATTTTGGAGGATGTAACAAAATAAACTTTAAAACCTACTATAAGTACACAAAACTATATTTTTTATGATTATTTTCGCATTATAAAACAACATTTAAAATTAAAAAGTATATATTTAGATTAAAGCTTACGTAAGCAATAAATGTCTACTAAACATAATTGTTGATTACATTATTTACATTATTCGGACTATTGTCCTCATCTTTGTCGCTTCAGATGGTTTGATATTCGTGCCAGTTTCTGGTAGGATTTTTCAATTTGTCTCCATATTTTTGGTATATCGGGTCCGTACCGATCCTTCAGAGTCTGTCTATATTTCTGAGATGAGGTATTATGTACATTAATTACATTATTCGGACTATAATTGTTGATTTTGTTAATATTTTTGTACTCATTCAAATCATCCTCAGACGATTATGTCAGAGAATGATGTAAAGAAAAATTGAAAAATTAAATCAATTAAACACAACTCATTTCTTAAATTGTTGATACCTCCTGACAAGTGGATAAAAGGAGTACAAAAGGGTTTATCACCAAAACTCCAGAGTTGAGATGCTGAATATAACATTAATCAATTAAGTGACAAATTTTATTTGTATTAATCCTAAAATATACAGGGTGTTCCCCCCAAAATTGACATCATAACACAGTCAATTCTCAATCAAATGATCTCATATTTTAACAAAATGTGTAAAAACTAAGTTGACTGTGTAGATTTATCTCAATGAGAATCTACCAGGAAGATCGATCAGACATTTCAGTGATAATGAAAATGTGCTGTTGAAATGGCCACCATATTCACCTGACTTGACAACTTGTAATTTTTTTCCTATGGGGCTCTGTGAAAGGACAGATCTATATCTCCTCTTCTTCCTATTAATCTGGAGGAACTTAAGCAGAGAATTATTGAGGCTCTGGAGAATGTAAGGCATGCTACAGCGTATTTGGCAGGAGCTGGATTGCCTACTTGACATGTGTCATGTCACAGGTTGTATACATATTGAATATTTGTGAAATCTGTTATAAAATGTTCATCCCTTTGAATATCTTTTTTGAATTTTGAGAAATAAATCTTTTATTGTTCAACACAGCCTATTTAATTACGTTTGCCTGGGATAAGAAGTTACTCAGATATTCACATTTTAAATGATCTCGATTTTGGAGGACACTCCATATATATTTACTCACACACACACACACACAGTAATGCCTTGAGATACAAGTGTACCAACATATGAGTTTTTTGGGATATGAGCTGGAGTTTGGCCAATATTTTGCTGTGAGATATGAGCTGAATTTTGGGATACAACTGAGTTACAGTTAAGCATCAGCTATTTGGCACAGCGAACTAAACTTCAAGAGTATTTCCACTCGCAGTACACATGTTCACCTCACTCTGGAAGGATCTATGGTGTTGTGCCTTTTTGCCACTATTTTACAAAATTCCTTTATTGACACCAAAGAATGTAAGCGTAAAGAGCCATGGTGAAAAGCCGAAATGCGTGATTTCGCCTGAGGTAAAGCAGGAAATTATTAAAAAAAAACGTAAAGACATATGCATAATGGATTTGGCAAGACAGTATGAGCATTCTACATTGACAATAAATAAAAAATTATAAAATTAAAAAAAAAAAAAATAAATTGTTACAGTAATGGATAAAATGTAAATGTTTTAAAATTTTTTAAAATTAAGTGCTAAAGTTAATATTTGGTATCATAGATTAGGCTAGCAGTTGCTAGTTGTTGTTGTTGTCCCTCCCTCCCTCTCTCTCCAGTTGGCCTATGACTAGTCTGAACTTCATGGGTTAGTACAGTTTATTTCTTTACAATTTGTTTTTTCTCTTATTTTATTATTTGTAAACTACATTTCTTGTTTATTCACACGTTTTCGTTTGCAAGAAACCAATAGATATAAAAATGGGGTGAGTTTTAGGAAAACAAGGGTGATTCTTAGGGGCTTGAAACAGATCAGAAATATTCCCCTTAATTTCAATGGGGAAAACCAATTTGAGATATGAGATTTTTGAGTTATGAGCTTAGTCTTGCAAGGAATTAAACTCATAGCTCAAGGCATTACTCTGGGTGTGTGTGTGTGTGTGTGTGTGTATATATATATATATATATATATATATATATATATATATATATATATCTTAGAGAGAGGGAGATTGGAATCCTTCTCCTCCTTAGTGCCATTAGACTTCCCTGGAGACTATGGGGGTCACAGTCTCATTGCACAAGATCTTGCAGCTGTGGTTCCTGTTTTTTTAGGAGATGGAGTTGTCAGTTATTTAACCAATAGCTGGGGGGAGGGGTGTGTGGAAGAATGGCATGTGTTCAAACATGGAATTTTAACTCCGTGAACAGATTCTGTTCCAATGACTGCTACACTATGTTCACACCCACAAAATATACTTAAGTAATGGGTGACAAAAAATTTTGTCATTAAAATGTGTGTCACTAACCAATGCAAGGCATTATGAATCTCCTGTTTTATAATTCCTTGGATACAAAGTGTAAAATCCTAGAAACTTATGACTTATTATTCACATTTCAAATGATGTCATTTTTTTTTGGAACACCCTGTATATTAAACTCATTATTCAGATTTACCTTCATCTTTTATATGTTAACAAATTTTCATGGACATAAAAATTCTAAGAAAATCAAAGATTAACACACTGTAACATAAAAGAACAAATCATTTACTTCATTGAAGAAATATCTTTTCTTTCTTTTTAACGTCTTAAGATTGCTAAACATATCTCATTAAAAATTAAACGGGTAAGGAATTCATTACATTTGACTGGCTAAGAGATACTCAGTTGAGAGAAAAGACTTACCGACACAAGTTGTCTGTCCACTTGAGTTCATGGAGTGTGCTACAAACAGCTTTCTGATTGCCCTCTAAGGACACCAAATAGATAAGAATTTGGTTCAATGCTACAATGACTGCCTGGTGATTTGTGGCATTTGAAATACCATCAATAGCAAATTGAAGACTGGTGGGAATGTGACTTTTTTGAAGCAGTACATAGTCAATGGGGGTCAGATGCAAGTGCTGAGGGTACCTGAAGAGATAAAAAAAAAAACAAAACTGTCCAATTTTAGATCAATTTTGCGAGATATTTCATGCTGCAGTCTCTATTACTTAAACACTTAATTAAAATCTATGAAGCAATGAACGGAATTTAATACATTGGTTGTTTTTGGTTGATTCGTTTTCTACAGCTTATTAACCATTTGCAAATTATTTAAAGTCAGAAGATATTTTTAGATTGTAAGATATTTTTGGGAGATAATAATGGTTTAGTGATACAAGTCTTACTACTTAACCCATAGCTGAGGGGAGAAGAGGTGGATTCACACATTTCCTAAGGGTATTTGCACGCAAATGAATATAGTGAACCCAACTGGAATTGGAACTTGGCTCTCCGATTAACAATTGAGCCATTATCCAGTACACCACTTGCACATCCAAGCTTACAGCACCTGATATTCTTAAGTGATCACCCATCTACATACTGATCAGGTTCAATGTTGCTTAACTTTGCTGATCCTACTAGAACCAGTACTTCAATGTGATGTGGCTGTAAGCAGGAATTTAATAGTGATAAAAGTGTAAATTCTTTTAATTAGATAATGGCTTTCATATGGTAATTTGAGAGTTACATTCTTGATTGCTTGTATGATAACATTTCTACTGGTGTACTTTTTTGACTGATCTGGATAGTCACAGATTCCAAACCCAATAGACAACACAGTATTTTTTTTTTTATATGAGTAGATAAAAAAAAGAAATCCTCCATTTTTACTGTAGATATTAGAGAATACCTCCTCATCCTAATCTTCTTGGAGCAATGGGGATATTCTGTCTAGAAGATGGGTGTCTTTTCAGCAAGCTAAAATTATTTTGGGACTCCCAGAAATGACAGGGTTCTAGGAATCAATATCATTTTCCACAGGCGCTGTTTAGTCTCAAGTCCACAGTAGCTGGGTATCAAGTGAAACAGAACTTTATAGTCATGAATTGGCCTGAGAGCTCAGAATGTTAACCATTGCATTACAATAGTTACCCATTTTGTTTGTCTTCAGACACAAGTTATATTTTGTAAATAATAGAGGAATAGACAACCTTACAGAGAATAAAATTGATCTTTTAAAAGAGATGTTACAAGTTCAAATCTCTAGGATAAAAGACTGAATCCAACCAACCAAAGAATGAGTTTTCTTTTCAATAAGAATTTCCTGAAGGAGTCATTTTATTGGAATTTTATAAGTTTAAACATTACCAACCATTAATTTTTTTGATTAGTATTTCTTTTATTTCAACTATTCAAGTTATCAGTCTATAGCTATTTGTAAACATTGCAGGCCAGAAATAAAGGATAAGTTTTGACAAAACTCAAACTTACAACTGTTTTACCTCAGGAAGCATGTTTTTTACCAGTTGAGCTACAAGAGATTTATAAATGGCAGAAAATCATTTTTTTAGTTATTCTTTATTTTTAACCAATCATTCAGGACATACTAGGCAGAGAGGAGCACTTGAGAGTAAGATGTCTGAAAGAATCAGCACATATGCTAGAGTATGAGGACTTTAGTAGGCCTAGTATAGAAATAAATATGTTATGGGAGCCATTAATAAATAGAGAAAGAGAAGTAACAGCAAAGCTTTAACAGCAGTAGCAAATGCTGTAAAAAATGAAGCCTTGGTGAGTACAGTCAAATGTGATGATCAGCAGTATCAGCTGGAAGTTCTCCACTCAGAATTGTCCCATGGGACAACAGTCTAGTAGATTAAAGCATTGATTCGTGAATTTAATGGCACAGTAATTACAAGTGTGTACCCTAGGCTGGGCAGTAGAAACAGGGAAAGTGTCATATCGGAATAAAGTGTCACTGCTGACACTTGGGTCTGAACATAGATCACCAGAGAGCAAGCACAGTCGACCTCATCTTGAAATAATTAGATCATGTGATGGGTAAAGGAAAAATATATATATGGGAATTTGCGGTGTCTGACCAAGTATTGTTCAAAAGCGTTACTATTATTGTATCTGTGTCTCTCCTACAAATGGTCATTACAAAAGAAAGCAATAACTGAACAGTACTAAATAAGGAACTAGGTGAGATATCCCTGGATGTAGACAGTGGAACGAGAACAATCTAAATCTGTAGATTAAATAAAGAATTCAGTTTGAAATTCCTTTAAGTTTATCTGGATTGACAATCACCTGATGAAGGCCGAAAGGCACAACAGCTAAAATGTTGTGATAACAACAAATATAGGGACAACTGTCGATAACTCAGGACTCTGATTAATTTTTATTTTTTAATTACACTGGAGAGCTTATTTCTTTATTTTTCATTTGTAATGTTTACTAATGGTCATTTACTGACAATCTGTTTGATGAAAAACAAGTAAAATTAAAATGAAAAAATCTTGGTAGCACTAATAAATTCTAATATAATATGTACATAAAAACACCAAATGTTTTCCAAATTTAAGAAGAAAGTTCTACTCAGCTTCCCCAACTGCAAAGAACTGACACTTTGTGGAACAGGTTCCTGCATGGTTGCTTCCCTAAATATTTCAATATTGACCTCCTCAGGTCAAGGGTTAATCATCATCTATCCTCCTAGCCCTCAGATTATTCACTTCCTACCATCTATTCCATCATTACTATTTTGACTGTAATCCTCTACCTTGAGTGGCTCTTGAGCTTTGTATTGGATGAAATTGAGCATAAAAACAAGTAACAAATTAAAAAAAAAATACAAATATACTGCTGAGAAATTATGAAGAAAACAAAGGTTAAAAAGTTTTCATCTGATCTTCTGCCGGCTGTAAGATCTCTTATAGTTCAAGCTGCAAAAAAAAAAAAAAAAAAAAAGATTGAAGTTTGAGTCTCAATAAGAGACTAGCCTTTATTTCTGATCAACATGTTTCATTGATGGCAGTAGATTGACAGTGCAAGTAGATATGATGAAAAGCAACCAAAATTAAGATGATGGAATTCAAAAAATTAATGAGAATTATTTTCTACTGAGCACTCAACTTTCAGTTAAAAAAAAGATAAAATAAAAAAAAATAATTTTACTGAAAAGTTTCCCCAATTTGAAACTTACTCTGGTTTGTCAGCATCTGTTTTTGAAGACAAATTCTTCACATATTCTAAGAGGCCATTGATTCCTTGGTGCCATGCAAAATTCCAAGCAAATCTCATCATATCACTACAAGAAGTTGAACTTAAAGAATTGGAAATAAAGGAAGGCTTCAAGTTTGGACTATTTTCATGATACAATGGACATTTGAATGGCAGATGATACCTAGAAATTGAACAAAAACAAAAGTAAGTTGGAAAGAACATTTTTAATTACATTTGTTGACGTACATTAGTATCCTCATCATTTTTGTTGCTACACTATCAAGAATGGTGATCCAATACAATGGGTGCCTCAGGGTTAGCAAAATTAGTTTGGTTGACTATTACAACTGAGCTTGATCCTCACTGGATACACCATACAAAATTGAACATTAAACAACCCAACAAGTTTTGACATATCATAAAATCAACAAACTTAACCATACCAATATTGTGTGTGTTTGTTTAAAGAATAAAAATGTTATTTTGATTTTCCTTATATGAAATTTAGTGCAAAAATGTATAATTTGTAATATCTTAGGTAACTAATATTTAAAAAGTTCAAAAACATTTGCTTTCATAAATTACAAACTATTTACTCATTCTTGGTATTTCAAAATTTTTAAATGACCTTTGATTCTATTAAAGATTTAAAAATGTACATTTAAAAAATATATATATATATATATATATATATATATATAAATAAGCAGCATGTTTCATTGAATAATATAGACATATGTCTATTTATTTTTATAATAATCCTTTCTAGTTATCTAATTATCTCCTTGATATTAAGTTGAAATTGATCAAGAAAAGCACTGTATTTCTTGTTAACCCAAGTACTTTCAATCTCCTTCAAGATCATCTTATAATTATTATAAAATTAACCATTGTAGCTACAATGTGTTTTTGGAAACAAGTGTCCACAATGTAAGGGAGCTAACCATAGATAGTAAAAATGCAATATGGCATTAAATGCATTTTAAAACATTGCTACTACACTCATCATAAATTTTGTTCAGTGTTGGTTGGTTGCTTTTGATATAGAGGGTCTCGGAAATTTGAAGTTTGCAGTGTCAAAAAAAAAAAAAAAAGTGTGTGTGTGTGTGGGGGGGGATTTACTACCAGGGAATCAGCATAAAAAATTAAAGGCAGATTGCTATTCCCTCTGCTTATAGAGGGAAGGCTGCTTAGACTTAATATAAATGGTCTCAAGAAATTCTCAGATGGTAATCTGAATACACCTTGCTGATTATGGTGAAAAAAAAATCCCTAAAGAAATATGTGGAACAGTTTGGATTATTGTGTTCTACAATAGCAGAACCATAAGTATTCACAAGCATATGCAAATTTTCACACTGCCCTTGATGGATCTTAGATGTGCACATATTTTTGTCCTCGATTGGCTCTGAAGAGTGAGGAGCGAAAAGCAGTTAGCCCCTTTTTGATCTTTTTGTTGCTACTATAAATTTTTCAATTCACCACCTTTACTGTGAGTATTTTTTTTTAATAATATTCTTGCTCTTCCATCCCTTTGTTTCATATACACTTAATTTATATATATATATATATATATATATATATATTTTATATTTATATATATATTTATATATATATATATATATATATATATTTGTTTTATATATATATAAATTTATATATACTTTTGTTTTATATAAACTTTTAATTTATATATACTTTTAAAAGCTTAATGAAATTTTGAAGTGACTATACAGTTTTGATTCCTTTTACATATATATCATTATCAAGTATTCTTACAGATTTTGTGAGATTGGAAATTTACTTAAATTGCATATAAAAATGAATACAATTTTCATAAACTTTAGAGAATTAGATATTTTTGTATTATATACAGAAATATTTATGATGTCACACATTATGAAATGGACAAAGTCCGACAATTATTTAAAGACATTTTTATGTTTAACATTCTTTTTATAGATACAAGTATTTTAAGTAAATGCTCTGTTTATAATAAACAGTATTAAATAACATTTACTGTCCTGAATGTCCAAGAAATTTTCATAGAAAATATTCATCCTTCAACAGGATTTGAAACTGTATCCTATACGGAACCATCATATAGCCTGACGTGCCTTACCGCTTGGCCACAAAGGATCGTTCGGTAAGGCACGTCACTTTACAATGCACAAAGTATGTCTTTCTATGTTTTTATTTGGATCTACAAAGGCAGACATCTTTAATATTTGCATATATAAAGCCCAAATATGTTCAAATAAAATAGTAAAAAATAAATTAAGTTAGCATACTTTAAGCAATGTTTAGGATCATCGTCCTTGTACACTGGATTGAGAAGTTCATAAAAGGGAGTGATCGATTTTCTGATTACGGCCATTTTTTTTTTAATAAAAACTTTAAGGTATATTAATTTAAACATTTTGACGTTTTCATTTTCATTATAAGAAAATAGTACAAAATTAGTTGCAAACTAATACTTTTGCATACTTAACACACAATTTTGTCATTCAAAATAGAATAAAATAAAAATTAGAAAAATATAGAATTTTGATTAAAATTAGTTGGATTTTGAAAGAAAAATACTTTTTATTTATAAAATGAAAATACATTTGTTTACAGAAGGTATCTGTTACCTATTATCTCAAAACTGGATGTTTGGTAAATAACAGGTGACTGAATAACCATATAACTTTTATCAATGCTTATTAAAAACTACAACACCTGATATTACCAACAATGGTAAAAGTATTTCACCAACATTAAAACATTACATGATAGAAAACACTACTAATATTATGTTTCTTCTCTATGTGCCGTGTCCCCTCATGATGTAGGTGATCATAGCTCTCCACAACTTCCTGTCCCTTGTAGCTCGGAATAAATTTTGTTTGTTATTTCTTTTTAACTGTTCCACCATCCATTTACTCAAGCTTCCTAAGTATGTCATACATTGTTTTCCTCTGTCTCTCTTATCTTCAATTTGTCCTGCAAGTATCAGATTTTTTAAGCCCTCCCTCCTCATCATGTGCCCTAGAAACCTCAACTATTTCTTCCTGATGTTAAATATAAGTTTCCTTTTTGTCTCCATTTTCTCTAAAACTCTGTCATGCTTGATCTATGGTATCCCCAGCATCCTTCTGTAGAATGACATTTTTGTTGCTTCAAGAATCTCTTTCATTTTTGAGGAGATTGTTCATTCAGGACAGATATCACATAAGAGTTTAATACTTTTTTCCTTGCTTCTAGGAAAGTTTTCCTATTTTTTAGTACTCTGCTTAGCTTTTGCAATGCATCTTTGGCTATCCCAATACGCCTTCAGATTTCAGTGTCACATGTTCCCTCCCCTGTTAAAACACTTCTCAGATATTTAAAGTTTGGCACTTGTTTGATTTTGGTATCTCTGATTTGCAATTCGCATTTTGAGCTCATTCTTTTGCTAACAACCATGCATTCTGTTTTCTTGCAGTTTATATCTAATCCTTTCTTCTCACTTTTCTTCACTACCTTATACCTAAAATATATTTTTATATATATAATATGATTTTTAAAAAGGAAGCTATAATATATAACATTGTACTATACATAAATTTATTTTTTTTTATATAAATATACACTAATTTAAAAAAAAAAAGATTTATTGTCACATTTGACTAAACATTAAAGAAATCACCCCCCCCCAAAAAAAAAACATTGGGCACAGGTTTCACACTAAGTTGCACAAATAGTTGAATAGTGATATAATGGAATATGCATACACCTGTATTCCCCCTCACTGGAATATGATTGGCTGGTGTCCATCATAAATACTGACGGACATGTAGGTACAACAGAGTCAGAGCCTTAGTCTGAGAGCTAAGTCTATAACGACACCCATTGGACTATGCCATTGATCTACACTTCTTACCTGCGACTACGACGCATACCAGTTGATTACTGTTACCGTATTCTACTTGGTTATAGCAGCCAAAACCACTTAGCTGGTATTTTTACTATAAAAAATCTATTTTTATACTTTCATAGTGTTTTGACCCCAGTTTGGTGGTTAACTATTTGCCCATAGTTAGGACCCTAATAAGTGCTACCTAGGAACAACAGCAATTAAGAGGTGTTTCCATGCTCCTGAAAACCTCCTGATCAGAGGCCTGGCTGCCAGAGGTAGTATATTGTTATACCCAGGATGGTAATCTCTATGCTTTGGCTATGCTAATTAGGTAGTCATTTACATATCACTACAAACAGTATAAGGAAATCTCTTCAGAGTCTTTGCATGGAGACTCAAGAATAATTTGACAAATTTCACCTGATTCAATTTTCAAATATTTAAATTGTAGACATTTTTTCTTTTCTTTTTTCTCTTTGATGAATGGTGTCTGTAATGAAGTCAAACACCATATTTTTTTTTCCAATACTTTAAACAAAAAGACAAAAGTTTTGCAGCATGGCAATCGGTGATTATATACAATGAAGGCAACAAGATGGCAAAAATTTATGCTCTTTTATGAAGACTTTATGTTTTAAAAACTAGTATGTGTTACCTTTGACAAACAGCAGCAGGTAAAGAGAAGATAGCAGAATGTTTCTTTTCAGGTGATTTCTTATAACTGTAAAAACAAAAATATGAAACTAGGTCAATAAATTATGGAATATAAGCACATTTAAGCTAAATTAATACATTTTCTGTTAAAACTTGATATGATAAATTATTGTACAGTCAGTCATTTATGTGCATGCATTATATACACTTAGGCAATCATGTAACTTTTGATACATGACTGATGAGGCAGATTTTTTTTTCCCCGCAGTAGGTTGCCATTTCTTTCTGCAGTATACCAGTTGCCATTCAAGGCTAAAGAACCTGGTCTGTCCTGCTATTTATTCATAGCTGAGGGGAGGAGAAGAGGAGGATTCATACCTTTCCCAAAGGTAATAGCACGTAAGTGAATGTAATGGATTCGACTGGAATTTGATCTCTGCTCTATGATTCCTCAATCTGAGCCATTATCCATTACTCCATTGTAAATGAGTGTAAAATACTAGAATAACAGTCAATAATTTAGAAAAATAGGAATATTCTTTTTACAAGAAAATATTAACATTTTCAAAAAAAAAGGTTTAAGAAAATTGTTTTTTTTCCTCATCAAGTGTATGTAAATTTGCAAATTCTTAAGCTTTTAAAAGTATCAATAATATTTATCTTCTATATTATTTCATTTCAACCAATTTCCTCATCTTTGTTGTTCGTATCATATTTTGGTTACTATAACATCTAACTTTCAGATGTTTTATTTGAGGAAGGCCAAAGAGCATATAAGTCAAAATGTTGTAATAAAAACAATAAAGATGAAGAAACTATTCTGAATGTTTTTTTTTGTTTTAATCATTTCACCTCCAAGCAAAGCAATAAAGATGCAAGGGGTTACTGAGTGCAAAAAAATAAGAGGAAAAGAAAAACATAATTAAGAAGAGAGAACAATAAAATAACAGGATTTAAGGCGGCAAAAGCTAACACTTGACATTGATTTTCAAAAATTTAAATGCAAAGTTGATTGGAAAGTAATAGGCTGGAAGTGAGTGAAAAGTGTGAGAGAAGAAATTGTTAGCATAGAACATTGTTACATCTAGCCATTTTAACTGTAACATGATGAAACCTAGATGCCAGTCTAGTACTGTACTTAAATTTGTAAAGACGGTATCAAAGAGGAAAATTCACCAGAACAATTGCCATGAAAATATTTATAGAAAAGGCACACAGAAGCAATATCATGGTGGTGAGAAAGTAACTGACAGCAAGATGCTAGGTCAGGACTGATAACATTGTAGATTCTTCTTTAAATTTTATCAAGAATTTCTAATTGTATAGCAGAAGCACCAGACCAGATGGGGAAGCAATATTCAATGCACGGATGAATGGTAGACTGATAAATATGTTAGATTGTCAAATATGTTTCAAAGAATAATCATAATGACATCTTTTCTCAAAAATTAATCTAAGAATAATATTTCTTTCATTTTTTTTTTTTTTACTCTGCATCTTTAACTTTTTAATTAATTTTAGTTTTGTTCTCAAAATGCAAATATGAAATTTTTATGAGACCAGCAAGATACTTTTATTTCAGGAGTAACATTTAAAAATGTTTCTCACCTAACACCTGAAAGAATTACTTCGTCAAATAACAGAAATGTGAAAATCTTGGCCAGTTCTACTTTGAGAGGTTCTTCTTTGTGATGAAGTAAAGCAACTGAAAATAAATAAGAACAAAATGAATTCGGATTTTGGCAAGACAAAGAAATATAAATTTTTGAACAGGAAAAACAAAAATTCATTCATTTCAAAAATAATTTATTTCCATACCAAACCTTAAGACATGAGTCTTCAAAAGCAGATTTTCAATTACTAATTTCAGGAATAATTACTTTACTAATATATATATATATATATATATATATATATGTATGATAAAGTAGAAAACATTTTCCTGAGTTACATTTTTGCAAATGAAAAAGTAGATAAAATGAAAAAAGCAAAGGGAAAAAAAAAAAAAAGAAAAAGCAAGGAAAACGCAAAAATAAAAAAAAGGGAAAAGCAAAAAAGAAAAAGCAAGAATAAGTGAAAAAAAGTGAGAAGAAAAAAAAAATCAAGAAAAAGCAGAGAGAGAGAGAGAGAGAGAAAGATATAGAAAGATGAAACTACAAAGTAAAGCCTTTTTTAATTCTTAATATGAAATAATCTCTTACCCAACCTGATTTTTATTCAATCAGTGGAGAAATCAAAACCAATAAATATATATTAAAAAATAAAAGTTTGTTATTGTGGAGTGACTGTTAAATATTTTCCCTCAAATTTATAAACAAATCCTACAGATGCATGGTGGGATGTTTTCACAACCAATAAAAAAAAAAAAAACTGCACAATTCTTGGTCATATCCCTACATTTTTTTGTTACTTTTTGTCTTAAAGTAAGAAGTCTATGACCACTTGACTATATCCCTGTTGCGTGTGGACAATTATTTTGCAAAGTTTTTGCTTTATTACTGTCTTAAATTTGCTTTGCTTTTAATTAAATTTATAGTTGTGTATTATTTTGTCCTGTTGTTTTTCCTTCCTATTCATTATTATTGCTAATTGAGAATTTTATCATTTATGCTTAATTATGCCCACTTATGCTACAAAATATGATCAAATTTTAAACCTTAATTAACAAAACTGAAAATTCCTAATAATTCAGGTGAAATTATAAGATTTCATATATTTTTTATTAATTGATCAAACGGTATGTATTGCTTGAACAAAAAATAAAAAGATACAACAGTCAAGGCTAAATAATTTATTCAATAAATTAAGAAAATCAACTAATCAGATAAATCATATAAAATTTTCTTTATTGAATATTAGCTCTACTTGAGTGCTTTATGGCAGAAGTTCTAAGCTGGAAAAAAAAAAAAAAAAACCCCACAAAATTCTTGTAATTTTCACATCTTTTTTCACTTGTAGTAGTACTAATAGTATTAAATAATTTATAAGGTAAATCTGTTTCTTTATAAAAGGAATGAGTGTGTATATTTCTTTATATAAGTTATAAAAGATTTAAATATACTATGTCGAATGTAGCCCATAACCATTTATTGATGGCGTTAGATTTTTCCACTTTCCAAGCAAGGGAGACAACTGTTCCTTCAACAAGAAAGGATAAAGTAGAAAACCATTCATTAAATGAAATTACATGTCCTCACCTCGAATTAAGCTGTAATATATATCCTGTTGCTGAGCCAATTTATGCCTCAAAACATTACTGTGTTGTAGTAACAGGGACAAAATGGAAATACAAGATGGCAAAAACAAACGGCAACTATTGTCAGTACCCTGTAACAAGAAACAGTTTAGAATATTATATAATAGTTTTTAAAAACATTTTAAGCTTATGCATGAGTTATATATCTCAAAATAAAAAGAAAGAACAGTCAAATTTATAATCCAGAGTTCTTTTACATTTATTTTTAAAAACGGTACTTGATACACTGTAGAGCATAATATTATAATTATTTTTTAAAAAAATATGTATTCATCGCAACACACAAATTACCATGTTTCAAAACCTGAATCTTAAAAGTTCAGTTCCATTTAAGCAATGCAGAACAACCTTCAAAAAAAAAAAAAAAAAAAAAAAAGAAAAAAAAAAGATTTACTCATTTTATAAGCTAAACTTTAAGATTTAGGTTTCAGAACATGGTAATTTCTGTCATGATGATTACATATTTAAAATATATATATATATATATATATATATATATATAAAATATACAAAAACGGAAATAACACTGACATTTTATTTTAACAGATATATTTACCAAAATTACACAAAATTATCTTGAAATACTAAAGAGCAATTTTATTCAATAAAATTGCCTTCAATCACAGCCTTCAGAATCTCCTGCAACTCTTCTGAATGGTCACCTTGTTTAAGTTACTGAATGCTGCCATAATCCTTGCCTTCAGTTCATCTTTGGTGTTACAAGGTGTTTTGTTAGTCTCTTGCTCAACTGTGCCCCACACATAATAATCAAAGGGGTAGCAGTCTGGGGAGTTAGGTAGCCAGATGTAAGGGGTGATGTGGTTGCAGTTGTCAGTCATGACAGGGTTCTCTTGCTTGTGTGGCAATGGCAAAGAGGTAAGATATCTGACTGAGGTCAAATCAATTGGGTTTCGATCCCAGCTTGAAGCAATTGGATGTCTAGCCACACTGAGGAGCTGTAATACACCGAAACAGTCCGTTTGTGGATGAGTATATATGCTCCTGGAAATCCAGTTGAGTTCTCTAGGGAAAGGGAGTTTTAAAAACAGCGGCTCCTACTGCTATTAAGCATTACTCTTCAAGTATGAATTGAGTTCTCCAAGCTGCTGGTGTATTTTGTATAGAGAAAAATATTAAAATTCCCTTCCTTTCTGCCGTGTGATGATGGCCAAAAGATAAGATATCTGACTGATGTTAAATCAGTTGGGTTTCGATCCCGGCTTGAAGTAATCTGACATCTAACCACACTGAGGAGCTGTGATACAGTGAAACAGTCTGTCTGTGGATGACTATACATATATATATATATATATATATATATATATATATATATATATATATATGTATGTATGAGGAGAGATTATAGTTGTTCCAACAAGAGAAAAAGTGTGTATTTTAAAGGGAGAAGAAGCCACAAACGTTTTTGTTATAATGTGGACTTTTTTTATATTACTTTATTGTCTATATTTTTTGATACATGTGTTTTGGGTCTTGTGACCTTCATCAGGTGAAGAATGGTTATTTCCACATATTATTTAAAGGAATTAATTTTTTCTTATGCTGAGTCTTTTAACCATTGTCTTTTGTGTGTAGTAGAATGTTCCTTTGCTTAAGAGGTAATAAAACAATTAGGATTGGTCAGAGAAATGGGAAGGGGTGAGGTCTTTATTCAAACCCTTAGTCATGATGTCTTGTGACTGTGCTAGCACAACCATCGCCAGTTCCCAAGGGTTCCATTTACCCAATTTCACTCACAAGGCTTGGGTCAACCCGTGGCATGTCTTTCAGGTACTTTCTAAAGGTGCCATACACTGGGATCAACTTCTCCAGACCGATAACATCAAGAAGTCACCTTCCTTACAAATCGACCATGGTGAGATTTGAACCTGGGTCTCATGGTTAGAAAGCAAACATTCCAACTACAATCAACTAAGCTTTCAATTAAATAAAATGTCAGTTCCCTGAAATGATTTCTTAAGTGGGATCCAAGGAGAATGAAATCAGTTTGCATGGTGAATGTTATTTGCTACATGTAAAATACAATATAGAGTTATCTCCCTTACATAAATTATCGAAAATTCTTTTCAGTAAATCTTATGATTGTTATTTTTGCTTGTTAGTGTAACACAGAAAAAGCTGCACGTCATAGTAGTATTTTTGCATGTGCAATATCATTAAAATACTTTAACTTGGAGAATAAAATAATTTACAATCAAATCGTTTCAACGGATTACGAGTAGTTTTTAAAGAATTAGGTCCAGCTTCCCTTATGTTTTTTTAAAATACCTATCCAAAGGAAATAACTCCATGTCATTAACAGTTAATTGGAGTTTTCTTCTATCTATATATAAAATCCTGTGACTTCTGTTATTCCGTCTGTCACACCTTCTAAAACATCTATACATTGACTAATCAAAACCAAATTTTGGGGAGAAGTGCAAACAGGTGAGGTGGTACAAAGTACAGTTGGTTTTATCAGAAACTAGGGTTTTTGTCAAAGTACTTTTCCAAACAAATCAACTTATTCAAATTTCATCAACTGGTTTGCGAAATTGAACAAAAAGTAGAGTTAGTAAATATCAACAAAAAACGATAGTGATAACTTCAATGATACTAATTGCTAAGATTTCAACACACATCAGTGTTACAAAAAATTCTAGTAACAAGAAAAAAAAAGAGGAATAAGAGAGGAAGAACTGACGACCTGTCTGCACTCTCTCCAACAGCCATAGTGACATAACATTGACAATATTTTATTAATAATTAAAATTAGAGACAATTAACATTTGCTAATAATTATAATAGAAATTTTATAAATAGGAAGTGACTTTGTCAAGCTTTCACAGGCATAAGATTTAAACAATTTTAGTGAAAGGAAGAGATCAGTAAAAGTAGCTATTTGGATGTGTATGCTGATTATTTCTTTTAGATTCATTTTAATAAAAGTTTAAATAATTCAAACTCAAAATAGGTAAATGAGTCGTTACGTTTTCTGGATTCTGTGGTTTCATGACATATCTTTGAATATGATTCAAAATATTTTCTATTCCTCCCAACTGTTGAAATGTCTGATGAAGATTTTCATCTAAAATAAAAAAAAAGAAACTTAAAAAAATTTAAAACATGAATAAAGCTTACAAATCAAATAAAAAAAAAGACATTGAGTTAATATTTTTTTTTTATCTGATCTCATTTTAAAAGTGACTTTAAAAAAAATTATGTAAATAATACAGTGTCATCAACATTAATTATAACTATCTTCATATTAAGGGAGTGATAAACATATTACATGTGTACATAAACACACATGCATACACACATAAGGAGGTGTTGAAAAGTTTTCAGCCTGAACCACTTCCCAAAATCTGACCAAATACCAGAATTATTTTGGGGAGGGATTTCTTGCACAGGCTGTGAACTTTTCAGCACACCCACCACACACACACAAATATCAAGTAGTACTGTAAAGAGGATGATCATATTGAATTTGACTTCAGAGGATTAGCTATGCACAAATGAAGGTCACATCAGGGGTTGTGAATAATGTGATTGTAACATTCAAGATGAGGATAGCAAACCAGATAGCCTAAATATGATAATAATTCCTGATCCTTGTAAAATTCAGAGCTAAAGACATTTTTCATACATATGGTTGTGTATGTATGTATGTGTGGCAGTCAAGGAAAATCTTTTTTTTTTTTTATTCAATTTTCCTAATTTAGAGAGTGTAGTAGAAAGCGACTGTAGTGATTATTGTTCCAAGCATTCACTTTTGGCTTGTTTTTAGCTATTTTCAAGGGATTTTTTGTTAGTAAGTATTTCAATGTCTATGTTCTAAATTATACTGTGTGGAAGTAGTAGTAACTCTAAGCAGTATTAGATGAGGAATAATTGCATGTTATGAGTGTTAGTATCCAGGTCAAAAAGAGTAAGATTGGGTTTAGATTTGAGGTGTGTTGTTATCAGAACACTAATGTAGTTTATTAATTTTGCTTCCCCTTACAAGACTGCAAACCAAATGACTACATAGGATATATGTTGGTAACAGTAAGTCAAAAGTTGATAAACCATCTAAATGATTTCAGTGCCATAAAAATGCACTTAGACACCCATGCACACATCTACTTGCCCCATTAGAAAAAATCTTCTAAGGAAATCTAATGGTAAAAAAATAATTAAAGCTCTTTATATAATACAGTTAAAGCCAAGCCTCAATCTTATCCTATTTGTCAGTAATGTGTTAGCTGACTTGTAAAGACATCCTCAACATGGAATTACCACATCTCATCAAGCACAGATTAGAATTACTAATACTTCCTCACAAAATACATTTAGAATACAAACACAGGAAAACACACTAACAATGAACACCTTGAAAATGGCTAAATTGGTTGAAAGTGCTTAGGACAATAATCAATATAGACAGTTTCTACATTCTTAGTTCCTTAAAAAGGAACAATGTAAAATCACTAAAAAAACTAAATAAAAAAAATACTTATAAGATTTTCCATGTCTGACATGTTTAGTGAAATACATATGAAAGAAAAATGGTGCATATATATATATATATATATATATATATATATATATATATATACATACACATACATACATACACACACATACATACACATGTGTGTGTGAATTGAAAATGCATATGGATTCAAATCTGACAGAATACAATAAGGAACAGGACACATTTATAAATTTAACATGTTTTGCCTTTATTTAAGCTTCATCAGAAAATGTCCCCTCTATATTTCATTTTCTGATGAAGATTAAATACAAGTGAAACAGGCTAAATTTATAAACATTTCCTGTTTGTTCCTTTATATATATATATATATATATATATATAAATGAACAGTATACATAGAAATCTACACACATACACAGAGTGTTACAACCACAGTTTAATATTTCAATAAAACCAGAGTTTGTTCAGAATGATAACTTTGACATCATGCAAAGAAATTTTCTGAAGATACATTTAAGCATGTTCATATATTGAACTAACTTCATTTAATGTCATAGTTTTATCATCAAATATAATTCCTATGCTTTACATTATTAATTACCTTTAATAATATTTGACTAATTGTCATCAAATTCATTAAGGGTAATTATATATACAAGGAGGTGCTGAAAAGTTCAGGCCACGATTACATCTAGCATGAAATAGACTGTCACCTCTAAGCGTTGACTTCTATGTTCACTTTTATATATATATATATATATATATATATATAAATAAATATGGTGATTTTCTTTTGTCTTTCAATGATAATGTTATTTAGCTTATCCGATATGAAAAGGATTTGCTTAAAATAAAGACAAAACTTATCTATATTACTTAATGAAACATGCATCAATGAAAAAATGCTGCCTAAAACACACACACTATATATATATATATATATATATATATATATATATATATATATTTATTAAAGACATTTTCATGTTTAACATTGTTATTTATAGATACAAGTATTTAAGCAAATGCTCTGTTTATGATAAACAGTATTAAATAACATTTACGGCCTGAATGTCCGAGAAATTTTCATAGAAAATATTCCTGTCAAAAACGAATATTTTCTATAAAATTTGTATTTATAAAATAACAACGTAAAACATAAAAAAATGTCTTTAATAAATAAATTTTCGGACCTTGTCCATTTCTTAATATATATATATATATATATATATATATATATATATATATATATGAAAAGTGTATATAAATATAAATAAAATATATATATGTATAATTATTTATATATTATATGCGCGGTACTTATTAGAAAGTGCTCAATATCTGAGATAGAGCTAACATATATATATATATATATATGAAAAATCATAGATAAAATGCATACATAAAAATATACAGTTATCTTGCTCACTATTTCCTTGTCTACAATCAGAGTTGCAGCATCTTCTAGAATGCTTCAGGTGGCCAAAACCTTTTGAAAATTATCATTAATTGTCTTTCTCATGCTAAATTAGACAGAGAAAGGGAGAGAGAAAAAAAATATGGATATTATTACTTAACCATTGCCAAATACCAAACTGCTTGTAATTTGACTAAAATGTCATATTTAGAGTATGAATATATTAAGAAAAATATTTCTTTTACAATTCTTTGAAAAGTAGTGATGAAATTCTCTATTCATGTATTTCAGTTTAAAGAATACTTACCAAGTAGCATCAAGACCAGTTGTTCTAGAGCAGACTTTTTGACTTGTTCATCAAGAGTACCTGATGAAAATATATGGTAAATTTTTTCCACATCATCTGACTGAAATTGAAAAAGAAATTCAAAGATAGCCTTCATGATGCAACATATACAGTTATGCCCACTTATCCATACAAGATATGTTCTAAGTTCCATAATAAATACTGAAAACTGTGAATGATACCAAACTCTAGATTGTTTTTTCATATACATACATTTATATCCACAATAAAGATTCATCCATATACAGTAAGTTCTCAGGTTATGACAGTTCTTTCCTACGATTTGTAGTTACAACACAATCTCCATTAATCTTGTTTCTTGATTTTACGCCATATTGGATTGTTGTGCATTTGTTCTCTTTCATTCGTGTTGTGTTTGTGAAAACTTTGCCCTTCTTTATAGCCCCCAGGTGCAGTGTAACCTCTTTTGATGGTGGTGCTTCAAAGAAAAGGAAAGTCATCACCATAGAAGTGAAATTTATAGGTATATTCTGACAGAAAATTGTGATACGACACGTCATAGTAACAGAGCTCTGTCATAGGTCAAGGACACTCTGTATTAAATACAATAAGAGATAATAAATTTATAAAAATATACTGTAATAAAAATTCTGTAATGGACAAAAGATACATTCTTACCATCTACCTGAGCCAGGAGAAGGCAAAGGGTGTGACGGCTCTGGGCATCCATATCAAGAGGGCATCCAATCAAAAAGTGAAATAAATTTAGTTTATATTTAATTTGAATAAAGTGTTAATTTCATGTTTCATCTGTTTTTATCTATTTAAAATGTCTTCCTTTCTCAGTTTTATAGTCCCCCTCTACTTGAGTCTTAAGGGGCATACAAAGAGTTGGCCCTGGGCATCACTAAACTTTGACATGTCACTGATCTGAGCATATAATTTTTTCTTTCCTTATTGAGAATTTTCACCTTTGCAGTGAAAAGAAACACCTTGCACCTTTGGCATATCTCAAATGTTAGCATCATTGCAATTACACTTTGGGACCATTATTAAGTAAAAGTTATTAGTTGTATATTTCTAGAGAGGAGGAGTGGTTGCAGTTAACTGAAATCACAGATAAGGAATATTTGAATGAAGATAAAAAAAAAAAAGATCATGGAATTGTATCTTTTAAATTCCCTCACTTTTTTTTTTTAAATAATCAGTAACTGTTCCATGTACTGTTTTAATTAATTAATGGTCTACCATATTTGACTATAGACAAATAACAATATCTACATTATTTTCACAATCTTTTAATGTAAAGACTTCTAATTGGTTAGTTTGGTAGGGAGCCAAATCTTTGAAAAATAATATCAAACCTGAAGGAAAGTTTTGAATTTTGTTTCTCCATCAGCCTGAGTTAACAAGAAAATATTCTTCCTTTCTTTCTGAACTCTCCTCCCTCTAAAACCTATTTACCCAGAAGTTAATAAAGAAGGTTTGGCTATAAAATCTGAAAGATTATTCCTCTTTTAAGTGATGTCAAATTAACAAAACATGAGACATTTGACCAAATAGAATGTTCTCTAGTATATATGTACATGCATGCTGGTTATATATATATATATATATATATATATATATATATGTGTGTGTGTGTGTGTGTGTTTAATAATAATGTTATTGTCTTTTATTTTTTAATTTGCCCACATACACATATCTGAATGTAATAACTTCTAACTAGAGAGGAATTTTTCATTTGTATTTTCCTAATTAAAAAAACTTGGAGGAAAGTTTGTAACTGTTTATTGATCAGCCTGTAAGTGAACAAGCAAATATTCTTTCTTTTTCCATTTGACCTTACTCACCCACAACTCACCTACCAAGGGGTAGAGCAGACTTGGCTATAAAATCTAAAAGATAATTCCTCATTTAAGCAATGCCTATCTTACCAAAAGATGAGGCATTTGACCAAATAGAATGTTTTAAAGTGTATGTGTATGTATGTGCTGGTTCTATTCATTTTTTTTTTTTTTTTTTTACTTCATTTTATTTGATGTAATTCTAATTACTTATATATATATATATATATATATATATAATGCCTCATCTTTTGGTAAGATAGGCATTGCTTAAATGAAGAATTATCTTTTAGATTTTATAGCCAAGTCTGCTCTACCCCTTGGTAGGTGAGTTGTGGGTGAGTAAGGTCAAATGGAAAAAGAAAGAATATTTGCTTGTTCACTTACAGGCTGATCAATAAACAGTTACAAACTTTCCTCCAAGTTTTTTTAATTAGGAAAATACAAATGAAAAATTCCTCTCTAGTTAGAAGTTATTACATTCAGATATGTGTATGTGGGCAAATTAAAAAATAAAAGACAATAACATTATTATTAAAAACACACACACACACATATATATATATATATATATATATATATATATATTTGGACAATAATCTGCACTCTCTTGGCTATTCTAAAAAGAAAACTCTAAGAATGTTAAAAAAAAACAAAAAAAAAATTAGATTTTCCTTACCTGTCACAGTCAAGGAAACATGTATAAAAGAATGTTGCTGCTCAAATATACAATAAACAAATTAATGTAAACATAAGTCTTAAGTTGTTTGAATTTCTCAGGTAAAATATTGTCACTAATATTTTCAGACTGATTCAGATTACTTAAGATGATTATATCTGTAGACATATAATATAGCCTGGGGTAATATTGAATGATGCCTACTGATTCAGTAGCCAAATTGCTAATGCACTGCCTATGATGAGCTCTTCGCTATGGTACCTAGACTTTTTTAATTTAAGTCTAGGTAGCATAGTGAAGAGCTCATCCAAACAATTACCATGAAAATATTTATAGAAAAGACAGACAAGCAACCTTATAGCTGCTAGATCAGGACCAATAATATTGCTGATTTTTCTTTGGATTTTATCAAGGAGCTCAAGATAAATAGCAGGGGCACTGGGCCATATGATTATTAAAAGTTAGAGTGACTTTACAGCAGAAACTGAACACACACATTGTTCATCTTTGTAGAGAACATGAACAATTTCAAAATAATGTCTCTTTGCAATGTGACAAAACTTTTCATAAATTAAGAACTTAAAGAAAACAAAAAAGGACATACATTGAAAACACAGTCTTGATTATCCAGTTGCAATGTAACTTGGTTGGAAAGCACAAACACATCGGATAACTCTTTCACATCCAAATCTTTAATTGAAGGCAATTTATTTTGGTGTTCATCTTCATGGCACAAAAACCAGGCCAATCTCTTTAAGGCTTCTGATCTGATTCTAAAAATAAAACAAGTACATAAATTAAACTAGTATGATTATACTGGAATAAAATATAAATCCTTTCACCATGGGAACACTTTTTTAAAAACGTGACAAATCATTAGACAAAAAAGACAATAATTGATAATTAAAATTTAAAGTATTTTAACATTTCAAAGCCATATACAGAATTTGTAAAGTGTTTACATGTTTCTATCATTTTGAAAAATTTAGATAAAGAAATTTCCATGTGTAGCAATATGAGTTCTCACACATCCTAGATAGATAGATAGATAGATAGATAGATAGATAGATAGATAGATAGATAGATAGATAGATAGATAGATAGATAGATAGATAGATAGATAGATACTTTTTCCTTTTAAGTCAATTTAATGACCAGGATTTTTCAGGAATCCTGTTTCCAGCCCACCTTTGAATCATCAAACAAAATTTTGTAAGTGTTTTTAAAGAGCCATAAAAGTCCTTTGAAAGACTGACCACCAAAAACCTGTTTGGGTGGTCCTCCTTTTTGGCTGGTAGAACATGAGTGGACAGAAAGGAGTGCTGGGTCTGCCAGCCAGTGTCCATATAATCAGCAGTCAATGAAACAGTCAGTGAGTGAGTGTGTATGGGTCTGTTTTCCATGCCCGGAAGTCAGTCAGATAGAAGTAGTTCACTTTCTCACAGAAGAAGAAAGACAATGCCAACTAAGTAAGAAATCATATTTTTTTGCTACTTCCCAACCCAAAAAGTGTCTTAAAAAGCATTTGTCGGTACTGTTTAGTTGACAGTGATCACAGCTATAATCAAGACGAATCTGTGGAACATAGTGCCAGTGTATTCACATACAGCTGACCATGGATGCCATCACAGTTTGTGCAGTGACATGCAGAATCACATCATCACATATGAAACCAATAGATTAATCTTAAAAGGTGAGGTCTGTTAGGAATGTAGGCTGTCATTTTGAATATCTTGAGAACCATTTGTGTGGCATTGATATGACAGGGCAACCAATCATATTTGTGGAGGAGGGTCATACTGCACATATGTGAACAGACACTCTTCCATAAGGATAGGACCAACAATTGGTAGAGAGACACCACTGAATGAACTTGTATACTATGTGACTTTGTTTAGCAGAATATCAACTCCTTATGGGTCATTTAATTTTCTTGGGAGAATTAGTAATTTCTTTTACAAAAATGTATTGTTGGTAATTTCTTTTTACTATGAAAATGTATTGCTGGTATTTTTACTATATGTTTGAACTTTCATAGTGTTTTAATCCCAGTCTGGAGGTTAACTATTTGGCCATAGCTGGGCCCCTAACAGGTGCTACCACCCCAGGTCAGAGTGGACCTGGGAACAACAGCAATTAAGAAGTGGTTCCATGCTCCTCAAAACCTCCCAATCAGAGGCCTTGCTGCCAGATTTAGTTTATCCTCATACTCAGGAGAGCTGTATCACTGTCATATCCACAGCAAATATGCATCATTAATGCTTGAGACTTTAAAATCAATCTGCTTAAACTGATTGATCGAGAAAGCTTTCAGAAATGATTCAATGTGCAAAGCTCAGACAAAATTGTGATACTAACACTTTAAACTTGACTGGGAATCCATTGAAAGCAATCCATGTTCTGGATGACTTTCAAGGGGTTCCTAACCTAAATATTGAATAAAATCCTTGATAATTCACTGAAATTCCCTGAGTATGTATGCTGGACCACAGCTAAAAAGATGTCTATTCATCTTTTTTTTGTGGTCAGGCTAGCTATGTTCAATGGAATTTATTTTTCAACAAGATTTTTTCAATGTTTAAATATAGGGACCCCTTTGAAAGTCATCCAGAATAAAAATCAATGGATTCTCAGTCAAGTTTAAATAAATAACAAGGTTCACATCAAAATATCAGGAGATTCCATAACTTGTCCGCAAAGTATCCAGCTATTTCAAATTTCAATGACCATTAAGTCATATTTGAGTGATGTTCTTTCAGGACATGGACAATAATGGCTCCCTAAAACATTATAGCTCTGAGCAATATTTGTCTCCTTTCTATTACTCCTAGTCCCTGTTGTGTTATATATCCAGTGAGTGTCAAATTCCCCAAACCCTCTTTATGTGTCCAAGAAATTTCAACTGTCTCTCTCTAATTCAAAGTATAAAAAGGTCCTTTTTGTTCTTGTTTTCCTTAAAAGTTCCTCCTTGCTCACATGTTCCATTCGTAATTTTCCCAGCATCCTTCTGTAGAACTATCAGGTCATCCCATAAGTTCTGTCCGAATTTTGAATAAAGAAAACAAGTGACCAAATATTACATTTAATTACAGATTCAATCAACAATGTATTTTCCCTGATTATCTATGAATTCCTTCCATCTATTAACAAGCTTACTAATTCCATTACTGTAAAATTCTTTTGGCTTTGATTTGAAGAACTCACAAATGTCAGTTTTAACCTCTTCCTGTGTTACAAAAGCTGTTTCTTCCAAATGATTCTGTAAGCTACAAAACAAATGGTAGTCTGAAGGAGCAAGATCAGGATAATAAGGTGGATGAGGAATTTTCTCCCAACCAAGTTCTTTGATCTTTTGTGATGTGATTCTTGCTGTGTGGGGTCGCGCATCACCTCTTTTCGATTCACTAGAGCAGGTTTTTTTTTTCCTCAAAGCTTGGTTCAAGCTGACAGTATATTGAGCATTAATTGTTGCATTAGGTGGTAAGAATTCAAAGTGGATTATTCCTTAGTGATCCCACCAGATTGAAAGAAGAACTGTTTGCCCATGAAGTTCTCTTCTCGGCTGTGGCTGGGGTCCTTTCCCTTTACCAAGCCACTGTCTACTTTTCTCATCATTTCGATAAAAGATCCATTTTTTGTCACCAGTCACAAGTCTATCCAAAAAAAGGTGAAACAAGTTGGCGAGAATGGAGAGAAGAGCAGATGTCAACTCGGGATTTCAGGTTCTTTTCAGACAATTCATGAGGCACCCATTTTCCAAGTTTAGGAACTTTTCCAAGTTCTTGAAGATGACGATGAACAGTTGTATGGTTTGAACTGAGAACCACTGCCAATTCCTCAACTGATAAAGCAGGATTTTCTTCAAGGGCTGCTTCAAGAAGCTTTTCATCAAACTCAACTGGATGTCCGGTTTGATCTTCATCTTCAAGGGTGAAATCTCCACCTCTGAATTTTGCAAACCATCTTCTGCAAGTTCTTTCATTCACATTCCTCTCCATAAACTGAGTGAATGTTTCTAGCCGCTTTCGGCTGCTGAGTTTTCTTTCTTGAACTCATAAAGCATTATGTGCCTCAAATGATTCTTGGGTACTTCCATGTTAGCAGGGTTTTAATCAAACAAAATTTAATTTTATTGTTCTCTGAAATAAAATTTGATCAGTTTAAATGCATCTAAACATAAAAATAATGTTCAGCTCCATTAGACATTATAAAATACTCTTTAAATTTCGTTCATTTTAACAAAAAGTTAAAATTCGGACAGAACTTATGGGATGACCTGATATATCTTTGTAGTCTTAAATCTTGAGGAAATTGTTCAGCATTCACTGCCATATTGGTGGATTGATATTACATTGTAGTTCAGCACTTTTTTTTTTCTTTGGAAATGCTTTATAGAGAGTAATAATTTTCTTTTTTTTTCTTATTTTTTTTTTTTTGCTTAACTTTGCTCTTTTTCCCTGTTTGTTTTAATATATTTGTGTATATATATTTATATATACTTAATATCTGTTTTTAAAGCCCTAATAAAATTTTGTACCCCTACCTGAGATTATTTCCAATAAATTATATCATCATGACAAGTGATTTATAAGAATGGGACTCCTTCAACTCATTCTACATCAAAGTAAATCAATCAAAATTATGTTTTAGTAATTTCTTTTTGGATAATTATCTTTTAAAAGTGAGGAAAATAAGATATTATATTGATTTTATTATATGTCATATTTTTATTCTGGTAATATTGAGGAACACTTGTAGTTGACAACAGGGAATGTTGATTTAATTAACAGTAACCAAAAAAGTTTCCAGGGATATTAAAAATTAAAAACAATTTATATTGTTCAGCATTTTCTGTATCAGTGGATTGATATTACATTGCAATTCAACAACTCTTTTCTTTGTCTGGAAAGTTTTTTATTTTTTTGTTTTTTAACAAAAAGAAATTATCCTAAATTAGGATCCAAAAAAAGTTTTAAAATTTTTCACAAAATTTGTTGAATGAATTGTGGCTCATTCTCATTTTCATATATCAAAAGACTACTTTCCTGAAAATCATATTTTGCCTCCTAGCATTTCAACCATAAATAACAAAATTCAAAATGTCTTCAATTACTGGCTTCCTTAAATTATGCTGCCTCAATTTTGCATTACAAGATTACTTACTTGCTATCTTTAGAAAACAATAGTCGCAATATGCCCCTCATCCTTTCATGAAGTGGTAATTGGGTGGGGTTTGGATTCTGTTCTGGTTCTATCAATCCAAGTATACAATAACCAAGAGGACTTTCAGTATCTGCATATGACTGCAAAGAGAGATTTCTTAAGAATTACATTTTGAAATCAATATTTAAATTCATTTTTATAAATATTACCATAACAAATCTATCTATAAAAGGCAGGATGTGTGTGTGTGTGTGTAACGAATGCACAGCTGCAATTTTCAATTAATTTGCACCAAAATTTACACGCACATGCTCCAAGTTAGCGGGTAGGCCAAAACCGACTTTGCATTTCCCAACTCCCCTCGATAGTGGAAATAATCGATTTTTTCATGCTTCTACGGCAGTTTTCATGTAGTTTGCAGCCATTTTGTACTGGCCAGAGTGAGAGCCAATAGCTGGCTGACTGCAGGATGACGAATGTTAACTAGCATGCTAGCATGCATAACAAAAAAAAAAAAAAAAAAAAAAAAAAAAAAATTGATAGCTGCATTCGTCACAAGTGGGAAAAATTTAAATCTGCATGGCACTTAACTCCAGTTGGCTCATTCGCTTCCTTAAACTCAATGTTGATTCTGATTCCGCAGAACTGGGTTGGGTGTGAAAAAGTATTTGTTGTTAACATTCTTTTTTTATTCGGTTTTTCCAGTTACGAGTCCTTTTTTAAAGCTGATCGTTTTGTGTTCATTTTGTTTAGTTCTTTTTTCATAACAGATTTAATGTTTAGTATAGAGCTTAGAAAAAAATTTGCAGTGTGAGATAGGCAAGAAGTAAGGCATGTAGCGACATCAGCATGGCAAAGGACAAGGAAGGGCAAAAATATTTAAAGGCAAGTGATAGTGATTGCTGTATGAGTCGTATGATTTTTGAATCAAGCACAGGCAACGCCGGGCCATGCTGCTAGTTCTCTAATAATATGAAAGGGAGTCCTTTGAAACAAAACATAATCCAACCTGTCTTGCTTTGGGACTTACTTCAGAAAAAACACGTTAGCTGTAAGTTTCATAACTGGGATACAATGGACTCATTATATGCCTCTTTATTTTTTGCATGAATTATTCATTCAGTCTTTATTTAATTTTTACTTACTTCATAATATATTAAGTCATAAGTAATTTGTTTTTTGAGAACCAACTGTAATGATGAATGTATCATAAGTAATTTCCATTTTTTGAGACCCAATTGTAATGAAAAAAGTATCATCCTAACTAACCATTCCTTAAAATTATCATAACAAGTGACGAAAAATGATATCGATTGACAAAGATAAATCTCTATAACCAACACCAAAAGCTGAGCTCTATGGAAGAAAGGTTATGTTGTGCCTGTGGTAGGATCAGCAGTATATTATTCATTTAAAGTTCTTAAAATTCAATGAAACACTAAATGCATATTTAATCATCCATAAATATTTGGTTGAAAAGTGTGCTTCACTTATCAATAGGAAAATACTGTTCCCCTCCTCCTTGACAACACAAAGCCACATACAGCAAAAGTAACACAGAAAAAATTTTTTTTAGAACTTTGTTAGTCTGTTCTACTCATATTCACCTAACTTTGTACCATCAATTATTACCTTTTTTTTGATTGCTGCCAAACATTTTGATAGGGTAAACTTTATCTAATAAAAAGTAGATTCAATAGTTTACTGAAAATTTTAATCAAAAGGTATCAAAGAAGCAACATTGTAAATAATAGTAAATATATAATTGAATAAAATGTAATGATACTTTATTTTTTGAAGAATAAAGTTGATAACCAAAAAATGGAATATTATTTATAACTCAACTTAAATCTCTATTTTTTTTTTGAAAAAATATTTTTCCAAATTGTTATATAAAATATGAAAACATCTTTTTTAAAAATACATCTTGACTCCATCAATAAAGAGTTGATTAATTGATTCATTTTTATGGATTATCAACCCTTTGCATGTTATTTAAAGTCAGAAAATAGTTTGGGATTGTAAGAATTTTTTTTTGAGATAATAATTTAGTGATAAAATTCTCACTAATTAACCCATAGATGGGGGAGAAGAGGTGGATTCATACTGTTCCCAAGGGTATTTACATGTAAGTGTATACAATGAACCCAACTGGAACACAGCTCTGAATCCTGAGCCATTATCTATCACACCACCTGCATATCCAAGTTTACAGCACCTGGTATTCCCAAGTGGACACTCATCTAGGTACTGACCAGGCTCAACATTGCTTAACTTTGGTGATCACATGGGAACTGGTTTTTGAATGTGATATGACAATAAGCCACAATATTAAAGTAATATAAAAATAAGTGGTGTGTATAAAATAAATATAATAATAATATAAAAACATAAATATAAAAATGATATATAATAATAATATAAAAATAATGGTGTGTTTTTAAAGTACAAATTTATGTAAAAAAAAAAAAATAAAATAATTATCACAAATTCACTAACTACCAAAAAAATTGATTAACACTTTTACTGCTACATTGTTGCCTGGCTGTGCTGGCCCTTTTTGGAAAAAAAAAAGGAAATTGTCATTTACTAGAAATAAATGACTATAAAGATGCTTACAGTGACTTTTCATGGATGCAACAATTTTAGTTTCAGTTGGATACTCTGCAATACAGACCATGTTATACAACACTTCCAACATACAGTATTATAAAAACACATAACAAAACAGATTGTATTATACACTACTATACGTATACATTGGTTTGGAAATATCACTAAGCATTAGTTTGTTTGTAACATAAACAGTAGAAATCAACATTTCATGGTGTCAGCAACTAGCAATATAAGTTTTATAAAGATGTATAAGTATATCCACAACAACAGAAGTGTTAATAACTAAGAATAAAGAAGAATGAAAAGAATGGTTTACCTGTAATACAGGAAGGACATGAGATAAACAAGTGATCAGGTCTTGCCACATTTCACCTTCTAGAAGAAGTTGTCCTTGCAATAAATACAACATGATATCAAAAGCTGACTGAGAAATCTGAAAAAAAAAAAAAAAAAAAAATTTCACCAGACCAAGTAACATTAAGAAAATTCAACAATTTATAAATCTGGTTCAAATTCTTCACAATATAATGAAAAGAACTGAAAAAAAATACTCCAGAAAGAAGTGGGGAGGGAATCTCCCAAGAGTTTATGCACTTTTTATTGTCAATTAATCAAAATTTATATACACTATATCACATTTTGTTATACAAGTTAATATTTTTACAATAAGACTGGTATTAATTAACTGATATTGGTAATATTTTCAAGATATGTTTAAATGAGAAATATATTGTTTAAGTTTCAACTTATAATATCTATCTTTATTGAAAATAATCATGATGTTTTTGAGATGTCAGGGTTTTATTATGCAGACTGTGCAAATACACTTGGGAAAAGTATAAATCCATCTCTTCTTCAACCCCTGCTATGTAAATAGTAGGAGAGACTAGGCCTTGCCTTATAACCTTGTTGGCAACCAGTTTAGAAAAAGGAAAACTCTAAATTCAAATCAGCCTAGAGAGTGTTGGCAAAGAGCAAATGAGCTTCTTATAGAAAGAAGCCAACATCCAACATGCAGTCAGGAGATGGAAAACTATTAAACAAGGAAAAAAAAAAAGAAAAGCTTGTGATTGTAGCATCATCTGACATGTGGCACACAGTAAACCAGTCAGGACTGGGTGCTATGAAGGATAAAGTGTGCATTGCAGGACACAGGCAATTAACCATTTTATCAATTAAGTTGTTCAGTAATATTAAAAAAAATACTTAGAATTCAATGAACTCAGATCTGTCATTTGCTACAAGAGAATACATCCACATATATGGCGCCAAAATGAAGAACTTTTAAAAGATAGGTTACTTTTAAACAAAAGTATGAACATTATTTCAAGAATAAACAAAAAAAAGATTATTTTAAAACAAACATATGACTCAAAATCTTTTGGTTTGGATTTGGTTAGGACTATTGTTTTTTTTGTTTTTTTTTTATGATCCAGTGTTTGGAAAAATCCTTAATATTATTAATTCTAAAAGTTCAGACAATATGAAAGTGTATTTGAAATTATCAAAGGCATTAAAAAAAATATTACTGATACACAAATATTCATTCTTCTTAACAAACTATGATACACTTACACATAAATTATGCACATGAACACAGCTTGACAAATCAAATGCACATGAAATCTGCTCAACCAATGAAAATCGAACAAAAAAAAAATAAAAATACCAGAATTTTTTTTCCATATCTCATTCTCTGATGAAGCTTTAAAAAAGTAAACCATGTTAGATTTATAAATGTTTCCTATTTGTTCTTTATCTTATCATTTATCCTTCTATAATGTCATATTTAAACTAACATGACAGCTCTCAAACTGTGCACCAGCCGTTCTGAATAGCTTTATTCAAATTGGTATCTAATCAGAAGAAATCTTATTGTGCATATGGAAACACTCTCTGATGGCATTATTTGGTCAGCAGCAAGAGGTCACCGAGTGAGGTTTTTGCACTGTGTGGCAATCACATTCATACTGAAAGAGTAAATCAGTGAAGCACAGAATTTTGGGTAAAACATTGCATCACCCATGTAAAGCCATCTCCTCCTGCAACTATCACTGTTTGAAAGAGATATTTCAGAGTATGGATTTGATTAAAGAGAATATAATGAGGCAGCTGATGATAAATCCAAAAGAGGACTTTGCATACTATTTTGTAAAACAGAAGGGATGCTGGGATACATGCGTGAAACATCAATGGGGGTACCCTAAAGGAGACTAAAGAACCATTGTCCTTGATAGGCATTTTTTTTTTTTTTTTTTTTTAAAAAACATGGCTGGATACATTCTGGACAAACCTTGTATATCAATTATTTCTTACCTTTTTATTTGTGTCTGCCATACCAAATGATACAATCTCAAGTAGCACAAGAGGATGAATAACAAATTTAGTGTGCATTGGTAAAGATGAAGAAGGGTTGGCAGCTGCTTCATTGATATTCAGAGATTCCTACCAAAACAAAAGATTTTAAATTAACCAACTATTGTGGCAACTTATAGTACACAAGTTAAAGAGAAACATTAGAGCATTAAATATTAAAAAAAAAAAAGAAGCAAGCTTCTGTTTCAAATTTTGTTTAGACAATTTAACTTCTTATTTTGTCAACACAATGTTTCAGATAATCCATGTTATATTAAGAACATCAAGAATATGAAAGTGGAGTGTTATGTTATGTCTGATAAGAATACAACAAATTTTTCCTGCCTAAAGTAATTTTTTTATTCACTTCTGGACTCTGTCAAACTAATATTGGCTTAATCAAAGGTATGTGGCTTCTAGTCTTTATTCAAATGTTCACTTTTCTAACAAGGGATTCTGTCTCTCCTTTTATAACTTCCTGTCACTTGCTTCCCTTCCTAACTTCAGCTAGGTTCAATTCCTGTTTATGTTGGTGAAACCCACCAACATCCTTTGAGGCCCGATTATGCACTTGGTATCTTGGCGGTTACCTCCTAAGTTAACCCTCAGGGCGCTGAAGTTTTATGATGTTCTGAGGTGACACTGAATACAAAACATGCTCTGATATGCGGGAGATCTCAGTGGACATTGGGGTCACCACAGATCAACTCTTCTTAAATCAAAATTCCTGATGGACTAATGTCAATTAGTCCATTAGGAATTTTGGAAACATTCTCTGATGGCATTATTTGGTCAACAGCAAGAGGCCACCAAGTGAGGTTTCTGGTATTTCTTGTCAGAGAGACTGTAGGAACAAAATTTGAACATTAATGACTCTTCCCAATGTTAAATATAAATTTACATGGAAACAAAAGTAGCATTTTTAATTCTAATTCTGACAATTTTTCTCTCTGAAGCTAACTAGAATCTGATCTGTTTAAAGCAATTAATCATTGTAGCACTGTTATCTGTTAAAAACTAAAAGTGCAAGTAGTTCAGGAAGAATATCAGTTCATAATCAAATAAGTTTCTCAGGTAATTACAAAAATTCTACTAATTATATAGACCCAGAAGAATTCATTTACAGGTAACCGATATAGTAAAGTTCTACAATTTTAATTTTAACCTTAGTCAATTTGTTAAAATATATTTAATAGAAATATGACAATCCCCAGATGAAATGCTCCTGCCTTACTTGAAATGTTCAAATATCATCAAAAGCTATTTCTTTGTTTTTTTTTTTAAATTCCAAATTCTCAGAGTTTGATTGGATATAAAAATGGATATATATGACTTGGTTGTTGTCACTGATAAAGTAAAGCTTTGGAATACAAGCAAGTGTTAGAACGTTCTCAGCCTAACCAAGGAATTACAACACCCCCCACTCAAAAAAAAAAAAATAATATTTGGTCATTTTAACCAGAGTTTGAAAAATAGCTCAGACTAATAACTTTTTCAGTATCCTCCTGTACAAAGATTTCAGGTATAATCCTAATTTAAGCAAAAAAAAAAAAATAAATAAAAAAATTTAATAAGTTTTTAAATATAAATCAGGGAATAGATGTCCATTTTAACTGAATAGAATGTTTATAATGAATAGAAGACTGAAAATTATCTGGAAAAAAAAAATAAATAAAGGTACTTACCTTAATGACTTTAAGGCAATATTCATAGGATATTTCCTTAATTTTAGAATTGATATGTGCAAGTAGGTGACATAAAATTTCTCTGGCTTGTTTGCTGTTGCAGGATGTATCAGAAATTGCAAGACTGCCACAGCTAAAAAAAAAAAAATACAAAGTTTTGATAACCAAAAAAAAAAAAAAAAAATTACAAGTCAATTTTCTAAACAACAGGTAAGATGATTACATTTTATTTCTTGAGCTTTCTATTTAATAAAATGCAGGATTCAATTTTGGTGGTAAATTGAATCTGTACTTACAAACTTGCAAAAGAGATTGACCTTGTTACAAATTAGACTTTAGTTACTTGGATAAATTTCTCAATTTCATGGGAAACAATACCGAATCTCTTTTATATATATATATATATACATATATATTTTAAAGTCTTCACTAATACAAAATTTGAAATTTTAACAATATTTTTTCTTACATGTTACTCTTGCATTTTAATACAAGTTACCAGGTAGAATCTTAATACTTGGGAAAGTTCCTCAAGGAAAGAAATGCACTGGCACAAAAACGTCTCCTTTCTCTCTCTCTCTCTCTATATTATATATATATATATATATATATATATATATATGGAGGCATGGTGGAATAATTGATAGCAGCTCAGTTTGAAGAATCAGAGAGTCAATTTTATTACATTCACTTATGCGCTAATATGCTTGGGAAAGGTATGAATCCATCTCTTCTCCCTACAGCTATGGGTAAATAGCAAGACATATTGGGTCTTATAACCTTGGGGTGGTGGACAGTCTAGGAGAAGGACAACCTGCAGATGGTTGTTTGGGGTAGCTTGTGGCATATTGTGCACCAGTTATCTGTATTCAGCTCTTTCAAAAAATGTGGTTGGCTCTGCACAAGTTCTCCCCACTAGATGATATATGCCAGTAGTCTGGTTGTTGGTTCTAAGAACTGAGCTGCTTGACCCACATATGTCAAAAACAACAGGAGAGGCCAGAATAGTATTTTTTTTTAAATTCTTATTATATAATAGTATATATGTGTGTATTGAAAGTTTACAGCTTGAATAAAAAGATTAAAAAAATCTAATGTTTGGACATTTGGTCATATTTGGAAAGTGGATTTAATACCCATTGTGTGTGTGGGTGTATTTATATATATATATACACACTGGGGTTGAATAAGTGATCTTACAGCAAACAAATGCTTGTTATTCTCACTTATAGCGAATGAAAACCTCAAATAACAATGTTATATATGTATTTTGGGGCATAGAATCAGAATCTGCAATTTAAAATTAGAAATTCATCGATAAGTGATAGTTATGCAAATTTTTATATTTCAAGTAGTGGAAAAGTGTTTGTACATATCAATTTTTGCATTATAATACAGTAGATTTTGGTTGTACTTCAAAGTAGAAGATTCTAAACTGTTCTAAAATGTTCTCAGTAACTCTATTGCAACATTCAGTTGTAAACTGAATCATTCTGCAGTCACTGTTCACTGATAATGGTTCTAATAACAGCTAGACGTAAGGAAATGACTTGTGCTCAAAAAGAGCTAATTATTAAGCTATGGAACAATGGAAAAAGTTACAGAAACATTTCCAGTGACACGAACATACCTTTTTCAACAATCGATTCATTTATTGCAAGATTTAAAAGACATAATACTGTTGAGAACAAAGGCAGACCCGGTGCTCCCAGGAAGATCTCTCCCAGATTACAAAGAAAGTTGATGAGACAGGTCCAAAATAACCCAATGGCCATCAGACAAGACCTTCAGAATGATCTGAGTTTGTCAGGGGTTAACGTAAATAAGCAAACTATTAGTAATGAACTACGCAGAGATCGTATAAAGTCGCACTCCCCAAGAAAGACACCACTCCTTCTTAAACGGCATAGAGATGCCAAGTTGAAATTTGTGACATAGCATAAAGATAAAGAAAATTCTTATTGGGAAAGAGTTCTTTGGACAGATGAGAGTAAAATTGAGTTTTTCAGTCGCAATTCCCTGAATCATATATGGAGGAAAGACGGCGAAGCATATGCACCCAAGAACACCATACCAACTGTCAAATTTGGTGGGAGTAGTATCATGGTTTGGGACTGCTTTTTGATGCGAGGTGTTGGCAATTATAGATGGTAGAATGAATGCAGAAAAAATATCAACAAATCCTAAGCAAAAATTTATTGCTTTCTGTAGAGAATCTTAGGCTTCCTCCTGATTGGATCTTCCAGCAGGACAATGATCCCAAGCATACTGCTAAGAGTATGAAGAATTGGCTTGCTAATAACAACATTGACATCTTACAATGGCCCAGTCAGTCACCGAATTTGAATCCAATAGAGAATTTATGGCGGTTTTTGAAAAATAAAATCCGTGATAGAGGTCCAACAAACATAAAAAACCTGAAGACAATTACTCAGGAAGAATGGTACAAAATACCTACTAAAGTATGCAAATCATTAATTAAAGACTACAGGAAGAGATTGGTTGCTGTTGAACTTAATAAAGGCTTTGCTACAAAATATTAAATGGACAAAAACATGTTTTGGCTCTGCTGTATGATCATTTTTTAAACCCCTAAAAATTTAAATATTGCTATATTTTCCTAACCATGGAATATTATTTAGTTTTATATGCATACATTTTGAGTACGCAATCTTATATAGTAGATATATTCCCGTTTTGTTAATTTAATATGTTACAAATAAAAATATGAAATATTTTCATGTGTACGATCACTTATTCAACCCCACTGTGTGTGTGTATATGTATATATATATATATATAGTGAGAGAGTGACACACACAGAGTTTATGCAAACAGTGATATAACAGGTAGGATTTATTAAACAAATAAATTGAAACTTCCATTTACTTTATTACATATTTAGTAAGCAAACAAATACTAAAAGTATATATAGGAACTGGCAAATACCAAAATCTCCAGAGTACTTTTTGCATGTTAACAGTTATAGCAAATATGATTGGTTATTTAATAGGCATATCAACTGCTATAGTATAGCAAATATAATAAGAATTTTAAAAAAGCTAATCATTTTATACTTATCTCTGTCCTGCTAGAAAACTTTGTGTAAAATAACTTCAGAGACCATACATAAAAGACAGAAAGAGTATTTTTTGAAAATATTGAGTGAATAATCTAAACAACTTACAACTCTGAGCAGAAGTCCATATAACTGTAAATAAAATCTTTGTACATGTGGTAGGGGACACTTAATAAAGCTTCTTCAGCCAGATTTAATAACTCTTCTACACTGCCATCACTCTGTAATGAAATAAAAACATTTATCATTATCCCTACATTTAAATACCATATCTGATGCCATATAAAACACTATGTCAGTTTAGATTTAATATTACATTATCATAGTCAGGCTCAGTACAAATACTGATTGTCCCTGAGAATAATTAGTAATTTTTTTTTTTTTTTAAATGGGTCACATTACTTTTTTGTACTTCCAAAACATACTTTAAATAAAACCAAGGAGATATATATGACACTTTCAAAAATCAATGATATAATATAAATCTTAAAAGAAAATAAAAAAATAAAAAAAAATTTCTTTTTTCACACACACATCTGATGATGACTCCTGTGAGTTAAAACTTAGTACTACACATGTATTTGTGAAAGGATATTTGTACATTAAAAAAAAAAAAAGATCACAAAATACATGTTTAAAAGAACAATTACTGTCTAGTGTGTATATATGCAATATATACATTTTTTTTTATTAATATAAAATGTTATTTTTCTTGGGTACATGTGATTGAGCTGCTAGCACTGTTTTTTATTTTTTTGCTGAAATTAATAACAACCAGCCTAAATTGAGAAGTCATATATGAGAGGTCTTCGACTTAGTTCAGAGATCCGTTCCTACAGCACAACATAACCTAATTTTCGACATATGTCATAAATCACCTACAGAAGCCCCCACAAGTCTGCCTTATGCTTGGGAGTCATAATGAAGGGCAAAAGCCCCCCCCCAAACAACACACAAATAAGATAGCAAATGTAGCACAATCCAATATGGGTGTGCAGCCAGTGAAGAGAAAAATACTGTCTTCTTCATGTAGCACCATATTATATCATGGGAGAATGTCGCCATAACCATGAAATGCTGTACATCAGGTCTGATATAACCCGAGGACCTTCTGTGTGTATGTTATATATATATATATATATATATATAAATACACACAAATAGGTACCTCAATGATTTGCTTGGGGTGTATTGACTAGAAAATAAATTTTTTAAAGTTATTTTCATGATAGTGTTAAAGATGAAGATCAATGAGACTGATGAAATTCTTTTATAAATTGAAGTCAAATTACGATTCAAAATTCATGCTTCCTATCATCAAAATGAACACTTAATGCTGTTTAAAAACAACTGATATATAAATTTAGTATGCTCCATCTTTGAAAAATGTCTTCTCATATAAATATGCTGAAATTAATTTTGGGATAAAAGATTTTCAAGCAGAATATCCTTCATTTTGGAAACAATTGTAAAATCAATTAACTTTCTTTTGTGTTTGGCTTTCAGAATGTCCTTGTACTGAAGATTGATTAATTCAAATTATACATGACTTCAGTGATACCCAAGTAAAATAATTTTTTGTTTTAATTTTTTACATAAGGAAAAAACAATATAAAATTATTATTTCACTGTAATAGAACATTACATATTGTTAGTGAACAGGATAAAATATCAGTGAGTTGAATATATCCTGCAGGACCCCTGATCTTTAACATTTGGGTAAACATTTGCTCATCAGATACCTCAATTTCATATGTAAGATCTGGAAGATATTTTGAACCATTTTTTATTTGAGGGGAGAAGGAAATGATCTTATGTCCCATCAAATATGGTAGCTGCAACAACCAATTAACCAACATTAACTACTTTCAATATTCTTGTATTATTTCAAACTATTGTTCTCATCTTGATTGATATAGATGTTATAAACATGTTTCAGTCAAGTACCCTCTGGTCATCATCAAGTGTCCATTGATTGGTTTGATTTGGGATTTTTATTTATTTTAATAATTTTACTCCAAACAAGGCAATGATAATGCCACTAGGACGCAATGAGCTACAGGGAGTGAAAGAGAATGAGAAAACTTTAGTGAGGAAAAGTGAAGAAAAGGACAATAAAGGGACAGGATCCAAGACAGAAGATGGTGCATTTAAATTTTTGAAGATTGTAGCAGGCAGGAGAGCAAGAAATCGAAAGAGAGTTCCACAGGTGAGAAAAGAAACTACTAGAATAGAACAGACAGTTGCATCTAGCTACTTCAACAGTAAAATAGCGAAACCTAGTTGCCAATCTTGTAGCATGCTTAAATTCATGCAGTCAAGGTCTAAGGAAAGAAAAGCTAACCTTCTATGTATGCCAGCCTCAATACCAAAGTGTTCTCTTAGCTGATGTGGAAGGTTTAAAAGATAACAGCATGCTTGACTGTTTATCCTCATGTAGTTTTCTTATCATTCAGTTCTTTGTAAGCACTCAAAATATTTTGAAAACCTACTCTAAACCTACTTATTGGATTCAAAAATAGTCATACTTTTCTGCAATTATGGTAAGGGGGGATGCTCAAAAATGCTTTCCATAGAAATGAATGGTTCTTCTTTATCTATTGGCTTCTAAAGACTAATAAATTGGTGTGTGAGACGTGCTTGATAAGAATTGCGCAACTGGAGGTGGTACTACTTTTCTATGAATTGTGGTAGCAATTTTAAGAGTAGTTTGCCATTGCTTTCTATTGGATTTTGAGGCTATTATTTTCTCAAATATGATAACAAGTCCTGCTCATTCCACAACATGCCAAACTTCATCCACAAAAGAATCACAGGATACAACTTTAGAAATATGTTGAGTTAAAAGAGGAAATTAAAACACGTCATCTTTATTTGTGCGTTGATCATAAAAGGCATCACATGTATTATATATTCTATTGCTGCAGTTGTTCTTGATTCTAAGATTAAGGTGCCAAGTAGAATTTAAAAAATTCAAATAGTTTCATAGACACTCAAGAGATTGTTAACTAATTGATTAGTTTTCTAATGTCTTAACCCTTTGTAGGTTATTTAAAGTCAAAACATGTTTCAGATTGTAGAAGGTTGCTTATAGCACCTGATGTTTCCAAGTGGTCTCCCATCCAAGTACTGACAACACTTGACATTGCTTAACTTCAGTGATCAAATGAGAACCGGTGTTTTCAGAGAGCAGGCAGAATCATCCAAGATTTCATTTTTTAGGTAAGTAAATCTATAATTGGTTAATTTGATTGTTTAATGGTACATCAACTCATTATAGGTTATTTAATGCCAAAACTTGGGAGCTTTGAAATAATAACAATGTGATATGTTATTCTGCTTTCACAATTGAATACATGGTAGATGATACTCAACCTTTGTGCATATACATGTTTGTATGGACATAATTACTAGGTGATATGTTTTATGTTGAAGTTATATTTTTGAAAACAGTTTGATTTCTTTAAGAAATTGTAGAATATTATATGGATTAATATCATGAAAGAGTTCTTTCATGTTGGTTGTTTGGTTTTGTTCAGTGAAATATCAATGTCTTTGCGTTAATTAATGCTGAAATCTAGATATTTTGAACACAATTGTATGCCTTCAAATACAGATAAAATGCAAGTTAATTTGGCTATAAAATGTATTGTTGATAATTTTTTATATAAATATGCATTGCTGGTATTTTTCCTACAAAAATGTATTTTTATACTTTTATAGTGTTTTACTTGGGGGGGTCACATTTGCCCATAGCTAGGACCCTAACAGATACTACCACCCCAGATCAGGGTGGACTTGGGAACACTCCTCAAAACCTCCAATATCACAATCAGAGGTCTTGCAACTGGATGTAGTTTATTATCTTCTATAATTGGAAAATTGGAAAGACTATATTGAATCCATTGGTAGGTCAGCTGCTAAAAAAGTTGCTTCACTGTGTTGTGTGAGACAATTTTTCTCTCCAGAATCCATCTTACATATAAGTCTACCATTCATCCATGCTTAGAATATTGCTGCCACATATGGTCTGGTACCCTTGCTATTTACCTTGAGCACCTTGATAAAATCCAAAGAAGAATCAGCAATATTATTGGTCCTCATCTGTCAGCTCAGCTTCAGTCACTTTTCCACATCTGTAAGGTTGCCTCTCTATGTCTTTTCTATAAATACTTTCATGGTAATTGTTCAGATGAGCTCTTTGCTGTGGATTTAGTCCAGTTAACTGATGTTTCTGCCACATTTAAGGATGGGGGGGGGTATTACTAACATTCTTTTGTCTAGTTTCTTGTAAATAGTTTTGTTTCATATTGTAAATACTCGTTGGGGCTAGTTTTAAAATTGTTGTTTTATTTTCCCCAGACAATGAATTGTACATATGGGGACTACTTAGGATTTTCATAGAGACAATGAGGTATTATGGTGAATGTAGTAAGAAAGGTAAGTAAGAATGTGTTGTTTTGTTGTCAGAAATATTGTTTGTATGTTTTGGTCAATGTTTGTGGCTAGCTAAGTTTAAAGTTAAGACAGAAGAAGACTGTCCTTTTCCCCATTCTGGTGTTGTGCCACATTTCTGTACATAGCAGAATAAATACCACTGTTTGCTATGGTACCTAGATTTTTTTAAAATTTAAGCGCAGTACTAGACTGGTGTCAAGATCTCATCAATTTACAGTTGAGCTGGTTAGATGTGATCATTAAATTCTATGCTAACAGTTTCTCACACTTCTCACAGCTCCATACTTTTCAGCCAAATTTTAACTACCAAAATTTAAATGCAATGTCAGTCACTATTTACTGTCCTCCTGATTGCTCTTTCCTCTTCCTGCTCATTATTAATGTTTCTCTTCCTAATTCTTCCAATTCCTGTGGTGGTTTTATTGACTTGCATATGGTGATACCAATTAATAAAAAAAAAATAATCTTCCTTTCACTTGTCTTTATACCAAAATTACAATATTTCCTTGACTTTGATTGATCTAGCAAGAATTATTAATCTGGATAGCTTTTATACTAAAAAAATAAAACATAGAAGCAAGGTTGATTCAACAGGCAGAAGATTGATTGATTTGGTTTTATACGGCTTATCAACCCTTTCAGAGTGTAGGAAGTTGCTTATAGTACTCTGTGTTCCCGAGTGGGTCCCTATCTAAGTACTGACCAGGCTTAACATCAGTGATCAAAGGAGAACTGGTGTTTTCAGTGAGGAAGCAGAAAAACAACATCAAAAATATCTCGGGCAGAACCCATCCTCTGTTATCATCCAAAATCCTTACTTGCAGAAAAGTGTGCCATTCTTGTGTTGGTCTAATCAGCTACACAAGACCCTATCTACCATGATAACTATTTAACAGTTTACAAAAGCAATATAAAGAAAACCAGAGCAAATTTAAAAAACAGAAAAAAATGTTGTTAATTCATAAAAATTCTTCTGTAGTTTACTCACCATTTTACTTTTAGATAGAAAATAGCATGTACGCTGTAGGGAGGTGCACACACGTGCAGTCTCTGCATAAAGGAGGTAACGCTCATTGGCAACTTTATGTAAATAACCCAACATTGTTGAATGAAGGTCAGGCCACATTTGTGAAAGGCACTCGTCAAACACAACCAGTTCCAGGGCTGATGATAACATGTCAGGCACAGGCAATTTTATCTGAAAATGAAATTCATTAAAAGAATATAGGATTGTAAAATATCCTATTTCAGCACTAATACTTTCATAAGAGTGCTTTTTTTTCACTAAAAGAATATAAGATTGTAAAATATCCTATTTCAGCACTAATACTTTCATAGGAGTGCTTTTTTTTCACTAAAAGAATATAAGATTGTAAAATATCCTATTTCAGCACTAATACTTTCATAGGAGTGCTTTTTTTCACTAAAAGAATATAAGATTGTAAAATATCCTATTTCAGCACTAATACTTTCATTTTTTATTTTTTTTTTCACTAAAAGGATATAAGATTGTAAAATATCCTATTTCAGTACTAACAGTTTTATAAGATTTTTTTTTTCATAGTCTGATCCAAAAACTTCTTATTGAATAACAAATGAGTCTCTTCAGGTGTTTTATTCAGTAATAGATCTTTTGTGCAATTTATCCAATCAGTTCAATGTTATACAAATTGTTGAGACATGGATATTTGATCCAGCATTCTGTAGATCTCCATTCTTTATACTCAATTTTGGATAAAACAACAGAACAGTGTATATGAAATAACTTTGACATTTTTTTTATAGCCTACTATGGATATACAAGTCACAATTTCTTTTTCAGGTTTTTGGAGTGGTCTTTACCTTTCATCATGATTTCAAAAATAAATGTTTATTTTGTGAAATAAATACATATAGGTATTCAAAAGTGATATTGGGCATTAAAATATTCAGTGGGTATATGAATGGCTCAATTTTAAAATTAATTTACTGCAAAATTTATTTTTATGAATAAATCTTTCAAAATATTAAATTAACATTCATGTATCGCATCACTTTCCATGATTCTCTTCAGGCTCTGTTGATGAAAACAGATTTTTTTTTTTCAGTCTAATTGGTATTTTGTTTTTGCAGATTAACTTATCTGGTGAATACAGACATAAACATGAACAAATATCTTGGAATTTTAAGCGGTAACTTCTATGCAGAAGAAAGTAGAATGAACAGATAGTCACAACCAAAGCAGATAATATTTCTATATGAGAGTGTTGTGAAAGACCTTATGACCTTTTAGGGGTCAACTCTTATGCCAACATATAAAGTTATCAGTTAAAGTGAGATTACCAACAGGCCACATGAACAAAGAGGAGGATAAGAAGGGAAAAAAGAAATAATTTCTACAATAGTCATAAGTACAAAAAGAACAGCTATTAGTCATGGAAGACCATTTTACATTGCATTGTACTAAGTTTAATCAGTATCCAAGTGTAAGGTAGGTTAGTACCAATGTCCAGACATTATATTTTAAAAAGATGTTCAATGCAGAGTAGGGCTTAATAATAATATTTATTAACAATTATAACAAAAACATGTTATAAACAGAGGCACATACAGTGTTGAAACATGATTGCATTGATGTAGAGATTTATAACATGTTTTTGTTATAATTGTTAATAAATATTATAAGTTCAATCAGTATCCGTAAACATGGGCCATAAAGGTAGATTTTGTTACCTTGTCAACAGGAACAAGCTGTTTTAAAAAACTCTCCAAAAAGGAAGCAAGACCCAGGAATATTTGTCGATGCTCAGTAACATTCTGATCTCTGTTGACGGTAATCTTGTTGCTATGGTGATAATGTTGCATAAGACTGCTAATTGATTCCAGACATTTTGTTAAACATGTTACCTGAAAAAGAAAAAAAAAAAAAACTTATCAATTATAACATTCTTTTGAAAGGTAAGCATCTAAATGTATATTTTTAATAATCCTTTTTTTAAATTGAATTAATTTAATTCAATTTAAGTAAAAGTTTTCGAAGAAAACTTTCAAAATCCTTGGTGTATCCAAGATAGTTTACAACCATCTTACTTTCATGCATTTCTTTTAGCTTATCTACTACCTTTCAAGGATGTGTGTAATAGATATTGTCACAGAAATTGGAATTGGCAAGTAAAGCTCAAATTCCAGGCTAGTATGTTGTGTTCACTATTGCATAAATGCTCTTGAGAAAGGCATGAATCTCCTCTACTTCTTCTTCCAAATAGGGGTTAAATAGTAGGGTAGACTGAGCTACTGAGGTGAATAGCAATAGGGAAATTCAAATTCAAAAAATTTTAATTCCAAGGGAGATAAATCAGTCTCAGAAGAACAATATCAGAAAACGCTAGTGCAAATAAAAAGGGTCAAAAAATCCACATCGCAAATCACAACTACCTTCTTCACCCATGAAGAACCAAGCAATACTGTGGTCCAAATCAGCGGTCTTTTATTGAAGTAAGAAAGGTTGTGATTGGTCAAGACTGGTCGGGAAGCACAAATAATTACCATATTTTGAGGCCTGATCTTGATTCTGATATTCTGTTTCAACAGATAGCACCAAGCGCACAAATTCTTTTTTTGAGGTGAGACTTTTTCTCCTTTGTCACCACAGATATAGATTTGAGCAGTAACCAGTCTAAGAGAAGAAAAACTAAACTGAAGAGAAAGCAACAAGAAACCACTTCACTATCTTTCTCAAGAATGCAGGAGTATTTCAAGATAATTAAGAAAAAGGAAACTATGTAGAGCGTTGATTGCCTTATGTCCTGAAAGAGCATGGTGTTAAAAAAAAGTCTTTCAGCATATTAGAGGAGTATTTTATACAGGTTTACAATATTAGAAGAGTAGAGTATTTTATACAGGTTTACAATATTAGAGGAGTATTTTATACAGGTTTACAATATTAGAGGAGGATTTTATACAGGTTTACAATATTAGAGGAGGATTTTATACAGGTTTACAATATTAGAAGAGTATTTTATACAGGTTTACAATATTAGAAGAGTATTTTATACAGGTTTACAATTAATGTGTCTAAAGGAATTGTGATTAAAAAGCTTAACATTATTACTTGCAGTATCATCTATCAGTTGATCATACAATACTGTGGGAATATAATATCACCAAATGGTTTACGTGATATCAAACCACCAAATAATATCATTTCATTGACAGATGGTATTGCCCATCATGTTACAATTTGATTTGATTTTTAAGGCTTTTCAACCTTTTGCCAGAAAATACTCTTAGATTATAAGATTATTTTGGAGATAATAATGATTTACTGATACATGTCCTATTAAATTAACCCATAGCTGGTGGGAGAAGAGGTAGATTCATACTTTTCCCAAGAGTATTTTTATGCATAAGTGAATATAAACCTGATTGAAATTGGAACTCAGCTCTCAAATTTCCAATTCCAAGCCATTATCCATTACACCACACACACATCCAAGCACCTAGTATTTGCAAGTGGTCACCCATTTAGGTACAGACCAGGTTTACTGCCACTTAACTTTGGTGATTGTATGAGGGTACAGTTTGACAGAAATGAAGTATGTGATATGAACATGAAATATAGAAATCAATTAGCAGTAGAAAGAAATTAGTGAGCTATGTCTGTGTTCCATCAAATAAATATTCTTCTTTCATCTATATATATTGTTGCTGATGGTGGTAGCTGCTAAGGAGAAAAAAAAAAGTAAGAATCAATTTTAAGAAAGAAAGGAGAAAAAGAAAAAAAAAGATAGGTTTGGTTTGGTTTAGTTTGTTTTATGGCATATCAACCTCTATAGGTTATTTAATACTGACAAGATTTTTATTGCTGGTAATATTTTTTTTTTTTTTTTTTTAATGTATTGCTGGTTTTGGTTTGGTTTGTTTTATGGCATATCAACTACAATGGGTTATTTAATGCCGACAGTTTTTATTGCTTGTAATATTTTTCTTCATAAATGTATTGCCGTTAATTTTTTTCCCTTCAAAAATCTATTTCTGGCAATATTTTTCTTCAATAATGTACAGTTGGTAATCTTTTTTTTCAAAAAAAATATATAGCTGGTATTTTTTTTTTTTTTAAAAAAAAAAAAAAAAAAAAAATGCATATCTGGTGATATTTTTTTTTTTAAATGTATAGTTTGTTTTGTTTTACAGCATATCAACCTCAATGGGTTATTTAATACCAACAAGATTTTTATTGCTGGTAATATTTTTTTTTTTCAAAAATGTATTACTGGTAATAATTTTTCTTCAAAAATTTATTGCTGGTAATAATTTTTTACAAAGTATTCTGGTATTAAAACCTATTTTTACACTTTCATGGTGTTTTGACTCCAGTTAGAGGGTCAACTATTTGCCCATAGCTGGGACCCTAACAGGTGCTACCACCCTGGGTCAGGGTGGACCTGGGAACACCAGCAATTAAGAGGTGGTTTCATGCTCCTCAAAACCTGATCAGAGGTCTCAATGTTGGATATAGTTTATCGTCTTACCCAGGACAAAAAAAAATAAAAAGATAAGAGTAATTTATAGTAGCAATAAATATTTATTTTTGAGATAATGGTAGTGCCTTGGTCAGTCATGGTCAGCCCAGCTGAGAGCAGCAACATCTGTGTCGTGCTGTAATTGGAGTGACCTCCAGACAATATGTTCTCTCTCTCACCCAAACTAATGAGATCCAAGAGAATACTTGGCATTAGATTTGGGAGCAGCTTGGTTGCAGAAGATGCTGAATGAGGTCAATGTTAACCACCTTCGGGACTCCACCAGTAAAGCTCACCCTGTACAAGGCCTGAGGGCTACTCATGGTAGAGGGTTACATTGAGGCATGTTATATGGACAGGAGGGAAAGATAACGGTTAATCTTAGACTTGAATGGGTTAAGATTGTAGTGATCAGGGAAACATCCTCTTAGGAGTTGGTTCTGTAGAGCAATGGTTCATGGGAAGAAGCTGTTTGAGTGAAACTGACTTCTCACTGATGGGATACAGAGGGAATGTCAGTAGTTTGTTACAATATAAGATGCTGGAAAAAATTGTTATACTACCTCAGCAAGTACCTCACTCCTCCTGCTATCCTCTACCTTCACAAGAGTCAGCTCAGGCTGAATATAGAGTACTGCTCTCATATATGGGCAGGAGCTACCCACTCTTTATTTTCCAGTCTTGATAGAATCCAAAGGCCTCTCTGCATCCTTGTGGGTGATAAATTATTTTCCACCCCCCAAGCTCTTTCACCAGACAAAACATTGAAGCCTCTCGCTACTCTATCACTATTTTCATGGAAAGTGTTCAGATGAACTACATTGCTTATTTCTACCAGTTCTAACCTTTACAGCTAAGATCTGCCATGCCACACACATTGTAGTGAACTACTCTTATTCACTTCGCATTCCATTGAAACAATTTCTTCCCACAAACTGTTGATTTGTGGAACCACATTAGAAGGATGTTTTCCTGATCACAATCTTAACCTGTTCAAGTCTAGGGGTCAACCTTTATCTTCCCCATATATCCCTATAAACTGTGCCTCTGACTCTGTAACCATCTACCTTGAAGGGCCCTTGGGCCTTGTACAGGGTGAACATCATTGTAAAAAAAAAAAAACCCAACACTATAGCTTTTTCATGTTTGGATGCAACCACAAGGCAGAGGTGGTTTAAAATTAGTTTTCCTTGTCCTAGATAAACTGTCTTCCCAGGATAACAAGCTCTACTCATAATTTGTGAAGGTATTTTATTCAGATGGTGGCAAATGAAATAAGGCATTGATGAAATATCATGCTGTTGTTCTCTCATAAATACAAACTGCAAGAGTCGGACGGCTCTTGAGTGGCTTTTGGGATTTGTATTAAGGGAACATTAGTAAACAAAAAACAAACCACTTGAAAAGGTTAAGATCATAGTGATTAGGGAAGCATCCCCTTGTTCAACAAAGTAACAATTCTAGGGAAGAAGCTGCCTGAGTAGAACTTCCTTCTTATTAATGGAATATAAAGGGAATGAGGGTGATTTGATTCCTGTGAATGTTGTATAGAGGGTCGTAACTGTGAATGTCTGAACTGGTGGATCTAAGAAATGTAGCTCATAGGAACATTTGCCACAAAAATAGTAATAGAATAGTAAAAAACTAGCAATATTTCATATGTGGAGAAAAAAAGGGGTTGTAAGGTAGAAAATAATTCAGTATCCACAAGGCTCTTCAAACACTTTTGAACTCTGTCAAAGCCAGAAAGTATCCACAAGGCTCTTCAAACACTTTTGAACTCTGTCAAAGCCAGAAAGTATCCACAAGGCTCTTCAAACACTTTTGAACTCTGTCAAAGCCAGAAAGTATCCACAAGGCTCTTCAAACACTTTTGAACTCTGTCAAAGCCAGAAAGTATCCACAAGGCTCTTCAAACACTTTTGAACTCTGTTTCAAAGCCAGAAAGTATCCACAAGGCTCTTCAAACACTTTTGAACTCTGTCAAAGCCAGAAAGTATCCACAAGGCTCTTCAAAACACTTTTGAACTCTGTCAAAGCCAGAAAGTATCCACAAGGCTCTTCAAACACTATTAATTTTGAACTCTGTCAAAGCCAGAAAGTATCCACAAGGCTCTTCAAACACTTTTGAACTCTGTCAAAGCCAGATTTTATCCACAAGGCTCTTCAAAGTTTTTTGAACTCTGTCAAAGCCAGAAAAGTATCCACAAGGCTCTTCAAACATTTTTGAATTCTGTCAAAGCCAGAAAGTGAGGATTGGACAGTTCCAGCATAGACATGGCAGTATTACTCCATTTTTGGAGTAATGTTGATTCTTGTAACATGACAAGTTACTCTCTGGAATGGTATAGGGTATCAACCATTTTTCCACTCTCTTAAGTGATAGAGATTATATATACAAGTTCTACTTGAGGTCTGGAGTTCCAATACACATTTAGCCTTTTGGTGAATACAATTGTTCATCATGACTGGAGAAAATTTATTTTTTGCACAGTGATGATGAAACATTATAGTGTGATAATTCTGCTTTTTAAATTATTAAAAAGAAACTTAACACAAAACAAAAGAAACAAAAAGCAAGCTATTAATAATATTCTCACTCCTTAAGTGATTTTATTGTTCTGGAAACACAAGTAATGTTGAATAATGCTTGATTACCATAACAACTGTATGTCTTATTAGTAAGTAGAACAGAATGTGTAACCAATAATTATATAAAATTACAATTTGTTTTATATAATAGAATAAATTATTTACGTGGTCTATTAATACTATTTTTTGTTGCTTGTGTATTTCTTTTTCTTTGCTTTGATATTTTTCATTCATTTAGAAATTTTTACTTACACTATTTTTTATTTAAAATTTTATTCATTTTAAATTTTTTTAGAATTATCCTTTCGTTTAAATTTTTTTTGTTTATTTCAAAATTTTTGTTTATTATTGATTCATTTAAATTCTTTTCATTTAAATATTTGCTTATTTTTTCATTTATTTAAATGTTTTAAAATTTATTTTCATTTCATATTCATGGTTTTTAATTTTCATTCAATTCATGTAAAAAATGAAAATTTTCAAGTATTTTTATTATAGGTTTAAAAATGAACATTTTAAAAGTATATATTCACATAATATACACAAATATATTAAAACAAAGTGGGAGGAAGAGCAAGAATAAGAAAAAATATTATTCACTATAAGTTGTGAATATAAAAAAAAAGAAAAAGAAACAACAAAAATTAAATAGTTACCATTCCTTACTCTTCAGAGACTAATTGAAGATAAAATATATGCATGCATAACAGCTGAAAAATGGAGGCGGGGGTTAGACAAAGTGATATGTCCTGGAAAGGGATATATTTGAACGAAGTAGCTAAGTGGTTTTGGCTACTATAACCAAGTAGAATATGGTAGCAGTAATCGACTGGTACGCATTGTAGTTGCAGGTAAGAAGTGTAGATCAATAGGCGTCGTTATAGACTTAGCTCTTGACTAAGGCTCATGACTCTCCTACATGTCTGTTGGTATTTGTGATGGACACCAGCCAATCATATTCCAGTGAGGGGGAACACAGGTGTATACATATGCCATTATATCACAAAGCAAGAGAAACAGCAATATAAATCACAGATTACATTAAGATCCAGTAACCATTCCTTCTGCTTACAGAGGGAAGGCTGTCTAGACTTAATATACAGTCTCAAGCAATTTCAATGTCTGTTTTTAAATAATTTTTATAATACAATTTTGTATCACCTCCCCACACACATACCTCCACGGATAATTTAACTATGTTCTTTTAATTTCTTTACATTCATTTTTATTAAGAATTTGCATTTATTTTTATTTAAATATTTAATTCAATTATTTGTTTTTTAATTTAACTCTGTTAATGACTTTTTTTTTTGCATTTACTACTCACAATGTGCCTTGAAGCCGAATTGTTATCATTCCAAATGCTAAAGCTGATGACCTCCGCCAACAGTTTGAGGTCAGAATGGAGAAGCCTGAGGATAACAAAGACATGACCAAGGTCATGGGTTCTCTCCAGCAAGGTCAATCCTGATGACATCAACTCAACACAAAACTGTGGCAACATTAATTGTTGTGGATGGGATGCGGTCTCTGTTTCTATATTTTCAGGAGGAAAGAGGGAAACATCTCCAACAGACTGAAAAGAGGACCTATAAAATAAAAAAATCCAAAAAAATCAATTACCTAAGATTACAGTGCATTATATCAGATTTTATTATGCAAGTCAAGGTTTTCACAATAATGGTTGATATTAACTTTAAAATTTTAAGAATTTATATCTGCAATATATTAAATAAACTTCAGCCTATAATATCTATCCTTGTTAAAAAAAAAATATTGATCATAATTTGCTTTGGACGTGTCAGATTATATTATGTAAATAAATGGCAATGTTAATTTTTATTTATTAATAACTCCAAAAGATATTGGCCACAAAAAGACATTTGATTAACATAATATCCCATATAATTAAATAAATTATTTTTACTTTTTAGATGTCAATATGGACTCATTGTCATTCTATAACTTTAGTCAATCTTTTATCATTGATTTAGCTAATTTTTCTGCTGTTTCAACTTTAACCTTTAACACTCTGTGTTATTAATATTACTTCCCTTTCCATTGCATTTGCTTTAAAGGACTCTCAGTTACAGTATCCTTATTGTTAATTTCCCTCAAAGTTGTTTTCTGTTGCCATAGCAGGATATCACAACTATGAAATTCAGAAAGTTGGTTCACTGTGTCACGCAAAGCATTTTCTCTCCAGAATCTATCTTACATAACTAGAAGTCTACCATTTTCCCATGCTTAAAATATTGCTGCCATATATAGTCTGGTGCTCCTGCTATGCGTCTTGAGGTCTTTGATAAAAGCCAAAGAAGAATCTATTATTGGTCCTGATCTGGCAGCTCAGCTTCAGTCACTTTCCCATTGCCGTAAAGTTGCCTGTCTATGTCTTTTTCTGTAAATACTTTCATGGTAATTGTTTGGATGAACTCTTCACTATGGTACCTAGACTGTATTAATTTAAGTGCAGTACTAGATTGGCATCGAGATCTCATCAATTTACAGTTGAGCTGCCTGGATATAAGTGTAAATTCTATGCTAGCAGTTTCTTTTCTTGCACTTCTTGCTTGTGAAACTCCCTTCCAGCTCAATGCTTTCCAGCCAACTTTAACCTGCAAAAATTTAAATGAATGTCAATTGCTATCTACTGTCCTGATTACTCTTTCTGTCCATTATTAATGTTTCTTTTTGTAATTCTTCCACACCCTGTAACCCCTTGTGTCTTAGTGGCTTTACTGCCTTGCATGGGGTGATACTGATTAAAAGAAACAAAAAAACAAAGCAAATGAAGTCACAGAATGATAAAGGTTAGCATTAGTTGCACAAGTTTTGATTGCTTTTAAAAGATCTTTGAATATTATTTTCCATTCTCACAAGTTTTCTAATGGATGTAATATCTGCAGAGATGGAATGTGGCATTCCATTAATTTGGTATCTTTGAAATTTATTTTTGGCAAGATGAGCACTTGTCATCATTGCATAATGTTACAGCACATTGCCTTGCATGATTATATTTTTTAGCTTAAAGCTTCCTGATTTTAACTTTAACAACAAAAAAAATGTCTTGTCCAAGAACTTACAATACATTTATCTTGATACCATCATCAATTTTGAAGGAACTGATAATTTAACTGCCTACAATACAAGTTTAAAACTTAACTACACCACCTCACTTGTGGTCTTCTAGATCATGTTGGTTGACTATTTCCAAAAATGGCTGGTTAGTTGATTTTGCTTAGTGGTATAATAACTTCTATGTATTATTTAATGCCAGAATCTAAATATTTTGAATGCAATTTTATATCTTCAACTAAATATATCTTGAATGCCATTCAAAAGAGAAAATGTATTGTTGGTCATTTTGCTATAAAATGTATTGTTGGCAATTTTACTATGTAGTTTTGGTAACTGTTTTATATATATATATATATATATATATATATATATATATATATATATATATATATAAATGTATTGCTGTTACTTTTACTATAAAAATTTTATTTTTATTCTTTCATAGTGTTTTTTTTTTGGGGGGGGTTGGAGGATTCACTAATTGCCCATAGCTGGGACCCTAACAGGTGCTGCCATCACATGTCAGGATGGACCTGTGAACAACAGTAATTAAGAGATGGTTTCACACTCCTCAAAACCTCCAGTCTCCCAATCAGAGGTCTTGCTGCCAGATATAGTTTATTATCATACCCAGGATTACTATTTCCAAGAAAGACAAACTTATATTTAATGGGATTGGCCAAGTTTGGCACAAGGTCACATTCCTAAAGCAAGGAGCAAGCTCAGTCTCAATCATTTGCAGATAAGCACATATAGTGAATTAACATACAGTGCTGTTCGATAAAAGTGACTCACTTGATTTTTTTTACTAAATGTTCTCTTCTCCAATGAAATGAAAGTTAAGCTCAAAATTCAAAGTATAAGCGGTCTAAAATCCGAAGAAGAAGCTTTGAAAGCTCTTTGAATTTAGCAGTAAGTACTGTCAAGCACCCATTCAGTATAATGTTCTGGGGATGCTTTTTCTTTTCATGGAGCATTATAAAGTACAGGCTCTTGAGAAAGCAGATGAGCAACATGCTCCATAAGTTTTCTATGGGGTTGAGATCAGGAGATTGGGGCAGCTATGTCATAATAATCACCTGCTTCTCATCAAAGTATTCCTTCATCAATTTTGATTTGTGACAGGGAGCATTATCCTGCATGAAAATGAGCTTGGTGGGGTTGATTTGCACCCTTTTCAGCAGAAGGGAGCAGACAAAACTCTAAAATTCTCTTGTACTGCTCGCTCCTAAGGGTCTTTTCAATAGGTTTTAAGAAACCAGTTCCATGAAAAGAAAAGCATCCCCAGAACATTATACTGAACGGATGCTTGACAGTACTTACTGCTAAATTCAAAGAGCTTTCAAAGCTTCTTCTTCAAATTTTAGATCGCTTATCCTTTGAATTTAGCTCAACTTTCGTTTCATGGGAGAAGAGAAGATTTAGTAAAAAAAATCAGGTGAGTCACTTTTATCGAACAGCACTGTACTTTAACACACACTGGTCAGAACACATACATAGCAGTAAAATTTGGAGCTATGCCGAACCCTAGATATGTAGGAGTTCTGGATTGGTCACAAGATCATCTGAGTGTTGTTTCAGTGGGAGATATAGGGTTCTCTGCCTTTTTTTTTTTATCTCCAAGTGAACAGACAACACATATCTGTTTGTTCCTCCCTTCTGATACCACATACCAAAATTATGAAAGCAGAACTTTCATTGTTTTATACTTAAGAAAACATTGACAAAGAGTAAAAGATTTGTATATTGTGTATTGTTTGTCAATACAATATATGTTATGTTTGATTATATTTGAACTAGTCTCATTCTTTTCACATAATGTCTACTAACTTATTATACACACTATCCACTGTACTAACACAAGTGCCCCTTGATTTGTCAAATAGTTATATCTTTTTAATTACCTGAATCAATGCACAATTTCTGTGTGTATGTGTATATATATATCGAATTTTTAAAAAATGTTCCTTAAGTTGGAATGGAAAGAAATAATCTACTAACCTGCTTGTAGATGAGCTGTCACCATCCCTGCCATCGCCACAGCACCGTGAGTCACTCTTACCCAAAGCTGAGAATCTTGTATCAGTAGAATGCAGTGAACAACTTCCAGCTGAGCCATTATGAGAAGCCAGGGAGGTGGCACTTGAAGTGAAATCTATACAACAAATAATGTAAGTTTTATTACTCACTTCGCAAAACATTTTTCAATAGTTTTCATGCAAGGTACGAAGTAGTGAAAAGTGCTCAACCTCACCATGAAGCCTTATATATATATATATATATATATATATATATATATATATATATATAATGAATGTGAATGTCACTGTCACACTTTTTCAATTAAAGAGACATAATTCTCTAACTTTCAATAGCTTATATTACAGAACTTTTGGATTCCCAAGTTTTCATTACTGCAATTGCTTTCAGTGATTTTTTTTTCAAGAGATTTTTTGCAACAAATTTTTTGTACGATAATTTTTATAGCTTGGAAATAAATTTGGGAATAATCAAAATTAATTGCAAAATCCAGCAAAAGTCACCCATGAAATAAAAATAATTGTTTGTACAGAAAGTAAGGACCTATGTACATCAAATTGTCTTTAAATTAAGCTGTGACAGAAGAATTATTGTTGAACTTTTAAAAAGGTAAGCTTAAATGTTAATACAATGCTTAAATGCAGTGATCAATTTTGAGTTCTTCCATAGTTTATTGTTGCCTATCGCACACAGTAGCAATACTCCTCACAAAAAGAAATCTCCACTAACAGAGGAACAGATTCCAATCAAAAGAGCCAAGGCTTTGTAGCCAGCCTGACAATTGCGTCCAATGTTCGCTTTTATTTTTATATATATATATATATATATATATATATATATATATATATATTATATAAAAAATAAATGTGTATGCGGACACTAAGTCAACATTGAGTGGCAACAGTCTGTTTCATGCTTGAACACAATATTCAGACACATGGCCTGGATATTGTGTTCAAAGCGTCAAAGACTCTCACAGATCAGTATTGTTCTCAGTGTCTACTTTTATATTTATATACAGTCTTATCCTTGATATTAAACACTTTTACTCATAAATATAGCATACACGTTAAAAATATATTCTTATATATAAATGCCCTACAAGGCTGGCATCCCGCTCTCACCTTTTCACTGTCAAAACTACTAAATGTAGCCGTCTCTTCTACTCCAATAGCTTCATGTCTCACACCTCTCGCCTGTGGAACCCCCTTCTGTTATAGTGGAACACACCTATACTATAGTTAATAGACTCTCCCACCTATAATAAGTAGGAGCAGTAGGAGTTGCTCAGTGGGTTGGTCGCTCAGTTGATGCCGGAAGACAGTCAGATACTAAAGTATTAGCGACCACAACTAGATTACTCTGCATCATACCTATTATATGAAGTTCCTAACGTTTTTGTACATCAAACCTATTTTAGGACCAACTTAGTACAAATACAAGCCTCCACTGTAAAATCACTCCATAACACCTTCCCTATTCCAGTTTCCCTGAGAGCAATAATCTCCAACTATTCAAATGTAATGTCAATCGACATCTCCAGTTGCCTTGATATATCCACTATCCTTCTCCTCATCCTTTCCTCTATCACTCCTATCTGATCTTGCTCCAAATCTTCTGTAACCCCTTGTGTCTTAGTGCCTACCCACCTTGCTTGGGGTGAAATGCTTAAAGAAAAAAAAAAAATTAATTTATTGCTTAAACGTTATTTTTAATGGATATCCATACTTGAGCTCTGTTTCTATTTATCTATTTTTTTTTTTTTTTTTTTTTTTAAATCAGCATATTTATTTCCATCTACCTGTCTGAATATTTGAGAAATCTTGTTAGAAAAATATGCATCCTCTGATATATTTTTCTAACAAGATTTGTTTATGTTAGGATACGAAACTGAGGAGATATGTATATTTCAAGAATCAGGAAAAATCTGTGTTCAAAAGAACAATACAGGATTTGTTTGACCAGTAACTTCTTTGTGGTCGAGAGGTCATAGGATGTAGGTTTGAATCCTGCCAGAGGGTGCAATTTTGATTTTACTATAGAAACGTATTGCAAATCACAAAGTAAGGAATTGTCATTTGTCAGGAATTAATGCATTGATAAAATACTGTTATTATATGCACAACGCACCAATGTGAATTAACATTAACTGGAAGAAAACAGTATATATATATATATATATATATATATATATATATCCACTCTTCTTGCAATCGGCTTTCGTTCACTGCCTCTGATTTTATGCATGTTTGAATGTAGGTATGCTAATCCATAGCAGTACATCTGGGTTATTCCATTAACCTTGCAGACAGCATATCTGGGCTATTCTATCAACCATTTTCCGTTATAAACAATGGAATGAGCTCGCCCCAGTTTTTACTTTCTATCATGAAGCAAATGACATTGACAAATTCATACCATCAGCCTTTTTGGAGGTAAGTGAATTTCTTCTGCACATAATCATTGAATCTCTTATTTTTTCTATTACCCCCCAAAAAAAACAAATAGACTAACGAACACATTTAATTCAGCACAACACAAATGAGGTCAAGAACTAGTTTGACTTACCTGGTTTAGGTGTGTGAAAAGTTGGGTCTTGATGATACTTTAGTCTTGCAGTCAAGCAGCTCAAAAGATGAATCAAAGTTTTAGAAGCTTCAAGTATCAGATTTGGTTTCATCAAGGACTGATTCTGGTCAGAGGTGTTTTCTGGTAGATTGCATGACAAATCCAGCAACTGAAACAGGCTCTGAAAATTTATTTTGAAAAATCTAATCAAAAGAAATTCAGAGAATTGGACACACACACACATATATATACACTGCATGCCAAATTGTACTGATCTGCGCAATGTAAACAAACTGGCGCCATATTTGTTATCAGCCTGGTGATTTGAGCGTGCCAAATTATTAGAAAGGTTTAGTAAAATTCCCAGAAATGAGCAAACAAAACGTTTATTAATGTTGCACGTGAATGTTTATGATCAAAAGAAACTAATAAGATAATCAAACAAATAATAACAGATACAAAGGCACAGTTTTAAACAAATTAAGAGGGAATATGCTTTCCCTGTTTTGAAATTACTTGAAGAAGTCGACGATCCATAGAATTTGTTAATTGTAGGATGTCATTTGCTGTAATGCCGTGAGATATGTCAAGAATTGCTTCCCACAACTCAGCGTTGCTCCTAAATTTTCGTCCGTTGGCATACAGTCTTCGCTTCATGATGCTCCAAAGGTTTTTTGATTGGGTTCAAATCCGGAGAATTTGTTAGCCACTTCATTTTTCGAGGTCCATCGAAGCCTAACTGTTTCAAATATTCAGTAGTCTTGTGAGCAGCATGTGAGGGAGTGTTATCTTGCATAAAAACAATGGCCCTTCTGAAGCCAACTCTTTGCCTTTTCATCCACAGTTCAAGATGCTCCTTTATAAACACTATGTATGCATCAGTAGTCATTTTGATGCCATCTGGTACTCTCCATGGGCCCACTAATGTTTTTTCAATAATACCACCCTAGATCATTATGCCTCCAATGTCTTGTTGGCGTCTCAAACATTGATGGCGATTTTGTCCGTTCATTACCCAGCCTTTGCACCATCTACCTGGCCCATTAAGTGTTGCTCAAGTTTCGTCTGTGAACAAAACTTTAGAGAAGTCAATCTTCATATTGTCCTTGGCCCATTTCAATCGATTTTGAATGTGATTTCTTGTCAATGGAGGCTTCGATACAGGTTTGACTGTTGTTGCCATTTCCCTTAGGTACCGACACTGAGTACTTTTAGACACAGTAGGATCCCCAATGCAACTGAAAAGCTCTTGACTGGTATGTCCAGGGTTCTTTGTGGCCTTTCGTTTAAGTCGTGACATGAGACGATGTGAAATAACCCTCGGCTTGCCTTTATCTGCCCTTTTTGCGTACTTGTGTAGGGTCGGCGGTGAACATTTTTTTCATTGTTTGATGACACCTCCTATCATTTTAGAAATTTCTAGGGTAGATTTACCTTTTGAGAGTTCTGAGGTTTTCTTTTCAGCATTACTTAAACTGCTTTTATGGCCCATCTTTTCACTAAATTCTTACACTTTTCTAATAATTTGTCATGCTCAAATCACCATGCTGATAACAAATATGGCGCCAGTTTGTTTACATTGCGCAGCTCAGGACAAAAATTTCAGTGATTGCGCAGGTCAGTGTTGTCAACATTGTGTGAAAATTTTGTGTGAATTGATTGGACGGTTTTTGAAATATTAGAAAAAAGTTATCTTGATAATAATTTGGCATGCAGTGTATATTGAATAATTTTTTATAGTACATTGAGTGATATTTTGTTGCTGAACCAGCACTTATAGGTATTTATATTATTGAAATTATATATATATATATTTATATATATATATATATATTTCAAACTATTATTTTGTTCAAGAACAAACCAATCAATGAAATTCCAATAAGCTAATAATTTGTTTGTAAAAAAGAGCTCTTCAAGGTTTAATAATTTCTTTAATGTAATTTAATAGGACTTGAAATTTAAACAATATTTTTTAAGAAAATTTATTTTGTTTTTTAACAGTAAAATAAAAAAATTCTTACAACATTACATTGTTTAGGTGTTTTAATATATAATATTTTTTCTTTTGACAAAAAACTCAAATTGCAAATATTTTTGTGTATTTGGCATACAAATTTGTTTATAGTTCTTTTATAAACACAGTGTGAACAGGAATAACTGGATTCTTGGATATATAAAAGTTAAAGAAAAATATGCTGGTCCAAAATATTGCATTTTTATAATTAAATAAGACCAAATTTTTATTTTATTCTTTTTTAAAATAGTGACAAGTATTTTTTATGTTAAATAATAATACTTTTAATTTTCCAAAACAATAATTAAAATTTAAATTGTACTAATTAAATAAAAGAAAAAACCAACTGATTTTTTTTACCCCCTTAATTGTTAACACTTCTTCCCAAAATTTGGTTTGGGAATTTCAATATATATATATATATTTGATGAAAATATGACAGATGAACTAATGAAAAAAAAAATTTTATAGATAGGCATATTTTTTTAAATTTGGATTTTTTTTTTTATTAATCCAACAGATTTTTATCACTTTAAATGTTATTTTTAGTGGATAATCATATTTGAGTAGGTGCTCCAGTTATTTATTAAACAGTATATTTATTTTCATCTACCAACCTAAATGTTTTGAGAAATCTTATTAAAGAAAAATTTGTGTTCTTTGGCAGGAATTGAACCTGTGTCCCTCAAGGCAGCACCTGATACTTTTATCCCAGCATGTTTTAAACTCATCGTTAATAAAATTTTCCACTTTCAGTCATCTAACACCAAATTCTGTGCGTTCAAACAAAAGTTCATCCTAGAAAGACACACAAATGTATATATTCAGGCATATATGACAAAGATAAAAAAAAAATCCTTGATTGGGTGCATTGGATCTTGTTTAAACTTCTCTGGACTAAATGATACACTAAAGGAGATGATGATCTGAAAACTTTTAAACATAAATTAGAAAAATTATTTCAGACATTTTAGGCAATTTAATTTAGTTTTTTTTCTTTTGATTTTTGATGACCTTTCAAAATATATATGACCTGCATATTTATCAAAAACAAAATTTGCTCACACATTTTTTCAAGAGATGCAAATTGCATAATCAGTAATGTTATTTGGAGATCATGTGTGTATGTGTATGCAATTTACACACACACATACACATTTATATATTTTATATATATATAGCCTGAAAATTGAATATATAGAATGAAGACTCTATATATATATATATATATAATATATATACTTTTATATTTTCATACACTCAATCTCTTGATATTGAGCCAAATTTTAACCCATAAATATAGCAAAGAGTAAAACTATGAACACTTTTTTTCTACTATCCCAATGTCTTTGAATGAAACCATAAACTATATATATATATGACATTTTATATAATATATATTAATGGTTGGGTATTGTTTTATGACTATTGTTGTTTTTAGGTAAAATTAGTTTTTTTTTTTAAACAGTGACCCGGATATCTAAAACCTGGATATTCAAAGAGATTTTCTCTGGTCCCAAATCCAAGCCTGCATTAACCTTTGTATATAAAATAGACCAATCTGATATAAGTAGAAACAAAGGATATAAGAGATTCAAAAAAAAAAAAAACTCTCTTATATTGGTTACACATTATTAGTTTTTTTTTTTAATGGGGACCAATATATATATATATAGCATGTATTTAGGCTTACTGAAAATTTTTCAAACATGTTTTTCACCTGAAAAAGGATTTTGTATTTTTGTATTTTTATAATGTGTTTTTTGGCCAATTAACCTTCATTCATCTCAAATGGACTGATCTCTCTACTACTAAGAAGGACAGTTCAAGAGTTCACAATGATCAGGCACCATAGATCATAATATCCTAAAAAATACATGGAACAAAGTTGACATTATATATCTTTCTGACATTTACTGACTAACCTGTGTTTATTGATCTAATAATCTTATTCTCTATTGTAATACCTCTTCAGATATACCAGTATTTTCATAACGTATGTGTTTGTTTTATAGAGCTCAATTTACCAATTGGGAAACACTCAACATCTTTAGAAAATGCTAATTTTTTTTTTAAATTTTCCCTTTTCCTGCATGCATTCAATCCCTGATTGCAAAACAAAAAAACTACTGTTTTAAAACTGGAATATTATTTCTTTTTTTAAAAGAGGAACCATTTTTTTTTTTTTATACTAATAAAAGAATAGATGTGTAATGTTTTGATGCAAATGCATTATGTTTTACAAGCATGTTTTAAAAACAAAAAATTGAAAAATAAAAACAAAATATAAAAAAAAAATACATTGAAACAATTTAACATACTTTTATGCTTTTTTATTTTTTAATTTATGGGCTGTAAAAAAAAAAATGGCTATGAAGGCTTTCATTTCATCAACAAATGACATGCTTCTTGTCAGTTTACATGCAAGAAGATTCTATGCCATCCAACTCATGGTCTATCTTTCTAATGGTAGGATATTTATTTTTTCTTTTTGATAAATAAAGTTATTATCTCGTTGTTTATAAACAGACAAAATAATTCAAAGAAGAAATGGTCTATCAGGTATATATTGATGGTCGCCAAAAGCTTCCATAAAAAAATTAAATCCATGGGTATGATTTAGTAATACATATTTGATCATAAACATTTTCCTCCATATAGTTGCAAATGGTAATCATTCATCCTAGAAACCAGTTCACCATCTGAATATTAAGAAATTCTTGTGTGTTAATTGATATTATACCTCATAGATATCTAGAAAATTCAAAATGGTGTATGAAAATTGAAATTTTTTTGATCAAAGTGATTAAAATACTTTCAATTAAAATACTAGAAATAACAACTGAAAAGTTTTTACTTATAACAACTTCTTCCAGGTCAAACACAATGCACCTAGAGCTTGGAGAAATTTTTTTGGCCAGATTGTCATTTTGAAATAAAACATGGGATAAAGGTTAAACAGCATATAATCTGAACAGACTGCTTTTATTGCCCTGAGTAGATAAATTCTACTGTCTTGTCTTCCTATTTGTATCATGGTAAGAGTCTTTTGTCCCTTTTTACAATTTTCACTGTAGGTCTTTCTGTTTAGTTTCAAGTGACCACTATCTTTTAGAGTACAAAATTCTAATTGAATAATCTGGATGGGAGAAATTCCTTTTACAAGGAAATCCTTCGCCTTCTTGCTAATTTATTAGTTCATGGTTGAATGAAAAGGCACTGAAACTCACCATTTTTGTTATGGTGAATGCTAATCTCTAAATCAAGACCTGCCACATGACACACAAGTGTGACCATCAGCTGACCCTATATCATTTGTTTATCTTACTGAGGATTTCACATGTTGGCAAATCTTCTGAACTCCAGGGTATCAGATATTTATATATCATATATATTGTATTTATTTATTTATATTATTATTATATTAATATTATTTATATATTGTATTTATATCATATATATTGTATTTCATTTACACAGCACATCTCTAACAACACATGGGACTGCCTAGTAATTAAAAAAATTAGTTGTTTTTTTTTCCTTTCCCAAATCCCTAAAATTAACTTATTCTCCTGGATTTCAGAAGTCTAATATTATATTAAAATTGTTTTAATAACAAGTTTTGGCAAACATCAGTACTACATTTTCTGATGACATGAAGTGGAAAGATTATATTGAATCAATTGCTAGTAAAATCAGTCGTGTCTTGCTAGATAATTTTTCTTGCCAGAATCTATCATACATTTATAAGTCTACCATTTGCAGTAGTGTGCAGAAGTAGGAGGGCAGGGAGTGTGACCGCCTCAGGCATCTATATCAGGAGGGCACTCAATCAAAGAGTGAAATAAAAATTTAGTTTTGAAATTAAAAATTGTTTCTGTTAACTTCACCACAACCATGTGTCCTGAAACTAAGTCACACAAACTGGTGTGAATGTGGATCCAAAAATTTCTTAGGGGTATACAATCAAGGAGTTGGCCCCAAGCATTGCCAAACCTCTGCATTTCACTAACTATTCATCTTTGACACCATTGAATATTGAAGGAGAAATCTGATCTGGTGCTTCTGTTATATATTTAGAATGATTCTTCAATATAAAATTGAGCAAAGAAGTATCTGCAATGTTATTGATCTTGACTTCTTTTTTTTTTTTAAAAAAACAGTATCATACCATGCAAGGCAGTAAAGCCACTAACACACAAAGGGTTACAAGGTGTGGAAGAATTAGGAACAGAAACATTATTAATGAGTGCGAAGAGGAAAGAGGAATCAAGAGGATAGTAATTGACATTACATTTAAATTTTTGAAGATTAAATTTGACTGGAAAGCATGAAGTCACAAAGGAGTTCCACAAGCAAGAGTGAGAAAAGTAAACTGTAAGCATAGAATTTATGGTTACATCTAGCCAGCTCAACCATAAATTGAAGAGATCTCGATGCCAGTCTAGTACTACACTTAAATTCAAAATGTCTAGGTAACATAATTATAACAATGATTTAAAATCAATCATTATTTTCTTACAAAAAACGTGTGGCATGCATCAAGGTGCAGGTAATTCGGCTAGTGTTTCATAAAGTTTACAATTAAAAATAACACAATACACCTTGTAAAGAAAGAGCTGTTAATTCACATTGTAATGTAATTGAGAAATATAAATTACTTCATTGAAATGTACAGAAAACTCAATTTTTACCTGCACAATGTTTGGTCTTTGCAGGAATATCTCAGCCGGAAAGTCATGAAACACAACATCTTGTAGGAATTCACAAGCACTGATCAACATGTGTGGATCTTTACTTTGTAACAGTCTATAATAGATAAACAAAAGAAATGAGAATATATGAAAATGCCATTCTTGAGGAAACAAATACATAAATAGAAAAGATTTAGGCAATAAAATGGATTCCTAACAATTTTGATAGAATTATATATATCTTTACACTTTTACTTTAAATCTCATTTTGATTATATATATATATATGTGTGTGTGTGTGTGTGTGTGTGTAAGGTTGAAGGCCAACAAAATTTTTTTTTTTCTTTTTTTTTTAATTTTTCTATATGGACAATTTTTCTGGTTTCTGAGGAAAATCTGAATATTCATCAAGTACATACAGGGTGCAATGGATAAATTGTAGTCTAAATTATCCAAAAATGAAAATAACACTAACGTCTCATTTTAACAAATATACAACGGATAAATTGTCGCCAGTTTTATATTTTTAATTTTGCACATACGCATTGTTTTCGATTCTGTCAACTGCACAGTATAGGAAGGTCAGTTGGGCACTGTCTGTGTGGAAAAGAGCACCATGACACAATTCACACCACCAGAAATTTGGAAACGGTATGCTGTACTGCTTGGCATTCGTGCTGGAAGCTCCAATACAAACATTTCAGAGGACAGTGCAGAAGATTTGGAAAGAGTTGGAGGAGTCTAATGGTATCCTCTGCCCAACACCCGCTTCTGCACACTGCTGGTGTCATGCCTATTACTAGTGTTGTTAATAGCTTTAAGATCTTTCTCAATCACCATGTGCTTTAACCTATTGCTCTTTGGCTACTTCCATTTTCTTTCTAACCATCTAATTAATGTGCTGGTACTGAATATGAGCCACATTGTTATAGTGTCTTTGTCCTATCAGTTCACATCAGTTGTTGGATATTATCCATGACCCATGATTGCAAATTCATGGAATACCAGTCTCCAACTTATTCAGTTGTATACATAAGAGTGCATCTTTGGTATTGTCAGCCAGTGAGTTAACATCCAATAGATTGAGTGCTACAAATTTGCCACTGATTTGGTCCTGAAAGATTTTTACAACTTCTAGATCCTTTACCTTCTCAAGGTTGAAATGGATAATGGCTCT